ACCTCTCTCTTGGGAGTATCTTATTTCCCATCAATTTTGAAAGATAGTTTTGTGGTGTACATCAGCCTGGGTTGCAGGTTGTTTTCTTTTAGGTCTTGAAATACTTCAGTCAAAGCTTTCCTTGATATGAGGGTTTGTGTCAGGAAGTCTGCTGTGATTCTGATGGGTATTCCTTTATAGGAGATTTGTTTCTTTTCTTTAACAGCTTTTAATATTCTGTTTTTGTATTGAATTTCTGGAATCTTGACTATTATGTGTCTTGGTGTAGATTTTTTCTCATCATGGCTAATTAGAGTTCTGTATGCCACATTTATCTGTGTGTCAGATTCTTTTTCCTTGCTTGGGAATATTTTTGCAATAACTTCTATAAATATGTTTTTTAAGTCATTTGTGCTATCTCCTGGTGCTTCTTTGACTTTAATCAGTCTTCTTTGCATCATCTAGCAGTTATTGGATTGATTTCTCATGATCCATTAGTATTTTTAAGTAATCTTTCTTTTCATGATCACTAACCATAATCCTGTCTTCTGTATCTGATATTCTGTCCTCACCTTGGCTTATTCTGCTGCATATACTTTCAATGGAAATTTTTTTTTTTTTTTTTTTTTGGTACTGGGGATCGAACTCGGGTCCTTGAGCTTGCACAGCAGGCGGTGAAACCACTGAGCTAAATCCCCGCCCCCCTTTCAATGGACTTTTTAATCTCCTGGATATCTATTTGAATCTGTTTCATAGATTCTGTTTCTTTCCTATGTTGGGCATTCATGGTTTCCATAATTTTCCTGAGCTTCTCTATTTTTTTATCTGTATCTGCTCTAGAGTTGCTAATCATGTCTTTCATTGTGGTTATCATCTCTGTAGTTATCTGAGAAACTATTTCTGATTTGATTTTTTTCTAGAGCCTCATTCATCTGGTTTGTTACTTATGGTGTTACCACTTCAGAGTCCAGGTGGGTGGTTTTCAGATTGTTCCACCGGATTGCTCCCTGCCTTTGCTTTTGGTGAGCTGGAAATTTGGGGTTACATCTTTTGTACATATCTTATTTTCTGTTTTAGTTTAATTCCTGAGTTGATCCTTCTAAATTGCTTTTGGCAAGTAGCTTTATTGCTAGTATTTAGAACCCTTAGGAAATGACTACTTCTCAGAGATGTCTTCCAGGTATAGCTGGCTTTTGGGTTTTGAGTCTTTCACAAGAGCTTATCTCTTCAATTTATTGGGGTTGAGAATTTGCTGCCTGTTTAGCCTAGCCCCTGGTTCTTTGGCACTGGCCTATAGTATTGTTTATGACTCTTACACAATCTCAGTCTTAGCATATGAGGAAGAACAAATGATTAGAACAGTTGTGTCACCTTGGCTAAAGTAGTACAATCAGCAATAACAAGAGCATCAAGCACAGCCTAGAAAATGACAAACTGGGCCGGGAATTTAGCTCAGTGGTTCCACCGCCTGCCTTACCAGCACAAAGACCCGAGTTCGATCCCCAGTACCAAAAAAAAAAAGAAAATGACAAACTGTCATAACTATTGATTTGCTACCTTTAAGTGTATGAACTAGATTTGTGGTTATAAAACAAAATCTAAAACAAACCAGAAAATTGTATATGGTAAATATTGCCTTAGCGTGGTGATTTTACCTTCATGGGAAAAAATTTAAAAGGGGTTGGGGGAAAAATAGAGAAATAGAAGAAGAAGAAGAGATTAGAAGCAAAGCTGTAGGACAAAGGAAGATTACACAAACTTTGAGGAACTGGTGAAGAAGACAGGAGAGAAAGAGAGAAGGAAGAAATAAAAATAGCAACAGACCTTGCAACAGAAGGTCCCGAGTTCAATCCCCTGGTACCAAAAAAAAAAAAGCAACAGAACAGTACAACAGCAACAAATAAACTAGAAACAGTGTTCACACTTACATAAAAACAAGAACAAACAATCAAGAAAAAAGAAAACATGGGCGTAGGAGGTAGTTCAGTGGTGCCACACCTGCTGGCAAGCACAAGGTGCTCAGTTCAATCCCCAGTGCCAGAAAAAAAGAAAACAAAGGGCTGAGGATGTAGTTCAGCTGTGCAGTGCCTGCCTGGCAAGTGAGAGGCTCTGAGTTCAATTTCTGGTACCAACAACAACAACAACAAGGAAAGGAAACAAAAACAAGAAAACCACACTAGATTTATGGCAGGGTAGTGAATAATCCTGGCAAACCTTCACCTTTAGTTCTGAAGCTCAGGCTGATTTCTGGCTATGAGGCTGGTACCCAGTTTATTCAGCCTGCAACACTCGTTGTGTTCCCTGCTGGCTTCAACTTGTCTCCCTCCTGGCTTGAACTTGGCTCCTTGACCTTCTGCTGACTGGAACTCAGTTCCACCTCACCATGATCGAGCCAGCCCTCAGCTGCTCTGAGTTCTGAGCTCAGTTGGCCCCTCTCCAAGATGGCTGTTGGCCAATCGCCCTCTCCTGGGAGATGTCTGAACCTGAATAACTCCCCAGCCACTATAGTCCTCTGTGTCCACTGTTCCATTCCACTGGTGCGTTTCTCTGTGGAGGCCTCTGGGGTCCCTAGTAGTCACTGTGAGTCTGCAGATTTGAGCCCCCCCACACACACAGTGAGTCAGGGCCCAGGAAAAAAATGCCACTTGCCGCCTCTTCCTTCATTGTAGCCTCTCTCCTCACTCTCTCTGTGGGCTTCAGTTCTTGCTTCAGATCCATTCCGGGTCCCAGGGACCCACTTCCCTCCTCCTTCTCTTTCTCATATTGCTGTATTCCAGTGACTGGAAACCAGATCTTGGAGAGGCTGCTTCTCCACTCTTCACCATTCCACCATCTTCCCAGAAGTCCAACATATACTATTTTAAAATGTCTTAAAAGTAACTTAAAGCCTGGCACAAAGGCATGTGCCTATAATCGCAGTATCAGAGGCTGAGGCAGAAGGATCGCATGTTCAAGCCCAGCCTGGGGAAATAAAGAACTTAGCTATCTCAAAAATTAAAAAGGCGGGGGATGTAGGTCAGTGTGAAAGCCCTGGGCTCAATGCCTACCACTGAATAAAAAAGAAAAAATTTAATTGGAGGACATACAGTATTTTTTTTCACCAAATATTTTAAAATTGTTTAGTTTATATGTAGATTTAATGTGAATGTGCTGGGAAAACCAACATCATCAAAATAAAATGATTTTAAAGTGCATTTGGAAAAAGTAGTAGAGCCAGCATGGTGGCCATGCCTGTAATCTCAGTACTTGGAAGCTGAGGCCGGAGGGTCACTGTAAGTTTGTGGGCAGCCTGAACTACATAGTGACCCTGTCTCAAAAAACCAAACAACCAGCCAGATAAAAACACACAAGCAAAACCCTGCTAGACGAAACCAGTGTTCTTGAGGGTAAAGAGCAGTGAGCTGTGAGGGGGAAGTCGGGAACGGATGCCAGAGTCATCTGCAGTTGCTCCAAGCCCGAAAAAGGTGCAGGGAGCACAGGTGAAGCCGGCTGAAGACCGGGCTGCTCGAGGAGGCAGACCAAGCCACAGACCTGAGTTCCATGGGCTAGGCCGCTCATCCTCCCCATCCTGTTGTAGCCTTAACAAAATGACTATCAAAATCCTGGTAGATTTAAAAAAAAAAACCCAGCAGGACTCTTTGTAGATATTGACAAGCTGATCCTACAATTTATATGGAAAAGCAAAGGAAATAAAATGGCTGAGACTGTTTCAAAAAGAAGTCTACACTCAGCAGACTCCTGCTGTGGGGTTAAGACCCTGTGTGGTCTCAGAGTCTGTGGTGTGGCGTGCAGGTCACCCATGGATCTGCTGGGACTCAGGCAGGGGCCACTGGACAGTCCTGGTGAAGACGAGCTTCGGCCCAGTACTCTTGGCCTGGCCACAGTGAGGGCAAAGCCCGGCATGACAGGGCTGCGCCTGGTGGGGTTTCATGGGATGGGCGGCCAGCCTTGGGGACAGAGAGCTCCAGAGTCCTCCCGTGGGGGCTGACTGAGGCCAGGAAGGGACGCCCGCTCCTGGCAGGACCTGGCCTTGGCTTTGCCTTCAGCCTCCTCTGCAAGGAGCCTCATTAACTGCCCAGATGGGGACCAGGGCCTGCTTGAGAGCAGTGGAGCCTGGCTTCAGAGAGGCTTCTGCAAAAAGTCAGCAGGGGCCAAAGGCAGAAGCTCTGGGGATGCTGGAGTTCGTGCCCACAGCTGGAGAATCCAGTTCTCTGCAGATGTGAGACAGGCAGAGGGGCAGGCAGGTGTGCCCAGACATGGCCTCGGCAGGCTGGGGATGAGCAGGCCAGAACCCTAGGGAGAAACAGGAGCCACCGGGAAGAGAGGCAGGCCTGGGGATGATGCATCTGAAGGGAGGATGTCCATAAAGAGAAGTTAGGAGAAAGAACAGAGCCCAGCATGATGCTGTGTGTCTGATCTCAACTACTCAGGAGGCTGAGGCAGGAAGACCTCGTTTGAGGGCAGCTTGGGCTGCCTATGGAGACCCTGTCTTAAACACTGCAGTGTCTCCCCTGCACAGCGCTGGACTGGGGGGGGGGGGTCTTAGTCTTCCTAACTCTGGGAAGGGCCAGTCCTTGGGGTCTTGGTGATGTGTTCCCTCCAGACGACACTGTGGGGAGATCCCCGTGACTCCTACCAATTCTTTTTGTTGTCGCTGGCCTGGCCAGGCTCTTTCCCTTGCATCCGGGTCTCCAGTGCCTCTTCCTGAGTTCTGGGTTTACTGACAGTGCTTGGAGTGGTTCCTTCCTGGCTGTGGTTTTTCTTGTCCTTTTCCACCTGGTCAGGCTTACGCTCTTCTAGGAACCCCTGAAATGTCACCTGCCAGCGGCACTGTGGGCTGTGGGGTGTTGGTACCGTCCTTGTCCATTCCTTAGGAATAGTGCAGCACCAGCGCCCTCTCTGGCCATGCTGAGCCGCTGCACTCTGTCCCCTGCACTGAGCACCCTGCCCGGCTGCCCCTCTGGGGCCCCTTTCCGCCCGCCCAAGAGCTCCATGTTCCTCAACTCTGCCTCCTCCCGCAGAGCGGCCCCATCCGGCTCTTCGTGCCCTACAAGAGGCGAAAGAAGGAGAACGAGCTGCCCACGACGCCCCTGAAGAAGGACTGTCCGAAGAACATCGCGCTGCTCCCGGCCGCCACTGCCACCACCTGTGAGCTGAGGGCCCGGCGTGTTTGCTCTGCCTGCCAAGTGTGGGGCCTCGTGCCAGCGCCTGCCATCCTGCCAGGGCAGGGCGTGTCAGCAGCCACTGTCCCATCCGGGCTGCTCCTCCCGTGCCGGGTGCTGCCTGGCCCCTCTGTGTCTGTTTCCCAGTGCTGAGCTGGGGCCAGGAGCGGGGTGCCCTCCGTGACAGTTTCCCGGCCTCTGACGCATCCCTGGGGGCCTCCCTGTGAGAGCCGCTGTCACCAGAGGCTCACTTGCCGGCTAGTCACTGGTGTGGACACCTGCCGAACAAAGGCTTTAATTTTAGTTTTAGTTGGTTTTTTCCCTCGTACTGGGGATCCAGCCCTTTTTAGTTTATTTTGAGATGGAGTCTAGGTTGCTTAGGCTAGGCTTGAATTTTCCATCCTCCTGCCTCAGCCTCCTGAATAGCCAGGATTACAGGTGTGGGTCACCGTGTTCTGTGGCTCTGGTGGCTTTCATCATGCTGTCCTGCTGTGTGCACACTCATCAGTCTTCCCTGGGAGGAGGGAGGGCTGGGGGAGCAGCAGCGGGGTGCTGGGGCCCTCACCCATGACTCGGTTGGCCCCAGCCCGCTATTGCTGCAGCGCTCAGGGCACAAAGTGTGTGGCTCAGCTCAGGAGCCACCAGATGCGCGCTCAGCCACATCGCTGTTTTTGTCCTCAGCATCAAAGAAAGGCCTTTTGCTTCAGACTACAAAACCACTTACAGAATATTTCATGTTTTTGTTTTCTGGCCGGGCAGTGCTCTGCTTGGTCCCCAGGCCGCCTCCACGGCATGGGCGTGGCTCTGTCCCTGCAGGCCTGAGGGCCCTGACTGCAGTGTCCTCACGTGTGTCTGCTTTGGCTAGGCTCTGGGGCCTGTCTAACACCTGTGTCCCCTGGGCTTGTGTGAGCTGTGCTCTGTCTTTCTAGTCACCGTGACGCCCTCGGGGCAGATCACCACGTCTGGGGCCCTGACCTTTGACCGTGCGTCCACTGTGGAAGCCACTGCCGTAATCTCGGAGAGCCCAGCCCAGGGCGACGTCTTCACAGGAGCCACAGGTGAGCTGCTCCAAGGACAGCCTGCCCCTGCCATGTGTCCCTGTGGCCCGGTGTCCTGTCTGTGTGAGGGGCACATGCATGCAGGTGGTGTGGGACTTTGGAGCGCAGGTTGACTCCCACGTGGGCGAGGCCATGTGTAGCTCTGGGTGCTCTGGGAGCCTCAGTAGGAGAGTGGGGCGGCTGGTGAGGGTGACTTCTGTCATGTACCCATCGAGCGCGTCCTGAGGCTGCCACAGCCCAGAGCTGTCAATGGAGTTTGAGCCTGCAGCGCCACCACCTCTGCCCTGTCCTTCTCACCCACAGTGCAGGAGGCCAGCGTGCAGCCCCCGTGCCGCGTTGGCCACCCTGAGCCCCACTACCCCGGCTATCAGGACAGCTGCCAGATTGCACCCTTTCCTGAGGCCGCATTGCCGACGTCACACCCCAAGATAGGTGAGTCTGGTGGAGGTCCTCGTTCTCAGAGTGGCTTGGTTTTTGCTGTGCTGGGGATGGAACCACAGTTGCTCGAGCGCCTGGTGCACGATCTTGCCCTGAGCCACACCCCAGCCCAGAGTTGCTTCTTGGGAGGACTTTTCCCTTGTGACTGGGCTTGCACAGGCATGAAGCATGAACTTGGGCCATAGCCACTCCGCCCCCCTCTGTGTTTGTGCTGATTTGCGCTCAGAGGCCCCTCCCCACAGAGACGGAAGTGCCAGGCCTGGGAGGAGGGTGTTTGCAGCCTGTCTGCCACGAGGACAGATCCACCACCAACACTGTGTCAGAGCAGCACTGCTGAGGGCAGAGGGACCCAGCTTACGGCCTTGTAGCTCAGAGTGCAGAATTGACACTTCTCTGTATTTCCACTTAGCTCCATGCTTTGGACCCATTTCTGTGTCTATACCTCAACGGTGCATGCAGTCACTGAACTGCTCACGGCCCTTCCTCTGCTGACGGCCATCGTGTGGTACACTACATCACTGTGGCCAGCAGTGAGGGAGACATGTTCCTGAGTTTGAAAAACAAGTCACCTCCCCTTCCCACCCGTGACTCTTCTATCCCTCAGGCTCAACTCAGACTCCATCTTCTCCAGACCCCTGCAGGCCCCACTCAGCTAGGCACTGTCCTGCCCTGGCAGGGCTGTCCCAATGGCTCTGCTCGTCACAGGGTCCGGTTCCCCCGGGCCACTGAAACCACTGTGATACCAGAGCATTCTGGTTGCTTTCCTTAGTGAAGCCACTGACCTTCTTGCCTCCGAGGCTGAACGGGGCTGGGGGTCTCCAGCACCAGGGCAGTAGTTTTTAGTCCTGAGCTCAGTCCCCTCCCTGTGTGGCAGCCTTCCCGTCATACCTCGAGGTCCTAGAGAGCCATCCTGCAGAGTGTCCCACCCAGGGCTGCACATTGATGTGCAAGGCTCTGCCTTGTGACTCGGTCAGAGATGCTGGATGTGGGGCAGGGGCTGGTGAGGGCTCTGGGCCTGAGTTCTTGTCTCGTGCCTGCTGGAAGTGATCTGGGCCCTGGGTGAGGACCTGGGTCTCCCACTGTGTCAAGAAGAGGCCATGGGTCCAGAGGCCGTGGAGATGCCCCTCCTCACTGCACAGGGCTGCCTTCTCGGTCAGTGGGTGCTGACTGCTATTGTCATCCATGCCCTGACTGCCCTAGACGTGGCCAGTGGGGCCTTGCACATGGCTGGGCTCTGCCTAGCCTCAAGGATGAGTCCTTGCTTTGTGGCCCAGCCGTGTTGGATCTCCTGTTCCTCCAGGAGCCCGGCCATGTTGCCAGGGGCTGATGCTTCTGGCCCTGGGTCCCAGCCCTTGTGACGCCTCGTATCTGCTCTGGGCCCTGTGTTCTCCTCACATTGGGTGCCAGAGATGCCCTTTGGGGCAGTCGCCCCAAGGAGTCGGCTTTTCTCCCAAGGGCTGGAGGTCAGCATTACTGTGCATTCTGGGTGCAGGGCCGTGCCTGTCCCTGGGAGGCGGGGCACACGTGTACACCACATTCGCACATGCGTATACACTCACATGCACACTCACGCCGCTGCTCCAGTCTCACCCTGTGGCTCCTCGCATGCCCTCCTGCATGTGTGTGCCCTGCTTCTCCAGCTGTGAGAAACCTGCTCTCTGGGTCGGGGTCCCCGAGTCTGGCTGCCTCTTGGGAGGCCCTGCCCTTTAGGCCCTTGTCCTTGGGTCCAGTGCCCCATGGGCAGTGTCTGGCCTGCAGTTGGTCTCAGCTCTGAACGTCACCCTTACCCTCATGTCCAGCATGGCTGGGCCTTGGCAGGGCTCCCGCAGCATTGGAAATGCTGGGCTGGGGATGTAGCTCAGTGGCACCGCCGCCTGCCTCACAAGCACAAGGTCCCGAGTTCGATCCCCGGAACCCAGAGCAGCATGGCATTGGAAACGCTGCGTGGCGCTGGGCATGCACAGGGCGGGAGGGGGGCTGCGTCCTGGGTCTCCTCGGTCTCCAGGTGGGCATCAGGCTGCATCCTGGCATCTGGGGCCCAGGGAGGCCACATGCAGAAGGTGCCCTGACCCCTGCTGTCCCTCCCCAGTGCTCACATCCCTGCCCGCCCTGGCCATCCCACCCTCCACTCCCACCAAGCCTGTCTCCCCGGCATCTCTCAGTGGGCTGGAGATGGCAGAGCCGCGGAGCTGGCTCTACCTGGAAGAGATGGTCAATAATTTGCTTAACACGACGCAGCAGCTGAAGACGCTGTTTGAACAGGCCAAGCAGGCCAGCACCTGCCGAGAGGCCGCCGCCCAGGCCAGGACGCAGGCTGACGCAGAGCGGAAGGAGGTAAGGTGACGCAGGCCGTGAGGCCCGCCTGTGTCCGGGCTGTTGGCACCAGCAGGGGCACCTGCAGGACAGACCCTGCCGCTGACCCCATACTGGGGAGTGAGCCCAGGGCCTCACGCTGTGCAGGCGCCCGACCCTGATCTGCAGCGCATGCGTCTCAGCTAACGTAGGTGCTGTGAGGGCCTGGGATGGGGCCATGGCAGCCTGTGGAGGAGAACACAGTGTCGTCCCAAGCAGGCCGCTCTGCCTGATGTCACAGGACACGTAGAGTAGCAGCTGGCAGCTGGGCCTCAGGTCTCAAGTTCAGCACCAGACTTTCCAGCACCAGACTTTCCAGTTCTGATGAATGTTGTTTTTATCTGATCTTTCAAGCGATTCCTTAAGGTGGGGTGAATTTGTTTTCAAGGACAGAAACATTGTTTCCACTCTTGGAGGTAGAAAAAACTTTAAATACTTTTCCAAAAAGTATGATTCCAAACGAAGACATACTCTATGCTGCAATCTGGAAAGCAGAAAAGTTTAGGGAAAACAAGATCTGACATTCCTTTGCCAAATGATGACAGTTAATGTCTTCTGTAGCCTTTTGGACTTGTTAGAACTAGGTGTAAATTTTGTCTGTCAAAGTGCCTGGGTCCGGGCACATGGCCAGGCGGCTTGCGTGAATGTGCTGTGCTCACAGAACGACCACTGCCTGGCAGCTCCTGCTCCCGTCCTGCTGTCCCACCCAGACGCTGGTCTTGGTTCTGCCATCAGCAGCAGCTCTGACCTCAGGGGGCTTGATGGGTAGATGGGTGGCTGCACGGCTCCTACCTTTCCTGTTGCTGCTTTTGTTTTGAGGCTGAGGTTCATTTTTCTCAAGGTTCCCTTTTTGAGACAGGGTCTCCTGTGTTGCCCAGGCTGGTCCCCAACTCCTGAGCTCCAGTGTCCCCTGGCCCTGTCTCCCAAGTAGGTGGGACCACAGTTGTCCTGCTGTGCTTGCTGGCCAAGTAAGCTCTTGGTTCTGCCGGGCACAATGTGCCCATGAGGGCTTGGTTCGAGCCTATGCCAGGGTTATAAAAACAACCTGCCTTGGCTGGGCATGGTGACACACGCCTGTAATCCCAGCACTCAGGAGGCTGAGGCAGGAGTTTTGCTGTGAGTTCAAGGCCAACCTGAGCTATGTAGTGAGACCTTGCCTCAAAAAAACCCCTGGCCCCCAGTGTAGCAATAAGGTACCCAGTCGCACATCAGCAGCCTCTTGGTGGAGTCCTGGGGAGGGGGAGTGTGTGCTGGGCCTTCCTCACCAAAACCATGGTGACGTGGGCACACAACGGGGCAGAGCAAGTCCCTGGGCCATGGTGAGACAAGCCCTGGGAGCCAGCTCTACAGGCATTTTGTGGGACCAGATGTGGGCAGTGTCTGTCCCCCAGCGCAGGGAGGCGTGGTGAGCAGCTTCTTGGGGTGGGGGCTGCGGGGTGGGAACAGCACAGGCGGCTTCCCCTCACTGTGGAAAGTGCCTGGAGGTTTTCTGTTAGGGACTTCCTGAAGTGCTCCTGGCTAAACAGCCCGTGTTGAATGTGATTCCATTCCCTGAGCCTGGGCCTCTGGATAGCAGGAAGAGGTTCAGTGGATGGGGCTGAGTGAGTGCCACGCCCCTGCTGGGAGCAGAGACCCCAGGACCTGTCCCAAGTCCCTCAGTTTCACTCCCCTCCCTCGGAAGCCCCAGGAGACAGGATGGATGCAAGGCCTCATCACACTATGGCCTGGACCTTTTCTGTAGAAATTAATTTTAAAAGAAATAAATTTAGCCCAGTTGAAGGTAATAAGGGGATTTTTGTCAGTTTTAGTGGAAAATTTGCATTCGTGTGTTTGTAATCAGTTCTGCCTTGGCTAAACAGGGCAGAAGAGCACACGTCCTTGCTGGGCACAGGGTCCAGCAACTGCCACCCAGTGGTCCCAGGCCCTTGGGCCGACTACCACAGCCTGGCTTGGGCTGGCACTGTCCGAGGCCTGTCCCTGTCCCTGCAGCATGTCCCCACCACCCCTGGCTCCTTCTCAGCCCTCTTCAGGCTTCCTTCCCAACTTTCTGTAAAAGTTAAATGTGTCTTGGCACAGGTGCAGGGGAGGGGTGGCCAGCCAGGGGACTCTGACCCCCCTCCCCCAGCAGCGTAGGGCTTGGCCCAGGTCCCTGAGGATCAGGCAAGGTACCCTCTGCTCCTCGTGAGCCTGACACAGCCCACCCTGATGGTGAATGAGGAGCATGGCCCCTACTGGTGCCTGTCTCAGGAATGTTGGAGCTGACCGCTGACCACTGATGCCACTGCCTGTCCCCAGGTCCCCGGGAGGGTTCTCAGAGCACCTGCTGGGCAGTAGGGGGCCACCTGGACACACATGTCTCCTCAGCCTCGGAAGGGAGGGCACTGTGACAGGCTGGAACCCGGAGCCCAGGAGGCCCCATGGGAGATGTGAGGGGGCCTCACAGCCAGTGACAAGCTCAAGGCTGGGACACAGGCGGACAGCAGCTGCAGTGCCTGCAGACTGGCCTGGTGCAGGCCGAGCCATCCACTCCCTTGTTTAAGAATGTGGCCTCCCTAGCATGGTCCGGAGGCTCTCTGGGGTGGTGTCACAGCCCTGACCAGCTGGGGAAGATGCCATTAGACTGATCCCTTGATTGGCTTATGCCACCCAGCCTCCAGATGGACTTTGGTGTGGGAGTTTCCTGTTCCTCCAGCTGCTGCTCCCAGGGTGTGACACTGAGGGAGGCCGTGACACTGTGACATTCAGTGGACGGATCAGAGCCTCTCTTCTTAGTCTGAGTCTCTGTCCTCACTGAGCACAGGCTCTGCCCTGTGGTCCTGAGGGAGGAGTTGAACCTCTGTCCCCCAAGGGTGTTGCCTATGACCCCGCCCCTGGCAGGCCCTGGGCCCCAGGCCTTGGGTGGAAACAGCTCAACTTGCCCTGGGCAGCTGGCTAAGGCCCTCACTTAGCTGTCATAGAACCAGGGTCCAGAGGTCAAGAAGCAAGGGTGAAGGGGCCAGTAGTTGTCCTGGAGACAGTTTTGAGCTACCCTGGGCCCAGCCCCTAAGTTTTCAAGTTCAAGCTGTTGGATTATTTCCAGAATAAGTAACCAGAATAGCATTGAGCATACTGTTCCTTCATAAAGAATTAGTAGGTCTTTGGGAAGTGATTTTTTTTCAGGCTAGGTGTAGTAGCACACACTGTATTTTTAGCACTCTGGAGGCTGAGGCAGTGGGATCACTATAAGTTTGAGCCCAGCCTGCCTGGGCTATGTAGTGAGACCTTGTCCTAAAAATAAATGTTGTGTTTTTTTGGTCTTATTCTCCGTTGGCGTTTAAAAGAAGGTGCTTAGGCCAGCTCAGGTGGCACACACCCGTAAATACAGTTACTTGGGAGGCTGAGGCAGGAGGGTCATGTGTTCAAGGCCAGCCTGGCCAACTTAGTGAGACCCTGTCTTAAAACCAGGGCTGGATGTAGCTTGGTGTTTGAGCACTTGCTTAGCATGTGCAAGGTGCTAGGTTCCATCCCCAACACTGCAAAAAATAAAATACAGTCAAGGAAAATAAAACAAAAGCAGCTTGTTCCTGTGATACATGCTCCAGGTGTGTCCCATCTCAGCCAGTCATGCTGATGGCGACAAAGCCAACTTAACTGCTGGTTCTTCAGGGTGCCCCTCGCTGGGAGTTGGGCCACGCTGCACGCTGTGCACATGGAATGTCCCTTGCAGGGTCTGAGCTGGCAGGGCCTGCACACATCTTTCCAAGTGCTGAGGCCGGGGTTTCTGCCCAGAGCAGCTGCTGGCACAGGACTCTGGTGGTGCCAGTGGTGTCCGTGTGTGCAGCGGTTGAAGGTGCTCCGCCTTGGCCCAGGCTGTGGCCTCTGTCCAGGGCTCTTCTGGGTCCCCCGGGGCCCGTGGGCAGCCTCCTGGTCCTGTCCCTGAGATGCGGATAGGACGTGTGCTCAGGACACTTATCAAGTACTGCGCTTCTTCCCCAACTGGGTTTTCTGTGTAGCTGACAGGGTCCTTGCAGTGTGGATGCTACTGCCGGTGCATATGGGGCTGACACAGCGAGGCAGGAGTGGGGTCTGGAGGAAGACCACGTCGGAGGCCAGTCTGCCCCTGCGTGTCTGTCCCTGGAGTCGGGCCGTGCCACTGACTGCCCTGTTCCTCCTGCAGCAGTCGTGTGTGAACTGCGGCCGGGAGGCCCTGAGCGAGTGCACCGGCTGCCACAAGGTCAACTACTGCTCCACGTTCTGCCAGCGCAAGGTACGTCCCAGTCTGTGGGACCCCGAGTCCTCCCTCCTGTCCCCGAATGATGCTGTGCCTGTTGCCCCTGAGGAGGCCCCAGAAGTGGCAACCGTTGGCTCCAAGGCACCGTCTGAGGCCAGCAGGTCGTGTAAAGCTGCACAGTCTGCTTGTCCCTCAGCTCTTCGGTGTAAGGAAATTAAACGGGTTGTCTGGACCTACAGATGCTGTCCCACGTCCCTCAGGCCACTCCTGGGTAGTCAGGGTCTTATTTAGTTAATGTGGATGGCTCTGATTGCTGTGTCCCTCATCCCCCGCTGGGTGCGGCTTACCCAGTGCAGCTGTGCTGAGATGGGGGAGTGCATGGTGGGGGCAGGACCACCTGTCCCTCCGGCCCGACAGTGTGGGCCTGGGCCTGGGCCTGTGGGAACTGGGCCTCTCTCCAGGTCACCTTAGTCATAGCTATGTCCCCTGCTCTTTTTTTTTTTTTTTGTACTGGGAATCAAACTCGGGTCCTTATGCTTTCGACGCAGGCAGCAGAACCACTGAGCTAAATCCCCAGCCCTTCCCTGCTCTTTATGGGGTGCTTCCTCAGGAACATTCGTGCCTTAGGGACAATCCGTGTCCTTTCATCCTGCCTTCCGCTCTGCGGGGACTGGGAGGGAGGGTGGGTGCTGACCCTTGATCTGACTAGGGGTCCCACTGGTCAGCAGAGCAGACACGAGGGGCCAATATGGCCTTGGTGGTCTGGAGCCCTCGCTGCTGGGCTTCGGGCCAAGTCTTGCTCTGTGACTCCTGCTCAGTGCCCATCTGAATTCCCATGGGCTGGAAGGTGCCACTGGGGATAAAGAGGATGCTGGTCCAGTGTGAGCACAGCCCAGCTGCCCTCACAAGAGCCCGGTGTTCTGCAGACAGAGCCTCCCCAGACCTGCTGCACTCTGATGCCGGCCCTGTCCCAGGGGAGGAACAGAGGTGCCCAGCAGGATGGGGTATGAAGGGCTGGCCTTGGGGTGGGCACAGCCCAGGGTCTGCAGGTGCCTAGGCCCTCTCAGGGTGTGCAGCAGCAGGAGGAACAGTCCTGTCGCCCTGAAGGGTGCTCGGGAACTGGTGCATGGCCTGCCCTCGCCTTGCACCCTGCTCACTCCCAGCATGGCAGAGATGCAGGAAGCCGAGCCAGGTGCCCAGGTCCCCTGAGTGTCAGTAATGAGCTTGGCTGAGAAAGGGCATCGGAGTCATTCCTGAGCACTTGGAGAGACTGACTGGAGCCCAGAGCTGCTGAGAGGGAAAGGACGAGGTAGGCGCACACATGGCTGGGGTGGATTCTTCCGAGTGGCATTCTGAGTGCGAGCGCCTGCCTTGCCCTGCAGCCCTTCCCTGGGGGTGGAACCCCAGCGACATCTTGTTGACAGATTACACCCAAAGTGAGCACCAGACAGGATGGAAGAAGAGTCCCCAGGCTGCACCTCCTTACCTGACCTTGGGAGGTGCCACAGAGGGCTCTGCGCTGCCGGTTTCTAGGCCAGGATGGCAGTCGTGACTTGTTTTGTGGCTTCAACTTGCATACCATTTCTCTTTAAACTCCAAGTGTGTGAGTTTACATCTTTATTGTGGTATGTACAGTTTATATACCATACAGTTCAGCCACATTAAGTTTACAATTCAATTCTTTTTAATTACAGAACACTTTTTTTTTTTTGGTACCAGGGATCAAACTCGGGACCTTGCATTTGTGAGGCAGGCGCCAGAACCACTGAGCTAAATCCCCAGCCCCAATTCAATTCTTTTTAGTGAATTGTTTACAGAGTTGTACAGTTCAGTCTTAGAACTTTCCTCCTAAAGTCCCGTGAACCCCCCAGCAGTGCTAACCAATCTTCTGTCTGTCGTTTGCCTGTCTGGACATTTCATGGACAGGAATTGCCCTAGTGGCTCTGTCTCTAGCTTCTGCTCACCGTGTTTCCAGGACCCATTCAGTGACAGCACCAGCAAGGTTTCGTCCCCCCTGGGCTGCCCAGTCACAGTCCCCTGTGCCGGGTGCACAGCTTGCCTGCGCACCCCGAATTTGTCACCTCTGAGCTGTCTGCTGCCTGGCCAGCATGGATGCTGCTGCTGGAGACTTTGTTGGGGGGATATGCATCCCCACTTGTTGGGTAGACACCTGGGAGGGTTTGCAGGTCACATGGTGAAGGTCTGTTCGGGGTGATGAAGAAACTTCCAGGCTGTTGTCCAGAGTGACATCCCACTGCTCTGTTGGCCCTGTCTCACATCCTCACCAGCCCGATTCCTTTGATCACAGCTGTTCTGTAGGTGATGTGTGGTCTCAGCTTGACGTGACTGCAGCATCTTGGGTCACAGCCACCATGACCATCCAGAGAGACACTAGCTGGTATTTACTGCAGTTTCCCAGCAAACTGTAAAGAGATAAAACCATTAGAGTCACAGCTGGGGCATTGCAGCTGTACCCTGGACATGCTAGCTAGGTAAAGTCACTTTTGCCCCAACCCACAGATACTCCCCTTTCTGACCCCAATTGCTGGCTCCTTGAACCCCACTTCTGTCAATAAGTCTCCAGTAAATTTCTCTGTCTGCCCCTGTTCCGTCCCTCACACACTGAGGCTGGTCCTCATGCACTGGGACTAGGTGGTATCGGAACAGGAGAGGATCCATGTAGGGTGAGTTCTAAGTCCCACTTCCCTAACACCTCAGCAGGCTGGGCATCTTTGGAAAGCTCACTATGTGTTTGCATATCTTTTTTGGTGAAATGGCTCTTTAAATCTCTTGCCTACCTTTTAAGTTGGATTGCTTCTTTTCTTGTGGAATTTAGAGCCTTATATATTTTGGATACAAGTCCTTTATCAGATACATGATTTGCAAGTATTTTCTGCCAATCTATGGCTTGCCTCTACTTTGTTCATTTATGTTTTTGGTGCTGGGGATTTGAATCCAGGGCCTCACACAATCCAGTCCTTCACTTTCTTAATGATGTTTCTTACCGGGTGAAAGTTTTTAATTTTGATGGTTATGAGGACAGTGCTTTTGGCATTTTATCCTGGGACTTGTGGTCTTGGATCTCAGTTTTGCCTAACTCAGGGTTAGGAAGATTTTTTTTCCTGTTTTCTTCTAAAACATAATTTTAGCTCTCAGGTTTAGACTTATGATAGATTTTTAGTTAGTTTTTATTGATGGTAGGAGGCAGGGGTTCGAGCTCATTTTCTGCATGTAGATATCCAGCTATCTCAGCTGCCACTGCAGAGTACACTTGGCAGTCAGAAAGGGAGTCCCTAGCTTTGTTCTTTTTCAGAACTGCTTTGGTTGACTTGGTCCTGTGCATTTTCTACGCATTCTGAGACCAGCTTGTCAGTTTGTGGAAAAAGGCTTGCTGGGAAGCATCGAGCTTGATCACCGAGCCCCTGGTCTGTGAACACAGAGCGCCTTCGCCCTCCTTGGCTGCTGTCAGGAAGGTTTTGTCCATCGTATAAAAGTCTGTTTTAGGCCGGGGATTTAGCTCAGTGGTTTCATCGCCTGCTGCGCAAGCGCAAGAAACTGAGTTTGATCCCCAGTACCAAAAAAAAAAAAGTCTGCCTTTGTTTGTTGGCTTCGTTCCAGAGCAGCTTATTGTGGATGCTCTTTTGAATGGAATTACTTTCTTAGTCTCATTTTCAGGTGCTTACTGTAGTGCTAAGGAAAACGAGTGATTTTTGGACTGTGTGGTTTCATTTGTGCCGCATGGTCTCTGAATGAAGATAGTGCTTGCTGTGCAATCTGGGGGCCTTTTCTTTTCTCTTGCCTCACTACACCCTCTGATGCAGTACAGTGCTGAAATGTGTTTGGAGCAGAAGTCCCTGCCTCGTTCCCCTCTCAGGGGCAGATGGTTCGGTCCTCCACCCTTAACTGAGATGCTGCCTGTAGGTCTCTTAGCAGGCGAGGAGCTCCCCACATCGCCAGTTGAGTTTCTGTCGGTAATGCTGTAGCATGTACTGCAGTGACCTCTGGAGCAGTTAAGCCAACCCTGGGAAATCCCAGTTTCCTGGGAAAATCCCTTGGTCACGCCACACTATCCTGCTCCTCTCAGCTTGATGTTTGCCATCTTGCTGGGGGTTTTCTGTGTCTGTGCATGAGAGATTGGTCCCATTGTATCCCGAGATGTCCGCCTGGCCTCCGGCTGAGTCGGGAAGTGTGTGTGCCTCTTCTGAAAGACTCGGGCGATCACTGTTGTTTCCTGGCAAAGGTTCGTTAGAAGTCACTTGCAAAACCAGCCAGGCCTAGACTTCTCTGCAGAAGAACTTTTATTACCTGCAGTTAGGTTCTGTTGCTTCTTGAGTCGGTGTTGGCAGTCCACAGCCTTCCGGGAACCTGTCCGTTTCTTCAGGGCTCTTTGGTGCTCCATTAGGACCCTTTGGATTTCTCTGTGGCTGGTTGTGAGGTCCCTTGTTTGCCATTGTTCCCAGCAGGGACGCGTATTTCAGTGGCAGCGCCAGGCTTGTCCCCTCTGGGGGTCTCAGCAGTGAACAGCTCTTGGTCCCACTGTTTCTCTACTGTTTTCTGGCTTCCTACTTCCCTTCCTTCCTCCCACTGTGCCCGGTTTGCTTTTGTTTTCCCAGTCCTTGGGGTGAAAGCTTATGCTGCTAGCTTGATGTCTGTCTTCTTTCCCAATACACACATTTAAAGGGCCACGGTGTCCCCCACACCGCAGCCCTAAGGCTGTCTCACACACACACAGGTGGTTTTCCTGCTTATCCACTGAGGGCTGGAGTGTAGCTCAAGGGTATAGAGCTTCTAGCATGCTCACAGCCCTGGGCTCGACCCCCAGTAATGCAAAAATAAAATGTTTATTTTATGATTCCTTTAGAAGTGTTAGTTTCCAGGTATCTGTGCATTTTCTAAGGCTACATTTGTCACCAATTTCTACTTTTACTGTGGTTGGAGAACACACTGTGGAGGACTTCAGTCCCTTTGAACGGACTGCGATTTGCCTGGGCCTGGCCTGTGCCCCTTGTGTGTGCTTGCTGATTTCTCTCCAGGACTCAGAGCAAGGCATTGTGTTGTCAGCTTTTGCTCCCTACATTTGGGGGTTCTGTTGTCAGGTTAGCAGTTACTTATTCATTCAGAGGGACTGAGGATTGAACCCAGGGATGTTTTCATTTCAAGACATGGTCTTGTTAAGTTGCTGAATTCCCCGGGATGGGCGCAGACTTGTGATGCTGTCACAGGTCCAGGCCCCAGCTGCAGGGGGAGCTCTCGATGCCTAGGTGTCCTGGACCCTCGCTGTCTTGTGCCTGTGTCTGTCCCTTGGATTATGTCACCTAGCCGTGGCTCCCAGACCTGTAGGACTCGTGTATTTCCAGTGGAGGACCTGGGGCTGCTGGGGAGCAAGGGCATCTGAGGAGGCCTGGCCTCCCACCTTGAATGCCTTCCCAGCTCGTCCTCCCTCTTGGGGGCGCTATATCTCCCTGCTCCCTGCATGTTGGGGGTTTCTTTGGGGGGGGGGTACCTGGGATCGAACTCGGGACCTTGCGCTTGTGAGGCAGATGGCAGAACCAGAGCTAAATCCCCAGCCCTTCCCTGAATGTTTTTGACCCGTGAGCCCCAGATCATTTCAGTCAGCTTGGATTTTTTTCTTCTGGCAGTGCTGGGGATGGAACCCAAGGGTGCTCTACTACTAAGCTACATCCTCAGCCCTTTTTAACTTTTTTTCGAGACAGGGTCTCCATAAGGTGCCCAGGCTTCAAACTAGTGATCCTGCCTCAGTCTCCTGAGTAGCTGGGATTACAGGCCCATACCACTACGCCTGGCTGGGAACCTTGTTTTTAAGCCTACCCTGGTGGTTGTCTGATCCTGAAACCTCAGGGGTATGGGGAAGGCTGGACCCCAGGTGGACTGGAGCAGGGCCAGGCAGCATAGGCACTGAGTTGATGTGTCCTAGCCCAGCAGCTCTGGGAGCAAAGGCCAGGGGCACCCCACCCCAGCCCCTCCACACACATCTTGCTGTGTCCAAGGTTTTCCCCCAGCCCGCTCCTGTGACTGCCATCTTTACCTCCTTGCAGGACTGGAAAGACCATCAGCACATATGTGGCCAGTCGGCAGCTGTCACTGTCCAAGCTGACGAAGTGCACGTCACCGACAGCGTGATTGAGAAGGTCACCGTGTGAGCTGAGCACTTCCCCGCCTCCCAGAAGGCCGAAGACCCTGCAGACGGGGACGTGGAGGAGACAAGGGGCAGGAAGCAGCTAGTGGACAGGTTCCCACAGACTGCAGCCCAGCGGCACCCTGGACAGGCGCTCCCCACCCAGCAGGCCCAGGAGGGCTGACAGCAGGGGACAGCCCAGGTCCGTACCCTCACGGTGCTCTCACCGGGACCGCGAGTGTGCACTCGCCCACGGTGTCCCGGAGCTGCGACACGTGTACACGCGTGTCATGTCGTGTCGTGTCTGTCAGCAAAGCAGTAAATAAAGCCCCGACCCACGCATCACCTGGTGCCGCAGCTTGACGCAGGCTCTCAGCCTGAGGGGTTCCGTCCTGTTTGTCCTCATGGCACGTGGCAGGGCCAGGCTTCAGTACTTCTCTTGCTGACCTTGAGCGGGGCCTGCAGGGGACAGGATGTCTGCCTGGGGCAGCTGTGGCTGGAGGGCCGGAGAAGGGGGCTCCAGTCCTTGCATAGAGGGCCTTACATGGGAAGGCGGCCTCGGGTGCGCCGGCTCCACATCCTCTCCCAGTGACCTGGTACCCGAGCTATGCCCGAGGGTAGCTAGTTGAGTGCACACAAAACATTTTGCCTGGTAGCCTGTGCCCAGGGTCACAGAGCCCTGGTCATCTTTGTGCGGTTCACTCTGCTGTCCTCAGGAGCAGGGCCATGGGGCTGGATGCATTTGGGGGGTCCTCACCCCAGGGTGTTCGGATGTTGGTCCCCTTTGCTGACATCAGTGCTACTATGTTCTGGAAGCTTCCCCACCTTTCTAGCCATGCCCTCCCAGTGCCCACTGAGGTCCTGTCTGCTGGGTTCCCTCGAGGCGCCTGAGAGGAGGCAGATGCACCAGGCCCAGCTGGGAATGGCACCCACTCCCATGCTTGAGGCTCCTCCAAGTTCCCAGGCTGACCACAGGGGCGATGCCCACAGGTACCAGGTCCAAGACAGGAGGGCATGAGCCTCGGAGGCGCTGGCTTTGGGGGGCACCTGTGCTCTGAGGACCAGCCTGAGGCTCCTCCCACTGCTGAGCCCAGGCCTTCATGGCCAGGCTGCCTGAGGGCCAAGTCCGGCCCCTTATGCTGGCCTATCCCTGGAGTAGGCAGGCTGATCCCCAGCACTGAGCTGGCTGCGGCTCAGGCAGGGACCTTGTCAGCCCTCAACCCTGTCCAGCCACACAGGCCACATGGAGGCTGCTGGGCACCTGCAGGGGGCTGGGCCTGGCCAGGGGGTTTGCAGCAACAGGTGGCAGGAAGCCGAGGAACACTGGGCAGGCAGAGGACTGCCCAGACAGCGCTGAGCAGAGCGTGGCCTGTGGGGGACAGGGCCACCTATCCCCTGGAGGAGGTGCCTGGGGCCTTGGCGCAGGGAGGGTCCAGATGGATACCACTGCCCTACTGCAGGCCTGACGCTTCCTGGGTTTGGGAAACATCTTGCTCTTCCCCTTGGCTTTAAAAACCTGCAGACCTCAGGCTTGGGGTGTCTCCAGGGGCTCACTTTCTGAGGGCCTTGGTGTCGACCCTGGAGTGTGGAGGCTCCTGGCGGCCACCTGTTTACAGAGCCGCTCAGCAGGGCCAGCAGGGTCAGGCACACTTAGGCCCTCAGGTCTCAGGGCAAAGCTCAAGGGAGTCCCACCTCCCACACAGCGTCGCTGTCTCTCCGCAAACCTGTGACCCAGTTTGTTCCCTGAGGTGTGAGAAATGGCTGTTACTGGGAGGAGGCTGGGGGCTTCCTGGGTGCCCCTGGAGCCATGGAGAGAGCGTGGGCGTGGGGGGGGGCATGGCCCCTCTGCACAGAGCACTCGCTTCCTGATGCTAAGGTGGTGACCTCAGCTCGTAGACCTCAAAGCCCCTCACTTCACCTCCTGCTCATGGTCTCGGGATGCTGCCCCCCCTAGGACCCCTCAGCAGCTGGGGGCTGCATGCAATGGTAGGGGCCCAAGAGAGCCGCACAGGGCAGCAGGGTTCCCCCTCCCCAGCCTTTCCCTGCAGGAGTCACCCCCCAGATCCCCTCGTCCCGATCCTGGAAGGGCAGCGGCCATGGGACTGGGTAGCCCGGTACTCTGCACAGAGCCCCTCCCCACGCGGCTACCCACAACCACACCCCACAGGTCAGGCAGGAGTTGGTTTAATCAGATGACGGCTCGGCCCCTCCCGGCCGGCCGGCCGATCCCCGGGAGATGGATAAGCAGCACAGGCGCAGTGCTTTGTGAAAGACGGCCCGGAACTCGGCATTGAAGACGGTGTAGACGATGGGGGAGTTGAGGGCGCTGTGGACGTAGCCCAGCCAGGTGACGGCGCTGACCGGGCGCGGGGACACGGAGCACCCGGGACACAGCGCGCGCATGATGTGCACCACGAAGAAAGGTGTCCAGCACAGCACGAAGGCCCCTGGGGACGGGCATTATGAGCAGGCGCCCTGGCGGCCAGCAGCGCGCGTCTGGTCCCCTCCCCTCGCTGCACCACGCCCTGACCTCCGCCTCCAGTACCGCCTGCCCTTGCCCGCTCAAAGGGGTGGAGAACCCACCGACCACCACCGGCAGGACCCTCATGGCCTTGCGTTCCCAGCTGGAGATCTTGGGGCGCCGCCTCCTGCGGACCTGCGGCGGGAGCGCCGCGTAAGGGATGGGGTCTGGAGCGACATAGCGCCTTCCAGGTCCCGGGGAAGGCCGGGAGCGGGTGCGCAGTCCAGCGCGCAGGGCAGCCCGGGCGCGGAGTCCTCGGGGTCCAGGGTGCTGGGGGCGGACCCGGGCCGCTGGGCCGGTGGGGAGCGCGCGAGTGCGGCTTGGTTCGCCGGGCAGCCCCCCAGCGCCGCAGTCCGCGGATGGTGGCCCAGGAGAGCAGAAGCATGAGCGGGCAGGGCAGGAGGAAGGAGCACACGGACGAGTAGACCACGTAGTCGCGGTCCTCCAGGCGGCACACGGCCGGGTCGCGGCCGCGCACGTCATTGAAGCCGCACAGCCCCGGCGCGGCCACTGCAGCGGACAGCAGCCAGGCGGCACCTATGAGCAGCAGCTGACGCCGGCCCTGCCGGCCATAGCTCAGCGGCACAGTCACGGCCACGGCCACGAACCTGCGGGGCGGGGCGACAGGGGCGTGAGGACGGGGGCGGGGCGGGCAGGTTGCCCACCTGTCGACGCTGATGGCGCAAAGGTTGAAGATCGAGGCCGTGCAGAGCATGACGTCCATAGCCATGAGCTCGTCGCAGAGGCCGGGGCTCAGCAGCCACTCTCCGCCGTGGACCTGGGCAGCCACGAGAGCGCACAAGAGACACAAGACCTGACATTTCCAGCCACAGCCACGGCCGCGGACTCCCTACCCCCACTCTTTGGCGGAGCAAGGCTGAGGCTCACGGGAAGGGGCCCCATGTGAACCTGAGGTGGCTGGAGGGCCCCTGCCCAGGTCTCCTTGTGTTAGGACCGCGAAGCCTGGGAGAGACCCTGGGTGTCTGATGTCATCGCGGGAGAGCAGCCTCAGGCCTGGCTGGGCCGGGCTGAGAGTCATCCTCTGGCTAAACTGTCCGCGGACTTGGAATAAGTTACTTCACTGTTTCCTCCTCTGGGATGCGGGTGGTGACAATATTCACCTCACAACTGTCCTAAGGACGAATGAGTGTAGAAATGACGACGACCTCGGCACAGTGCCCAGTCCAGGATCATGCATGGAGCACCTCCCCCAAAGGGCAAAGAGGCAGCCAGCTGCCCCTCTACATCCTGCTGATGGGGACGATTAGGCGCCTGACGGTCGTCACGTGACGTCCTGCGCTGCTTGGGAGCAGCCGAGGTCGAGCGAGTCCTTGCTGCAGGCCTGCGCCTCAGCGTCTGGCCTCTGGTGTCCACCCTGAAGCCGGCGTCCCCTCCCCCACAGCGCAGGACACCGCGTCCCAGCCCAGCGCTTAAGAGGCTTTGCTCGGGCCAAACCTGCGCGCAGAGACGTGGGCGCCAGGTGGGCACGCTGGAGAGCAATCCGGGCCCTCCCAGCTCCCGCTCCCGCTCAGCACTTGGCTCCGCACTCGCGGACCGTCTGTGCGTCCTCCCTGCGCCCCAGCCGCAGGGTGCGCGGGGTGGACTGGCGAGCGCGTGAGAGGTCCTGCGTGACCGTGGCGCCTTCCGTGGTGTGTACACCTTGGGCACTGGGGGCGGCCGACCCTGCATCTGCCCGTCCATCCAGCTATCAAGAGGCGGCCCTGGACTAGCAGAGTTGCCCGTTTCTGAGGTCCCTGGCTCAAGGGACAGAGGCCTCTCTTGGGTGGCAGACGCCAAGACAGGGGGAGGTGGCAGAGGGACAGCAAAACGGCCGGGGGACGCCGGGACCAGGCGCCCGGCAACTGCTGGGGATCGAGCTCCTGGGGCTACGCTCTGGGCCTCGGCGGGGCGGGGCAGGGAGGGGAGGGGGGGGGCAGGGAGGGGAGGGGCGGGGCCACAGGAGCAAGGCCGGCGCTGGCTCACCTCGGCACAGACGAAGAGCGGCAGCACGAGCAGCGCAAGGGGGAGGTCGGCGGCCGCCAGGCTCGGGATGAAGTAGTTGGTGGGCGTCTGCAGCGCGCGCTCGGAGGCCACGCTCATGCACAAGAGCGAGTTCCCCGCCAGGACCGCGCCAATGAGCAACACGGGGCCCGCCAGCGCCACCACGCCCGCGCCCCCTAGCCCCCCGCCTGTGCCCGCAGCCCCCGCTCTGGCCCCGCGCCCCACCAGCAGCCAGCCCGCGTCCGCGGCCCTGCGGTTCCCCATGGTGCATGGCCCACGTGCCTGAGCGTACACGCGACGGCTGCCTGCAGCCCCGCCCCACCGCCGCCGTCCCTCCCACAACGCACCGGGCAGGGGGGAGTAAGGGCCAACCTTGCTCTTCAGCCCCGCCCCAGGAGTGTCGGGGTGGCTCGTGCCTGCGCTGTGCGCGCCGTCTACGGCCCGGGCTTCTGCACTCCCTACCCTGGAGCCCAGCTTCGCGGGTGCAGGGCCGCGGAGGAGAGGGTGTTCGTCTGCACTTCGAGACAGACGGGGCGGGCGGCCCGACCAGGGCTGTGAGCACCTTGAGGCGGGCGCAGGCGCCACCCCCTCGCCCCGCTCTCCGGGACAGGCGCGGCCAAAGCCTCGAACGCCCCCTCCCAGGGCTCCGGGCTGCCCGCTGCGCCGCAGCCTCCACCCTCGCAGATCCCCGCGACCCCACCTTGGCCGTGGTGGACAGCGGGCACTCCAACCTCGAGTTTTTGCCCGTGCGGTGGTGAGAACTGGACGCCCCTCTCCTGCTGCAGGGACTGGGCCGGCTGTTGGAGCCCCTCCTGGGGGAGGGGGCCCGATCCATGCAGCTGACTCCCGGGACACAGCGAGAAGTGGCCGAGGGGGCAGCCAGCACGCCTCACGATTGCAAGAGCGGGAGAAGAAAGGGCAAGGACAGTGCGAGGCTTTGGCGAGGCAGGAAGGACGCCCGGGAGCTGCTCTCTTGGAGCTGTCACTGCAGGGGGCGTCCCGCACCGTGCCTGATGCACACTCACGCCAGCCCCCAGTTCCTCTCCTAGCCGAGGAGCCCCGCCTGGCAGCCAGGGAAGAGCTCTTCCAGGAATCCGGGGTCCTGATTTCAAAGATGTCAGGGGCCCGGCTGGTAGTTTCTGTTAGAGGCTGCGCGTGGTGGCGCACTCCTGTAATCCCAGCACTCCAGGCTGAGGTCAGCCTGGGTTACACAGTGAGAGCCTGTCTCAAAAAACAGAGACAGAAATATCAAGGACTCCAAGAAAACAGGTCTCCTGGAGTCTGAGAGCCAAGCACAGACAGGATCCAGGCTGGCCCATGTTCCAGACCTCGGTCCCTCCTGGGCGGATCCTCAGGGGCCAGCGGTCTCTCCCTGCCATGCTTGAGCCACAGAACTCACAACATAAGTGACCGCCGCCAGGGGACGCCCTTGGGACCGAAGTCCCGGGTAAGTGGTCCTGGAGCCTGGGTTGGCGCTCTGCGCAGTTCTGAGCCTTTTCCTGCGTCCAGATGTGCGCCACAGTCAAGAAGCTGGAAGGGACGTGAAGGCAGAGTCAGCGCGGGCCTGCGGGTGGCCGGTCCTGCAGCCTCACCCTGCCTGTCAGCTCTGCCCCGCAGATCCCCACGAGCCTCGTGGCTCAGGGTGAGGTTCGTTTCTCCTTGCGTTTCTACCAGGTTTTGCCTCCTGTATCTTGGGCAGGATTTGTTGTGAGGTGTCTACACATGCAACCTCAGCTCTAAATGAATCCGTTTTAAATGTAAAATTTAAACCTGTAAAAAAATTACGGAGAATAAAACGAGGGAAAATTCTCGTGACCTGGGATTAGGCAAAATTTTAGATACAATGCTGATAGCATGATCCACAAATGGAAAAATTCTAAACTAGACTTAGTCAAAATTACAACTTCCAGCCACAGACTGGAAGAACAAATTAACAAATCGTATGTTCACCAAATGTCTTGTACAAATAAAATGATAGCAGTATGTGGTCTTTACAAAATATATAAAGAACTTCCCAACCCAAGAGCACTGAGGACCGAGAGGAGGAGGGCGGAGCGATAACCCTTTGGATCTAGTCTTTCAACAAAATGGGGGCAAACAGCTCCCGCCAGGAGTTTCCAAGGGTTGTAAGCCCTGACTCAGGGCGGGGCAGCAGATGGGAATCCCTGGATGTGCTATCCACGCCAATGGAATGAAAAGAAAATCCCTCACGATAGTCCATCCCAGCTGGTGCAGCAGAACCGGTTGTGAGAAGGGCGGCCCTGGGCTCCATCCGCAGCACCCAAACAACCCGGTAAGCTGGGAGCAGCAAGAAAAGTCTGGGAGGGCCCGTCACAGCCACGCTCCCCCAGTGCACAGAGGCGGAGGCTTCTCCCTGGGGATTGAGAGAACAGGAGCGCTCGTGTCTGCGGCGTCTGTTCCGTGAAAATGCTCGACAGGAATGGGGCCAGGGAGAGAAGAGGCACTCACTGTTGGAGAAGTAAAAGTGAGCCTGTTTCTGTCCTCATGGCATGATCTTATGTGTAGAAAGTCCCAAGAAAGCTCCCGTTGGAGCTAAAAAGCACAAACTCGGCAACTTTCAGGGTGCCAGGCCAGCCTATAACTACCAGCTGTAGCTGGGTTCGGACCTGTATTACCAGCAACTGAGGTGGCTGAGACAGGAGGATCACTGGAGCTCTCAAGTTCAAGACCAGCTTGGGAATGCAGTGAGACCTTGGCTCAAAAAAATAAAAATAAAATAAAATGAAGGAAGGAAGAAAGAGGAAGCTGGGTGTGGTGGCGCAGCACTCGAGAGGCTGAGGCAGGAGGATCTCAGCAAGTTTGAGGGCAGCCTGAACTACATAGCGAGACCCTGTCTCAAGAACCCAAAAAGGCTGAGGGGGAGGGGGGATAGAAAGACTGAACCTAAAATTCATGTGGCATTGTAAGGAGCCCCAAATACCCAAAAGAATTCTGAAAAGGAAAACCAAGTCTTCAAACTTTCAAAATTGTAAAGCTTCAGAAACCTTTGGGAGGGCTGGGGATTTAGCTTAGTGGCACCTCACCTGACTCAAAAGCACAAGGTCCTGAGTTCGGCCCCAGTACCAAACAAAGCAGGAAACGAGACCATGGCACCGTGTAAAGCTAGCCACGCAGCTCTGTGGAAGAGGGTTGAGGACCCAGGCGTGACCCATAAATCTCTGCTGGTGGTTTTCACAAGGCCGCATGAAACTTAACCCCATTGGCCTGAGAAAGGCCTTGTGCCCCCTGGCTGTTTGTGGGTGGGTCGTGCGGGCAGTGTCTGGGCCCTGGCCCCAGGCCCCTGGCTCTTGCCCTATCTACGTCCGCCTTGGTGCCAGCCAGTGGTGGACCTAACCCTCTGAAGCAGTGAGCCAAAGTGAAACCTTCCTGCTGTACAGCGGGTAAGTCAACCATTTGGTCCCAGCAATGAAAAGCTGATGAATGCAGGTGCCCAGACCATGCGTGGGGAAGAACATCTTTAACAAATGGTACTGGAACAACTGAATATTCACAAGAAAAGGATGGAGCTTGACCTTACCTCACACCACGCACAAAAATTAATCCCAGCGCTTTGGGAGGCTGAGGCAGGAGGAGCACACGTTCAGCCGCCATCTGAGAAACTTGGTGGTTTAGGGAGACCCTGTCTCAAAGGACTGGGAATGTAGCTCAGTGCAAAGGCCTCGGGTTCAGTCCCTATGTACTGAAAAAGGAATTAACTTATAGTGGATTAAAAATGTAAATATAAGATCTAAAAACATTAAGTCCTTAGCAGAAAATACATGATCTTAGAAAATACATGACCTCTGTACCTTAGGCTTGGCAGTAGTGTCTTAAATGTGACACCAAAGCACAAGAACAGAAGCAATAACAAAAATGTTGGATTGCATGAGAATCAGCACCTCCTGTCCCTCAGAAGATGCTGTGGTGGAGTTGGCCATGGTGGTGCAGCCTGCGGTCCCAGCTCTCAGGAGGCTGAGGCAGGAGGAGCACAGAGCCCACAAGCCCGAGGCCATTCTGGGCAACAGAGTGAGACCCTGTCTTTAAAAAATGATGTTATCAAGAGAAAAGAGAAAACCCATAGGATAGGAGAAAGTGTTTAAAAATCAGATATCTGGGAAGGGTGTAACGGCAGAACACAGGAAGTACTCTTACAACTTCATTTAAAAGTAAGCAAGACAGGGCCGGAGATTTAGCTCAGTGGTTTTGCCGCCTGCTGCGCAAGTGCAAGGACCTGAGTTCAATCCCCGGTACCAAAAAAAAAAAAAAAAAAAGTAAGCAAGACAGATGTTTCTTCAAAGAAGATGTAGAAGTGGCTGGGCTCGGTGGTGCACATCCATAATCCTGGCACTTGGGAGGCTGAGGTAGGTGGATTGCTGCAAGTTCGAGGCCAGCCACAGCTATAGTGAGTTCAAGGTCACCCTCAACTACAAAGCGAGACCCTGTCTTAAAAAAAATTAATTAAAAAGATGTACAAATGGCCAAGAAGCACCTGATCATATGTCCAACCTCATTGGTCACCAAGGAAATGCAGCAAAATCCCCAGCAAGACACATTGGACACCCACTCAGCTGGCCAGGGTAGATCAAGGGTGAGAACAGGGGACTGAGCCCTTGCTGGCCCTGTGGATGCCAGCCCAGCGGGTCCTCCACTGGCCGCACACACCGAGGTTGGCATGTGAGTCGAGGGCCACTTGATTCCATCCCCACCAGGGCCAAAAAAAAAAGTTAACATATTAACTCACAACAGGAATCCGCGCAGTGCAGATACGCCCCAGAGACCTGAAGACAACCATTCAAACCAAAACATAGGCATGGGGTTCGCATCAGCACTACTCACAATACACAGAAGGTAGAAACAAGGCACATGTTCAGCAGATGAATAGGTAAAGAAAACGTTGCACACCCTTACACTTGAAGAGTTCGAAGTCAGAAAAAGGAATGACGTGTGGGCACAGGCTACAACCCAGGACCACCATGCCCAGGTTTGTATGTTCGTGTTTTAAAGTCAATTTTACTGCATGTTAGTTTTTAAAAGTAGAAATATTTTTTTCTATGAAGATCGGGCTACTTAGGTGATTTGATAGATTTCTTGTGAATGGAATGAATTTGGCAACATGTTTAAGACCAGGGGATTTTATTCTGTTAACTTTATCTTTGAAATGCCTGCTGAGGTTTAGCGGGAGGACTGGTGTGTCACAGCCGGCTGGGCCTCACGAGAACAGCCCTAAGGTCAGCCCTCCACGTCTCCCTTTCCTGGTCCGACCTCACCTCCCCAAGGCTACCAGGTCTGGAAGGCTCTCGGGCTGCCCACCATCCCGCCTGGGATTCCAGCCGCCACACTCCGGCGCCGAAGCGCTCCCACACCCTGCCCGAGGGCCAGCTGGTGGCCACGCCCCAGGGCCCTGCGCCGGCCACGGTGCTGTCCCCACCTCAGCAGAGGCAGCAGCGACAGCTGGGGGGGCGGCCCTGACCTTCCCTCGCGGTCGATGCATCCGGACTGCGCGGCGCCAGGGCCCGTATAAAGCACGGCACTGATTTGGGGGCCCAGTGCCCGGAGCTGCACCCACCATGGCCCCTTGCCGGCCACTGCTGCTGCTGCTGCTGCTGCTCGGGGACCCTGCTGCACACCCCGCACCGCCCAGGTGAGCCAGGCCATCCAGGCGAGCCCCCCACCCCCCGCCCCACCTGACCCAAGGCCACCCGTCCCCAGGGCCGCACGACACTCGGACGGGACGTTCACCAGTGAGCTCAGCCGCCTGCGGGACAGTGCCCAGCTGCAGCGCCTGCTGCAGGGCCTGGTGGGCAAGCGCAGGTGAGCCAGCAGAAGCAGCAGGAGACTTGGGCAGGCGGGCAGGTGGAGGGAGGTGTGCTGTGCTGCAGGGGACAGGCCCAGCGTGGCGCCACTTCGCTGCCCCTGCCTCCAGACCTGATTCTGATGGGGGGGGGCAGCGAGCAGGTTGCAGAGAACAGCGCCACCGGGTCCAAGCCTGTAGACGGCCAGCTGTGCCTGCTGTGGTCAGATGTGCCCACCCTGCAGGCCTGGTGAGCATCCCGAGTCAGCCCTGTGGGCTCCCAGGGGCAGGGCCTGGGGTGCCAGTCCCTGCCCCTAAGGCACTGTCTCTGCAGGACGCCCCTGGGGCACCCCATGGGCCTCTCCCCATCTCCCTGGCTGCCTCCTGGCCCCAGGCCCGGAGCCAAGATTTCAGACCCTGCAGGAGATATCCGGAGTCCTCGATGAAGAGGAGGAGCCCAGCCGCTGGCAGGGGCCAGGGGCAGGGACTGGCTGTACTGGACCCCAATAAAGGAGAGTTCCCAGGTCTCCCAGCCCATGGCTGCCCCTCTGCTCAGTGGGCGTCAGGTGGGGGTTGCACCGCCATTCAGCACCTGCCCTTGGACCCCGGGCCGAAGGCCACCGTGCCCTAGTCTCTGTCCACTGGCTCAACACCCAGCACCCACCCCTCACCCTCGGGGCTCCTGTCCCGAGCCTCGTGGCCAGGTGCACACAGAGGTGCAGGGTCACCCAGGACACCAGGGGTCCCAGAGTGCAAGGACCTCAGAAGATGTCTTGCTTCCCAGGTGCAGGCTGAGTGGCCCAGTGCAGCAGGGACAGTGGGTCACCACTGTGGGCAGCTGCAGGCAGGGTGGGCGGGGCACTGAGTGCGCACAGGGGTCTGGGGGCCTGGACACCGCCCTCAGGACGCCAGCTCAGGGTTTGGGGGGCCGAGAGCCCTCACCAGACCCCACAGGAGCACCAGGTGCCCCAAAGCTGTCCCATCTCACCAGTGTAGCCCTGCCACACGTCAGGCAGAGGGGGCCCCAGGACAGCAGAGCCTTTCCCTTAGACCGTTCTGGGAGAGGGACTAAGAGGGACGCGGGTGTGTACCCTGAGAGGTGGCCTCGGGAATCTGGGCCAGAGGACACTGGAGGAAGGGGTGAGCGGGGCGGGGGATGAACGAGCCCCACAGTCCCAGGCCTCCCAACTCTTCCACAGCCGTCCCCGCCCCTGCCCCAGTCCTGTCCCCAGCCCCTCAGGCCCATGTCCCCAAATTGAATGAGGCCGGGCTCAGGCTGAATGACACCCACATCCCCCCCTGGTGGTGGCCTGGCCTGGCCGCCCTGCGGGAGCCCCCTGGGTGGAGCTGTCAGCAGGGCCATAAAGCAGGGCGGCGCCTGGCAGGGCAAAGGTCGGTCGCGGAGACGGGGAAGGCCTAGCCCTGGACCGCAGACTGCCAGACCCTTCCGGCAGGTGACAGCCACTAAGATGGGGGCCAGGGCCCCACTGTGGGCCTCCCTGCTTCTGCTCCTCGCACTGCCAGGCCAACCCCCGGGGGCAGCAGCCCAGGGCCAGGGTAGGTGCTGGCCAGGGCGTGGGGCGGGTGTGGGGCAGGGGCTGGCAGATGCCAACTCTCCCTCCGCCTTCCAGTCTGCTCGGTGGACAGGACCTTTGTCAGCGTCGAGGAGAACAGCAGTGTTGCTGAGCCCCTGGTGAATATCTCCATCCCGGACGGCCAGCATGTCACCCTGGGGCCTTCGTCCAGCCCCTCCGCCTTCCGGATCCTGGTAGACCAGCTGTTCCTCAACGTGACCCCTGATTACGAGGTGCGGGTGCCAGGCTGGGGGTGCCATGCAGAGGATCTGGACAGTGCTGGGGAGGACGGAGCTTTGAGCGAGGGGGGTGCTGGGCGTGGGGGGCACCTCCCCCACTCTGGGCTCACAGAGCCGTGTGCCCACAGGACAGCACAATGCTGGAGGCTCACCTGGAATGCAGGAGGGGCAGCTCTGTGGTGAGTCCTCCCCGCCACCCAGGCACAGTGCCCCAGGGTGGCACCTTGGTGACCTTAGCCTGGTCACTGTGTCTGCCGGCTACGCCCACACTGCCTCAGCCTAGATGGTGCCCTGAGCTTTGGACCCACATGCCCAGCTGAGGACCCTCCTCAGCACCCAGGCCCCAGCCCCACACAGGCACCCTGAGGCTCCCTTCATCCCTCCAACACCCACCCTCCACCTGGCACACCTGCACGGTGGGCAGAGCCCGCACCCCCCCCCCCTCGAGTCCCTCTGGGGACCTCAGCCCCGCACATCCGACTGGGAACTTTTCCTCTTCCACCCCATCCCTGTCCATGCTCAACCTAGAGACACTGCGAACCAATCCCAGCCCAGGGCTTCCTGAGTGCTTCCCAACTTGGAGTCAGAGCCAAATGTGGACATAGCCTGGGGCCCATGTTCCTCTGGCCGGCTCTGTCGGCATGGAAGCGTCCCCTCCTGGCATGCTCGGCCACCCTGCCCTGTGCTTACCCAGGCTCAGCCTGCTTCGTTCTCTTAACCTCTCACTAGGGAAACTAGAAATAGGTCGAACGGGCCCCAGCTCCAAGCTGAGCAAGCTCGTGCCCTGCACCCTAGCAAGTCACCTACAAGACCGCAGCCTGTGTCCCTAACAGATGAGGACCCCTCCTCCTTAAATGTGGTCTCGGCGGAGAGGGGTATGCACCCAGCCCCGGGCTGTACTCCGGTCCGAGAGCGTCAGTCACGATGTCTTGTTTGAACTGGGGCCCGAGCAGAGTTCCCCTGACACTCCGGGTTCACACTCCCCAAAAGCATCTTTAAACCAATCTACAGGCACCTGTGTCTCTGGTTTTCCTGGATTTGTTCTTGAAGGCGCGAGACTGTGTGGCCCATCTCTCATCTGAGATCCTGCTGGTCACTTCCAGGTCCACTTGGTTCCCAGAGCGCTTGCCCCCTTCTGCCGGACTTTGTCTCACTGTCTGTCCACTCTGAACCCTGCTAGGACTGGACCCCACAGGCCAGGCCCTGCCCCTGGCACCAGCAGCTGGGCAGATCTGGGGGTGGAATGCGTAACTGCAGGGATTGTGACTGGAGGAAAGACAGGATGAGGTCAGGGAGCTGCACCACCCAGAGGGATGGCGAGGGCTGACAGGCTGTGGTCCCCAGGTGACGCAGCTGGTGGTGCTGGTGTCCGTGCTGGATGTCAACGACAATGCCCCAGAATTCCCCTTTGAGACCAAGGAGCAGAACGTGTCGGAGGTGAGTCGGAGCAGCCAGAGCTGTGCCCTCTGGCCCCCGAAGTGGGTGTGGGCTCCACCCTCATCCCTGGGGCCACGAGCCCGGCCCGACTGAGCCCCTCTCGCCCAGGACACCAGAGTGGGCTCCATAGTCATCCCTGAGGACCAACTGAAGGCCTCCGACAAGGACTCGGAGGACGTCTTGTTCTACACCCTCCAGGAAGTGACCCCGGTGGGTGCCGCCCTGCCCCCAGCACAGACCCCCTCGCTGCCCCATCCCTACCTGCCAGGGTCTCAGCTGGTGCCCCCCCGCCAGAATGCCAGAAGCTTCTTCTCCCTGGTGAGCGCGAACCGCCCTGCCCTGCGGCTGGACCAGGCCCTGGACTTCTACAAGTGGCAGGACATGACTTTGCAGCTGCTGGTCCGGGTAAGACCCTCACATGCCCCACACCCCAGCCCTGCCCGCCAGGGCCTCTTCCAAGCTGCGCCCAGTCTGCCATGGCAGGGGCTGCTGTTGCAGGACACTCAGGAGGAGACGGAGGTGCCCAGCCACAGGGCCACGGCCACCCTGGTCCTGCATGTGCTGCCCGCTGACCTGAGGCCCCCCTGGTTCCTGCCCTGCTCCTACTCAGACGGCTACGTCTGCATCCAGGCCCAGTACCATGGGGCTGTCCCCAAGGGACACACACTGGTGAGGAGGGTCCCGGGGAAGGGCTGTCCCCATAGGGTGCCGGTAAGGGGTGGCCCTGACCTGCTGGAGTCCAGAGTGGGTGTCAGGAGACACAGGTGGGGAGAAGGGGATAGGAGCAGCTTCCGCTCTGATCTTGGAGCCGATGCGTACAGACTTCTCTGCTGGACACGGCCTCCAGCCTCGGTGCTGGGTGGATACAGGGAAATCCCAGGGAGGCTGGGCCCGGAAAGGCCAGCAGGACTCAGGCACTGCAGGCCCAGGCTGGTGCCCCCCAGGGCAGCTGCCCCTCTGCTCGGCAGGTGGAGCCAGCAGGAGCCCTGGAGCCAACAAGTAGACGTCGGTCCCGGGGTCCCTGTCCCTCCCTAGTGCTTGTCCCCCAAAACACTGATTGGGCCCAGCTGCACCAGCCCTACAAGGTCCCCTGTTTCTGCAGCCATCCCCTCTCATCCTGCATCCCGGGCCCATCTATGCCGTGGATGGGGACCAGGGCATTGACGCGCGCATCATCTACAGCATTGTGGGGGGTGAGTGAAGACCTGGCCCGGCCCCGTGGGGAGTCTGACCTCAGCGCAGGGATCAGCCCTGACCACTTTCTTCCAGGGAATACAGACAACACTTTTGCCGTTGACAAGGACTCTGGCAACCTCACCATGGCCAAGAGCATCCCCAGCCCCACGACCTTCATCTTGCTGATCAGGGTGGGTACAGCGTGGAGCGGCAGGACTGGGGTCTCAGCTCCACCTTCAAGCCCCTGCCGGTCACTGCTGCCCCCCTCTGTCCTCAGGCAGACCAGGCTGACCTGGCCCGATACTCGGTGACCCAGGCCACTGTGGAGGCCCGCTCTGCCACCGGGAACCCACCCCGCTTTCCCCAGAGCCTGTACCGGGGCATCGTGCCGCCCGGCTCTGAGGCCGGTGTGACTGTCCGGGACGCAGCCTCCCCGACCCAGCCTCTGAGGATCCAGGCTCAGGACCCTGACTTCCTGGTATGCATTCTCCTCTACCCCAGCAGAAACCCCGAGACCTGGTGGGTCCCTGGGTTGGACTGACTTCCGGTCTGCGTGGGTGGCTTGGGACAGATGTGGGGTGGCCGAGCCCCAGGACTCACTGTGGCCACATCCAGGGCCTCAACTCGGCTGTCACTTACCGAATCACCAACTGCTCTGAGTTCCGGATGGACGGGGAGACCATGCTGACCACTCTGGCGCTGGAGCATGAGGGAGTCTTCTACGCAGAGGTGAGGGGGCATGCCCCCGGAGGGGCGCAGAGGGCCTCAGGAGGCTCACGTCCCCTTCCTGCCCCAGGTGGAGGCCACAAACACAGCGACCAACGACACAGCCACTGCTGTTGCTGAGATTTGGGTTTCAGAGCAGAAGCCCCCCACCATAGGTGAGCCTTGGGCTCCCCACCTCGGGGGCTCCTCCAGTAGGGCAAGTGGGAGAGAGGCAAGCCCAAGTGCTGTCCCTGGTCCCCCAGGACCCCCAGAGATCCCCCCATCCCCAGAGGCTGGAAGAACAAACAAGCCCTCAACCAGCACTGCCATGGAAACCCCCAGGCCCCCCAGGACTCCCCAAGGACCCTCTTCGACCAGTCCTGGGGGGGCCACTGGCCCTCACCCATCCTCAGGCACATCGCTGAGGCCGGCTGCCTCAACCACACCTGGGGGGCTCCCCGGTGTGGGAGCCAGCACCATCCTCTGGCCAGGCACGCCTGGTGGGGTCTCAGCTCCGACCCCGAAGCCAGGGACCTCTCGGCCAACGACCCCTGGGTCCAGCGGGAGCTCCTCAGCCTCAGGTAGTTCCCATCCCATTTGCCTTTCTGGACTCAAGGCCCTGGGTGGTCCTGGGGATGCCCTGGGACAGGGTCCACCAGGCTGGTCCAGTCTGACCACACTAGGAACCCAAGGAGGGGGTCTGATCTCCTCTGGGACAGCTGAGTCCAGGGACTCAAGGAACTACAGGGGCAGCAGCCAAATTTGGGATCTAGTGAGCCCCACAATTCCCAGGGCTGTTTGTAATTTAGGGTGTAAATATAAAGTATTTCTGTAATGATTAGGACAGACACAGGTTGGAAATGAAGATTGCATGGCTGAGCCAGGTGTGGTGATACACTCTTGTAACCCCAGCACTTGGGAGGCTGAGGCAGGAGGGTCACTTGAGCCCATGAGTTTGAGGCAGCCTGGATCACACAGCGAGACCCTGTCAAAAAAGATAGTACAGCTTACAGGACCTGGGGAACTCAGCACACAGGGAGCCCACACAAGGGCGTGTGGGGGAAGCCATGGGCCAGCACCTTCCTGGGATCCAGGCTGGAAACCAAACCAGTTCCCGGGGGAGGCCTTGGTGGATTTGAGGCAAACAGGCTGGGTACCAGGAGGACTGGCACAGAGGCCACTGGGCGTGGTCACTGGCACATTCAGAGCTCAGGAGTAACACCCAGCCATCCACGAGGATGCAAGGAAATGGGGAAGATTGGGGGGGGCCTGCAGCTAGTCCAAGTGCTAGTGGTGCAGTGGAGGCTACAAACGGTGCCTCTAAGGTCAGCCCCGCCTCACCTGGCCTCCTCCAGCGGCCTGCTGTCCCCACAGGGTCTCCTGGCAGGACACAGCACCTGATCTCTGCAACCTCAGCTCTGGGGAGTGGTCCCTGGCCTGGCTTGTTTTGGGGGTGCCCAGGCTGGTGCAGGTTGGTGAGGGGAGAACTGGCCATGGTGTCTCCACAGGGACACCAGGAGTCGGCAGCACTGGTGAAGACGAGCCAGGCCGCCCAGAGGAGCTGCGCTTTTCCACGGTGGACATGGCGGTCCTGGGAGGGGTGCTGAGTGCACTGCTGCTGCTGGCCCTCACTGTCCTGGCTGTGCTCCTCTATAAGCACTATGGGCACCGACTGAGCTGCTGTTCTGGGAAAGCTGCGGTGAGCCCGGGGCTGGGGGCAGCAGTGCAGGGTACAGAGGAGCAGGAGGACAGACAGAGGGCAGGGAGTAGGGGTGCAGAGATGGGGAAATGAGAGATGGGGAGGTGGAGGGGAACTAGGGCAGCCACAGGGGACAGGGACCCAGAGGGGCACAGATGACCACAGGAGGATGAGGCAGGTGGGAGGGCAGAGCAGCTCGGAGGAGAGACCCGCGGGTGCCTTGGGAGTCGGAGCCCAGGTGCGGCCCCTGATGCCCTTGTCGGCCCCCAGGAGCCCCAGCCCCACGTCTTTGACAACCAGGCCTTCCGGGGTGACCATGGGGCCACCGAGACATCTGTCCCCAGCCCCGAGCCGGGCCCCACGCCTGCGGAGATGCCACCTGCAGCCCTGGACCCTGAGCCCCTGAGCCCCGCACCCCCCAACCCTGAGCCCCTCGCCCCCGAGCCCCCAGTGGCCACTGGAGCCGGGGACAGCCCCTCGGCCGTGAGGTCCATCTTGACCAAGGAGCGGCGGCCTGGGGGTGGCTACAAGGCCGTGTGGTTTGGCGGGGACATCGGGGCAGCGGCTGACGTCGTGGTCCTCAGCGCGCCTGAGGCTGGCCGGGATGGCGAGGGCGACTCTGAGGGCAGCAGCGAGGAGGACGGGGGCCGGGACGGGGGTCCCCGCGACGCATCGGGCAGCTCCACCCGCATCTAGGGCCGCCCAGCCCGCTGTCCCTCCCCCGCTGTCGCCTCCTTGCTGAATAAAGTGGCCCTTGCGACCCCGGAGCCTTTGTGTATCAGGCTCGCCGCAGGCGCTGGGAGGGTCGCGGTCCGCACCGCTTGTGGCCCTGGAGGCCCGGGCTTTTCCCAACATCGGGGATCTCGCAGTCGTCGGCCCAGCAGCTCCCCCAGAAGTTTCATTTCAGGTGCCCGACGCTCTGTCTGCGCCGCCCTCTGTGCAGCCCGAGCAGCACCGCCGCTTCCTCCACCTCCCGAGCACACTGGGCGCGAAAAGGGCCTGGCTCGGTTTAGGGTTGTTTTCCCTCTACGTCTGGGACCCTGGCGTATCCCACTATCCCACGCATCCCCGCCCGCGTGGGCGCAGGGCCGAGGGGTCCAAGCCCACTCCGCCACGGCCCCGCCCCGCCCTCGCATCGGCAGCCCCGCCCCGCTACCAGGCCCCGCCCCCGCCCAGACTATAAAAGCGCTGGGCTTTCCTGCCTGCGGTGAAAGTTTCCGTCCTCGCGGCTCCAGCACCCAGGTATGCACGACCTCTGACCCACGGGAGCAGAAGGGGAGCTGGGCACGGCGGAGCCCTCGACCGCTCCACGGGCAGCAGCGGAGGAGGGCAGCACAGGGCCGCCGAGCCCGAGAGCAGAGGGTCACAGAGAGGGTTGGGGCAGAGCGGCCGGGCCGGGGCCAGGTCGGGGGCTGAGCGGACCGGACTCGGGCCGGGGCCGCCGGGCGAGGCGCGCAGCGCACGCGTTAGGTTTCGCTTTCCCGCGGCGCGCAGTTTCGTTTTCCCGGCCTGCGCCCGCCCCTCCACGCCCGCCCCTCCACGCCGCCTCCCCTGTCCCGCAGGGTCCCGCCTGTCACCGCTGTGCAGGCCCGGACGCTGGGCCAACACCTGTGGCTTCATGTGTGCGCGCCACCGCATCTGAAGTCACATCCACAGCCACCTCGGCCCCGGAATCCATGCTGAGGTGGCTCCAAGCCTCATCCACATCTGTGACCCTGCACACCTGGTCACCCCTGTGACACCTGGCCACGCTACCTGTGGCCACGACTGACCCCTGACTCAGAACCTTGACCTTCCCTGTTGCAAAGGGCACATCCCCTCACCGCCCCAACCCCGACCCGACCTCGCAGCCGACGACGCCATGGCCGCGGCCCCTGAGAGGTGAGCCCGGAACCCGCCCCGGCCAGCCCTGCGCCTGGCGCTCAGCTGACCAGGGTGGCCACCCCGCCCGCAGGGCAGCGCAGCGCGTGCGCTTCGGAGAGTGGCTTCTGGGCGAGGTCAGCAGCGGCCGCTACGAGGGGCTGCGGTGGCTGAACGAGGCGCGCACTGTCTTCCGCGTGCCCTGGAAGCACTTCGCCCGCAAGGACCTGGGCGAGGCCGATGCACGCATCTTCAAGGTGGGAACCAGCCCCGCCCCCGGCGGCCCCGCCGCGCCTCCTACCCGTGGCCCACGCTCTCCATCCCCCCCAGGCCTGGGCAGTGGCCCGAGGGAGGTGGCCACCCAGCAGCAGTGGGGGTGGCCCACCGCACCCCGAGGCTGAGGCTGCCGAACGAGCGAGCTGGAAAACCAACTTCCGCTGTGCGTTGCACAGCACGCAGCGCTTCGTGATGCTGTGGGACAACTCAGGGGACCCGGTTGACCCACACAAGGTGTATGCGCTCAGCCTGGAGAAGGGGTGCAGAGGTGAGGAACGCCCGCGGAGGGCTGCAGACTGAAAGGCTGAGTCGGCGGGCTCCACGGGAACCTGGGCGCTAGAGACCCCCGATGGCACGGAGGAAGACAGCTGGGGCCCAAAGCTATGCCTTGTCTCCTTTTAGGGTCTGGGCCCAGCCCAGGAGACTGCTGCAGCTCTGAGCTGCTCAGGTGCTAGGTTACTGGGACACGAGGGGACAAGACGGCCAGATGTTGGTCTAGGCCAGCCTCAGGTCAAGCCGCCCCTTCCCTCTCCCCCTCAGAAGGCCCAGCCATGAACCAGGAGGAGGAAGAGGCCCTCAGAACTGCCTTGCCCACACAGGTAGTATCTCTGCTCTCCCTGGGTGGCAGGGTTGGGAGCTGCTCACATTGACTGTCTCACAAGATGGGTGCTTGGGGCTCCTTCTGGCAAGAGATGCTGAGCCCAGAGCCCCACGCCCTCTGACCACCCAGGCTGGTGGTGAAAGGGACTTCTTGCTCCAGGTTCTGCAGCAGAGTTTCCTGGGGGACCCCCTGCTGGAAGCTGCACTGGTAGTAGCAGATCCGATCACCCTGCCACAGGCTCCTGGTGAGGGGCCGGCCATTCTTGAGCAGGGGCTGCGCCCCGTGGGTGGCTGGACGGGGCAAGGGCAGGGGGAGGGGCAGGCAGGACCTGTGTCAGAGCTGACCCTTGCACTGGGGGGCTGGGGAGCCATGAGGCAGTGGTCCAGCACGATCCATGTGGGCCACAGCGGGGCAACTTGAGTGTTTCTCCTGTTACTACAGGCACAGTGCAGCCTGAGCCGCCACCTGCAGGATGGGCAGTGGAGCCTGTGCCCTGCCCTAGGCCTCAGGCCCCAGCCCTGGCAGCAGAGTCCAGCTCAGGGGTCCTGGATGTGACCATCATGTACAAAGGGCGCACGGTGCTGCAGGCAGTGGTGGGGCACCCCAGCTGTGTGTTCCTGTACAGCCCCCCAGGCCCAGGCTGCCAGGCCCTACAGCCCCAGCAGGTAGTCTTCCCCAGCCCTGCCGAGCTGCCAGACCAGAAGCAACTGCGCTACACGGAGCAGCTGCTGCAGCACGTGGCCCCTGGGCTGCAGCTGGAGCTGTGTGGTGTGACACTGTGGGCCCGGCGCATGGGCAAGTGCAAGGTGTACTGGGAGTTGGGCAGCCCGCTGGGTTCCGCCAGCCCCTGCACCCCAGCCCGGCTGCTGGAGCGCAACTGCAACACCCCCATCTTCGACTTCAGCACCTTCTTCCGAGGTCTGCAGGGCCTGCTGGGGAGCTGGCCCAAGGGTCTGGGTCCCGGGCCCCTGGCCACTGCTCACTTGGTCCCTCCTGCCTGCAGAGCTGGGGGAGTTCCGGGCCAGGCGGCGCCAAGGCTCACCCTACTACACCATCTACCTGGGCTTCGGGCAGGACCTGTCGGCCGGGAGGCCCAAGGAGAAGAGCCTGGTCCTGGTGAAGGTGAGGCAGGCAGCCTGGTGGGAGCCTTTGTGGCCCTGGGGTGCCGACAGATGCTCTCCCTGCAGGTGGAGCTGAGACTGTGCCGGCTGCACCTGGAGCTTGTGCAGCGTGAGGGTACGTCCTCCCTGGACAGCAGCAGCCTGGGACTGTGCCTGTCGAGCACCAGCAGCCTCTACGACGACATCGAGCACTTCCTTATGGAGCTGGAGCAGCCAGCTTAGGGTGGAACCTCTGCCCCCAATAAAGAGCCAGTGTTGCCGTGACTCAGGTGGTCTCAGGTCTCCTGGGCTGTGGCAGGCAGTGCTGACTGGGTGTGGCTGGCCTCGGGCTGCTCCTCACCTCCCTGTAGGACCTGGCGGGGCCCCAGCAGGGTGGGAGGTGACCCCACAAAGCATACTGCGGGCCCCCATGCACTCCCTCCCACCCCCGTGTCCTGATCAAGAGATGAAGCACACGCTGTGGAGAGCAGGCTACTCACTGGCACAGATGCTCCTGGCAGGCACAGGGGTGGGGGGTCGTGCACCTTGTGCCCCCTCCCCAGACTCCCAGCCCCAAGCTCGGCACCGTGCCTCCTGGGCAGTTGCTGGCCAAGTGCAAACCTCGAAGTTAGGTACAGCAGCACAAGTCATGGAGAAGCACACAGCAGGGTGCTGCTAACTCCACCGTGCAGGATGGCTGTAGCCAGAGGCCATGGGCAAGGGATCTAAGCCCTGCTCAGCATGCCAGGCTGGGGGGCTCCTGCCCTGCAAAGGCTTCACCTTCAAGTACTGAGTCCACAGAGCGGTTTCTAAAGATAAGTAATTTTTGATAAATTAGAACACGATGGAAACAATGTATCTATAATGTACATGTAAAAAAAGTCCAGTTTTAAACTGAGCGAGACAGGTGCAGACGCCATCCCAGGAGCCCACGGGCAGAAGGCTGGTACTCCAGCTCTGTGGCACGGGCTGGGAAGCAAGACAGACTTCTCAGGCCTCGGCCCCTGGGGCAGGTGGTTCCTCAGAGGCCTCCGCCTTCCGGTGCCGGCGCATGTGCCTGTACTTGTCCACGTAGGCCTTCACCAGGTTGGCCACCTTCACAGGGTTGATCTCGCCACTCCTGCTGTGGCAGATCTGGAGAAAGACGGCTGAGTCGCCCCAGTGTCCTGTCGGCCACACCGCCCACCCTTGCTCCCCCACCACACGGGGTGCTGCGGGTGCCTAGGTGTCTCAGGCAGCAGCAAGCTGGAGACCTGTCCCACAGCCGCACTCTCAGACCTGCTTTCTTGTCAGCTGGGTGTGGACCGGGCAACCCTAAACACCCTCTCGGTCACCTCAGTCTTTTTAATGGGCGCAAGAAGATGGGTGGACCTCAGGCCACTGCTGCTGGCTGGGCCCCAGTGCACCCTCCCAAAATGGGTAGCGCTGCTGGGCCGTGCACACGATGCTCCCGGCCTCAGATCTGCAGCATGCACAGGCATAACCCCCCCACAGCCTACCTTTTGCACGGCTTTGCGCAGGATGTCCTTGTACTCCTCCTTGGTCACCTCCCGCTTCTGGTAGAAGGGCTTGATGGCCAGCTTCACCTCCTCTACTGCCCGCTCCTGCACATGCAGCTTCTTCATGTACTAGGAGCGGGGACATGAGTGTGGTGGGCCAGGATGGCCAAGACAGAGCTGTGCCAAGGCCCATGGTCCTGGCTGCCCTCCAGGCCAGGAGCACCCGGGGCAACAACAGCACTTTCTACCACTGCACTTGGGCCAGGAAGGTGGTCTTTGGGCTGGGGTGTGGCTCAGTGGTCTGATCCCCACTGCTGCCAACAAACACACACACACACACGCGCACACACACACACCCCAGGGCACACTCACCTCCTCCTTCTTGGTCTTTTCTGCAGCCGGCCTGGGAATGGTGGTTTTCTCCTCTGAGTTGGTGGTGGCGGTGGCGGTGGTCGTGGCCTGGCTGGCCGGCTCTGAGGCTGTGGCCAGCACGGTGGGCGCTGGGGTCAAGCTCTGTGCTGGTCCACAGCTCACCAAGGGCACACTGCCCTGCAGGAGGAACTGGACCGAAGGTTGGCTGACCAGCACATAGGGTGGGACACCAGGGGGCTGAGCCGGGGGAGGAAGCATGTTGGGGCTGTAAACCTGGGAAGGACAATCCTGTGAGTGCAGGCCTCACGGCAGCCCCACTCCGAAGCCCAGGGGGCTGGGCCAAAGGATCATGATGCCCTGAGGGGCAGCACCAGCCCAGCACCCACCTGAGAGGGATCCATGCCAGGGAACCCGGGCTCCAGAAGCACCTGGCCAGAAGGTGGTGTCTCAGAGAACAGTGCATGCTTGGCCCCCACAGGGGTCCCGTCCTCAGGGTCCCAGGCTTCTTCCCAGGACTTCTGTGGCTTGTGAAGTGGTGTCCCTGAGGGTCCGACAGACAGGAAGGTCAGTGGCCTAGGCCTGGCCCTGGCCAGAATGCTGCCTGCTGGCTGGAAAATCCCAGGAAAGTGTCCCAGCCCAGGGACCACAGGCCAAGGAGCCAGACCCAGGGTGGATCCAAGGAAAAGTAGCTTGTGGGGTGGCTGCTTCCCGGCCCCAGCCCACAGCGACCCCCAACAACCAGTAGTCCCTGGAAGCATGTACTCACTTGGGACCCTGTTCAGGGCCAGGGCACTGCCCTCAGCCTCCTGAAGGTTCCAGGTGACCCTCTTCACCAGGGCTCGGGACCGCAGCAGTGGTGCCTGTCCCCCTGCCTCCTCAGCCCTGGCTGCCTCAGGAGCCTTCCCGCTCACCAAGGGGCCATCCAGGCCCTGGGGCAGCACAGCCAGGGGGCCAGGAACTGTGGCAGCCATCTCTGCCATGTCCTGCCTGGGTGGGTGCTGCCCTGGAAGACCCTCTGGCTGGAATGGGGGCTGCGAAATGCCTTCAGCATGGATCAGCGACATGTCCCTCTGGATGGTGGATAGGGTGGCATCATGTGGCAGGCCAGTCTGAGGCAATGTGGGGTTTGACGGAAGGGACCGCTCTGGGGAGGAGTCTGTACTCTCTGGGGAAGGAGGTGAGCTCATGTCATCCAACTGCATGAAGACAGCTTCACTTGAAAGGTCCTCAAAGATGTGGCCCGCCTCAACGGAGTCACCATAATCCAGGTCCTCAGGTGCACACTGGGCCAGCACCTCAGGGGCAGGGACGGGGACAGGAACGGGGGTAGGCGGGAGGGCCTGCTCAGCCTGGGCCACCTCGGGTGTGATGCACATCTCTGCAAGGGCTGGCGGCCCACCCTGGTGGTCTCCATCCTGCCTTGGGTGCTCTTGGGAAGGGGGCACTGGGGAGGGTTCCTTCAAAGTCCCCTTCTTCTCTGGGGAGAGGGGCTGCGTCTCATGGGCACTCAGCCACTGGGGCTCCCGCGCCCTGTGCTCAGAGCTGGGTGAGCGTGACATCCACTTCCTCCTCTCTCGAGGCTGGGCTACGCTCTCCTTCTTGTCCAGTTGCTCACGGCTCCTCTCCCGTGGGCGCTTGTGCCGCCGGGCCCTTTCCAGGCTGCTAAGGGGGGAGCAGTCCCGCCCTCGAGACCGGGACCTTGAATGGTGCCTCTTCTTCCTTCTGCTCTCACGGCGCTCACAGGAGGAGCTGCCCAGGCTGCCCGAGCGTGACCTGGAATTCCTCCGGTCCCGGCTCCACGAGCTCCATCTCTGATCCCTACCCCGGTCCTTGGTCTTCCTCCGCTTCACTCTCTCCTGGCTGCTGGCTCGGTCACTGGAGGACCTCCGGCCTTTGGCCTTGGCCCGGTGCCTCCTGGAGTGCTCATCCACTGCTGGCGACACAGAGTGCGAGGCCCTGTCCCTGGAGCCTGAGCGTGTCCCGGAGCGTGACCTCCGATGCTCCCTGGCCCTTTTCTTCTTGGTTCTCTTCCTGCCCCGGGAGCTGGAGCGGGAGTGGGAGCGGGAGGGGGCCCGCAGCTCCACGATCCTGTGGGTGGTGGCCTGCGGGGCATCTGGGCTAGGTGGGCTGTCTGGCTCCACAACAGTCACACAGGTCACTGTCCGCTCCTCAGAGCTGAAGAAAGCACTGTGGGACGCCTCGTCCTCATCGTCCCAAGGGTCCAGCAGGGATGGCTTCTGTCCCCGGGGCGCCAGGCCCTGGCTCTCCATGGGCCGCTCCTCCCCCAGCCCCTCTCGCTCTATGGCAGAGGCGCCCTCGGCAGCCCCCTTGGCCCGGAGCTTGCACGCTTGAGACGCAGTCTCACCGGGGGACTCAGGCTCCTCCCTGAAGACGCCTTCCACAGTGTAGGAGGTGACACAGCGCACAGCCTGAAACGCAGGGGCCTTGGGGCTGTGAATGGAGATGGTTCTTGTAATCTCAGAAGGCAGCAGGCCAGGCCCGAGACTCTCGGGGCTGCTGCTGGGAGGGCTCGAGTCGGAGCCTGTGGGGTCAAAGGGATCATAGATCTCACTCTTGAGCTGCTTGGTCTTCTTGATGGAGAAGAGGGGTGAAGGGCTCTCCTTCCTCTGTACCTTGCTGTCAACAGGCCGGAAGGTGTTACAGAAACCAGGGCTAGAAAGCCGGTTGCACTGGGCTGTGTTTCCCGGGATGTTGATCCGGAAGCTCTCAAAGGTTGACCCAATACCCTTCCCTCTCGAAGTCCCCAGTGGGGCCAGGCTGCCGTGAGAGCTGCGGGCGGGAGGCCGGGAGGTGCCTGTGTGGGAGCTGGGCTCCTGGGGACCCCTGCTGCTGGGCTCGCCCTCTGCCCGGCCTTGCCCCGGCTGCCCAGGGCCCTCCCTGCCTGTCAGGCGGCTGATGCAGGTGCTGGGGATCTCAATGCTCTGTCTGTGGGCTGGGGCTGTGTCCTGTTTGCTGCCACCACCCTCCCTTCGGATCTTTGGTATCCTGGGCAGCTCTGAGATGTCAGCTCTCCTGGGAGCTGGTTGCGGGGCCTGTCCTGGGGCTGCCCTTTTAGGTGGAGAGTTAGAATGGCTGCTGGAGCACTTAGCTGAGGCAGACCCAAGAGACACAGTCTGACTACTGATGCCATTACACTGGGGCGCACCACTCTGCTGTGGGCCAGGCCCACTGCCATCTGCCAGGCTCTGAGGCTGACCAGACCCAGGTGCTGGTGGCAAGTCCTGCTTCATAGGGGGGTCCATGAGGGCAGAGACACGAGGAAGAGTAGGCCCGCTCCCACAGCTCAGCCCAGGGCCCTGCAGCTGGTCTTCCCTGAGTCTCCCAGCTGGGCTCCCGGAGGGGGCCACTCTAGGCTGCAGGCCATCCCCAAGCCTGGATGCTTCTTCCCTTCTGGACAGACGCCCTGGCTTTCGCTGAAGAGAGACTGGAGCTGAAAAAGAGAGGTCAAACAGCAGCCATTCCCACCACTTCAGCAGCCAGGGATCTGTCATTGCTCAGAGCAGGCCGAGCTGCCCATTTGCTCCATCCTGTCTGCCTGTAAGAGCCGGGCACCTGCTGCCACACTGTTATCCACAGGCCCCAAGACACCCTGACAGCCGAGTTCCTCTCTTGTGTTCTGGGGGGGTCACTATTTGTGGCGGGAATGTACCTGCCTGTGACCATGCTGGCTGTGAGCTCTTTGGGAGGAGGGCCAGTGAACTGCCTTGGAAATGCCGACACCATCTGACCCTGCTCAGGAGTGCTGAGACCGCAGAGGAAACCACAACCCTCATCTTTGTGTCCTGTGCCTGGGGACCCTGCACCACCAGCCACACTCAGAGTATAGCCTAGAACACAGTGCGAGCCTACAGGCCCTCACCTGCCCGCTTGGCGCTCAGGGAGCCGTCTCGGTGGATGACGATGTCGGCACTGCTCATCATCAGGAGGCTCTGGCTCGACAGGATGCTGCCCAGCAGGTCAGGGACAGGGGCTCCCTCCACGGCTGGCTCTGGGACCGCAGTGGGGAGCTGCCTCCTGTGGGCACAGACCCAAGGGTGGGCCCTGCCATTGCCCGCCCCCCCACAGTGCCAACACCAGATGCAGGGGCAAAGTCACCTCAGACTCTGACCCTATTCCCAGCAGGAGTTGGAGGCAAGTGCCTCCACTCACTCTGCTGTTACTAAAGGGGTCACACGTAAGAATTTGGCCATGTGGGACCATGGCACTCCCTGAGGGCACGTCCAGTCTTCAGAGCCACAGACAGGGGCCCGGCCACAGCCCCCCAAGCCTGCTGCCACGCACCCTGAGAGCCCCACGGAGACGGGCCTGGCCACGGGCTGGTGAGACTGCAGGGCTGAGCGGGACAGAGTCCTCCTCTTGGCCCTCAGAGGAGAAGGTGGGTCTGCAGACAGCTCCTCAGTGCTGGAAGACACACACCAAGGGGACGGCGACCTCTAGACTCTGCTGGCTTCGAGAATCTGAGAAGGACCCGGAGCAGGGAGCACTACCCTCATCTGCAGACTCAAGACCTAAGGCTGAGGCACGCCCACAGCCCACGGGGGTGACAGGAGTTGCCAGGCACCACCCGTGCAGTCACCTGTCAAAGGGGTCCAGCTCGTAGGGGTCCCCGAACAGCGAAAGAGCTGCTGCTCCGATATCCGCCCGCATCAGTCCTAGGGAAGGGTCCGCAGGCCGGCACACAGAGGGCATGCAGCTGCCCTGGGCTGGCCGGCGGAGGCCCAGTGTCCGAGCGATACGAGAGCGAGCTGTGACTTCCCTCTGGATAGAAGTGGCAAAGGGAAAAGAGAGCAGGTCAGCAAGGCCAAGCCCAAGGCTCCTGGCACAGGCCAAGGACACTGTGTACTGACCAGGGCCCACAGTGGTATGGACAGTTTCCTAACATCTATGCCTTACAGACTCCACAGGTGATTGGGTGCCATTAATTGTCATGTGGTGTTTTGAGTAAAAAGCCAGAGAAACAAAAAACTCAACCAACGCCTCACAGGGCTAGAAGAGCAGATGTAGACTCTAAAATAAAACTAACTACTTCCTCCAGATCCCAGACCCCCCAGTGGGGACCTCTGGAGGTCCAGTGGGGCAGCATGGCCCCGCATGCCACTCTACTTGTGGCTTAGGTGTGGTCCCAGGATCCATTCACCAGAGGAAAAGCAGAACCAGAAACAGGCAGAAGTAGCAGGGAAACCAGGGGAGGCCAGAACATCCTGGAACATTCTGGGCACTGCCCCATAGTCCTCGGCCACAGTTCCTGCACTCTGGGCTCAGGGTACACTCAGCACATATTCTAACTCCATTAAAACTGAGGCCTACCCATAATCTTAAGTGAAATCAACAGGACACACATGTGTAAATACCAAATAGTTTCTCTGGTATGAAAAACTAAAAGTGCAAATAAGGATCAACATGTATAATTGATAATGTGAAATACGAAGAAAAGTTCTAAAGGAGTGGGGGAAGTGGGAGGAGAAGGGGAAAGGAAAGAAGGGAAAAGAAAAAATATGAGACAAGGAAAAAATGGAAACAAAGTCTTTGTAAATAGGGAGGGATGGAGGGGGTGAAGGGAGGGCACGGGAAGGGGAAAAAAACTAAGAACCAAGATACTCATGTAAGAATACAAATTCCCAATGATGAATGTAACTGTATTGTATACTAACATGTGCCAATAAACTTAACGAAAAAAACGAAAAAACAAAACAAAACTAAGGCCTACCTTTATATAAACAAACACTACAGAAATGTGTCTGGATTAGGAAATGGACAATGATCTTGAGTGCAAATTCACACGAAGACACAACAAACACTTGCCCAATGGCTGAAACTCTGAATGAGGACAGAAGACCTGAAAATGGACCCTGGCGGGGCTGCTCATACAGAGGAGAGGCTCCCAAGGCCAGCAAGGGCATCTGTCCCACCAGGCATGGCGCCCACTAACCTGTCTAGGTGCCCAGGCTGCTCATGCTCATGCATGCCCACCCCGCCTGCTCCCACCCAGTCTCCTCCAGAGACCATCCACCCACCACCCTGACGAGCCACCAACACAGGACAGACCTTGGCCAGCACACCTACACCAGAGGGCCTGGGACCCCTCCAGCAAGGGCTAGGAACAGGTGAGAACATGACCGCCCAGTGCCTCCTGCCACTGACCCCGGGGCGGAAGCTGGCGAAGTCTAGAGGCCCCATAACGGCTCTACCTTCATCTTCTTCCCTGTCCTCTTCTTCGTGCGATGCTGCCGTTTCTTGGATCTTGTACCTATGCTCTTACTTTTCCCAGATGACCTTGCCTGGGTTTTCTTTCTTCCTGGCGCTTTCTTCCGTCTTCCTAAAAAGAAGATGCTTTTGCTGTACGGTGGGCCGTTGGTCCTGCAAGGCCACCCAGAGAACCGAGCCTGGGAGGGACCAGTGTGGCATTTTTTGTAGCTGGGATCATAGGCTTGAGCCTCCATACAAGATAGGTAGATGCACGTGCGCGTGTGCACACACACACATACACACACACAAACACACACACAGTATATATTTATATTTAGGTATCTATACTTATTTTCTCTTCAGTGCTAAGGACTGAACCCAGGACCTTGCACATGCTTGACACAGATATAAGTGCTGTAACAATGAGCTACACCCCAAGCCCTAGCTTGGATTTTTTTTTTTCTTTTTTTTTTTGGCCATGCTGAGGTACACCCCAACATTCTGATTAATTCTGGGACAGGTTCTAAGTTGCCCAGGCTAGGCTCAAACTTGTGATCTTTCTGCTTCAGTCTCTGGAGTATCTGGAACTTCCGGTGTGTGCTATGTTGTCTTCTAAGAACTTTTTTTTTTTTCTTGGTACCGGAGATCGAACTTGGGACCTTGGGGTTGCAAGGCAGGCGGCGGAACCACTGAGCTAAATCCCGGGCCCAAAAACTTTTTTTAAAAATCATTTATTTTTGAGACAGGGTCTCACTGTGTACTCCAGGCAGGCCTTGAACTGTGATCCTCCTGCCTCAGCCTACAAGTGCTGGGATTACAGGTGTGCAACACCGTGCCCAGCCTGGCATGGAGTTTTTTTCTTCTTTTTTTTCCCCTAGTACCGGGGATTGAACTCAGGACCTTGTGCTTGTGAGGCAGGCGGTGGAACCACCAAGCCAAATCCTCGGCCCAGTGTGCATGTTTTTAAAGAGAGAAATAAACCACCGCCCCTGGGCCTCAGGGCAACAGCAGAGCAGACTCATTAGCCCCCATGTTCATAGGTTCAGCAGAAACGAAATCCCAACCACACAATGGTTGGCAAAAGCCTGAAGTGACCAGGCTGCTCGTGTGTTGCTAATGCCCATGGGAAACGGCACCGGACTAAGATGGCGCGGCAGCCTGTTCTCAGGTTAAGTGTATTTTCACCGGCACTCAACCTCCCACCACCTCCATGCCTCCTGTTGCTCATGGTAGCTTTACTGAGTGAGCGCCGACTAGAAACAACCCAGATGCTCACCAGCAGGCACAAGGTCCACAGACTGGCACATTCATCTGCTGGACTCTTCCTCAGCAACAGAGACACCAACCAGACACAGGTGACTACATGAACTTCAAAGACCATGCTGAGCAAACAAAGTACCCACCAGAGTTCTGCAGACACTATGACGTCAGCAGAAGCCTCTACTGATGGGAAGTGACAACGACACCAGCCTGCCAGTCTCTCTGCCAGGAGGTCATTGCCCTGCTGTGGGGCAGGGGCTCCAGGACTCCCTCAGGATGTGAAGACCCCAGGTACTACAGGCCCTCCTATGACACGGCCCCCTTGTATATAAACTGCATACATCTCCATGTGCTTCCAACATGCAACACAGTGTGAATGCTGTGTAAATGCTGTTACACCGTGCTGTTTAAAAAACAGTGACAGGAAAGTCTACCTACATTAACCACAGATGCAATTTTCTCCCAATATTCTCTTTTTTTTGTTTGTTTGTTTTTTGTTTTGTTTTGTTTTCTCCCAATATTCTCAATCCACAGTTGGACAAAGCCACAGATAAGGAACCCGTGAATATGGAGGCCAACTAGTTTTGGTTGAGAAAGTTAGATTGCCAGGAAGAAGCAATCCTGGGTCTGGACTCCACGGCAGAGCTCCGGTGGGGGCACAGTACCCGCCCTTACCTGTCTTCCTTTTCCTTCTGGTGGGGGTCCAAGGTGTCAGGGGGCGTCGGTACACGGCCGTGCTCAGACCAGTTGCCACCGCTTCAATGGTCTCATCCAGCAAGGAGGACATCAGGTACCTTGGCACATGCTGCACAGGAAGGGGCAGTAAGGGTCAGTGGGTAACAGCACAGGTGACCGCATCTCTGTGGCAGAGATCCTTTGCGGACCTATGTGTGCAACCCTGAACAGGGTCCACCAGGATCGACAGAAGCCGCCTCTCAGGCTCCCCTGCAGAGCCTGGAGCCACAAGGACAGAGGCTCCTGACGTAGGTTCCGAGAAGTGAATGGCAAACTGAGTGGGTGGGCAGCACAGACCTCAGCTGAGGGGTGGAAAGGTGGAACCAGGAAAGGGGGTGGGCAGGACGGACGGGAAATCGACTCAGAGGGTTGAGAAGAAGCTCCCCACAGACGTGGGGCACCCTGGGGAAGCGGCGAGAAGCCAGAGGGGTGCCTGACAGGCACGGGGCTGTGTGGGCACCAACAGGCCAGGGCTGGAGCAGGCCATCTTCCTGACCCACAGGGAGCTCGGCTGCTGTTGCACTATGCTGCCCATGGACGGACACGCGACCTCAGAGCAGGTGCTCTCACTCTGCCCAGCCCAGGACAGAGTCCACATAGAGCATCTAATATGGAGGGCCAGGAGCGCAGGTGCAGAAGGACACTCAGCATACCTGGGGTGAAGAGGCAGCCTGGGCCTGGGTGTGTGGCATGTGTACATGCAAGGTGGGGGCCCCAAAGTCACCCTCTGTCCCCCACACCCTGGACTAGCACTGCAGCTGTTCTGAGGCCACACTGGCCCACAGTGAGGCACCACTCCCTCCAAGGCTGGCTACACATAGGCCTCACGCCACGACACACTGACTGCACCCTCCAGTCAAGCCCTAGATCGGAGACCAAGGCGAACAGGACAGGCCTGGCAATGCCACCCACCTGAACCCTCCTGGCTGTGGATATCCGGTTCCGGTTCACTGTCGCCCTCACTCTCTCACTTTGCCTGGTCCTGGCAATGGCACGGATCCGGCCCATGCGGGGCTGCAGCCTGCTGGTGGTGGGCACCACGTTGGCCAGGAGCAGGGAGACTTCCTCCTCACTCACAGGAGTCACATCTTGGAAAGAGGCACCTGTATCAGTTCACCCTGCAGCCACCCAGGAACACGGGGCCAGGTGACAGGACAGGGCCTTCTCCCCAGAGCTGGTCCTCCGGGCCCTGCAGACTGGTGCCTCCAGACCCACAGCCCCACCATGGCCTGGCAAGGCCAAGCCTCCCTGGCTCCCACACGAGAGCACAAACGAGCCGGAGGGGCCCTACCGTTGGCCCTCCTCCCCGTCCTCCTCCTGCAGCCACCTACGGGATGGGACAGGACAGGCATTACCAGCAGCAGGGCCAGTGCCCGGCGTGGCACACTCTGGACAGAACCACTCGTCCACGGGCACCTCCTGCAGGGGGGGGTCCAGGCACTCCATGTGGTACCTGCCGGGAAGAGGGCACAGTATCTGTCCCAGCCTGGCCCTCAGCCCTGCCAGTAGCCAATTTAAGACAGCACCTATGCCTGCTGGGGTCCTTGGCATGCCTGTTAGGGACTAGATGTGCCACCTGGGACATGACAGGGTACACGCTTTGGTCACTGTCCACAGCTGCTGGTGCAGAATTCCCTCCCCAAGGCCACCCATGAAGACTCTGACCTTCCCTGCCGGCCCTGTGGGACACTGAGGACTCTGGCAGCGCTGGGGTGTCCCCTCTGTCCAGCCTCATTTCCACATGGTACCCATGCTTCAATCAATCCTGCCTGTGCAAGGGACTCAAAGAGTTTCCGGATAGGTGAGTGTGTAAGGGGTCAGAAGGCGGTGTCTAGAGTCCACGGAGGCACCCATCCACCCCATGCCTCCCACAGCCTCTCCTTGTGGTGAACGTAAATGCTTCCCGCAGTTCTGGGTGCCAGTCCCTGGAGGGCATCCGGGAGCCAATGGACAGCCAGCTGCTTACTCAGCATGCAAGACAACTGAACCCTCACTTGGGGTCTGACAGCACCTCTCCAGACAGAGCACAGACCTGAACTGGACTAGCCAGGACCCCCACATCGGGAATCAGAACACCCTCAATTCCCCAATTGAAGCCTCTGCCCAGCATGACAGGATCCAGAGATAGTGCCTTTTAGAAGGCACCCAAGGCTGGGTGAGCCTTGATCCGACGGGACCAGGGTCCCCAAAGAGGGGACGCCAGGGGCTGTGCAAGGAAAGACCCATGAGGACACACCATGGAACATGACTGCCAGCCATCAACCCCTGCAGACAGGAACAATGGCCCCAGAACCGTGAGGCAGCAAGGCCTGTGTGAAAGCTGCCAGCCTTGACTTTTTCTGCAGCAGCCATGCTGAGTGGGGCCCAGTCCCCAGAGATGCAGCTGATAACCCAAAGCCAAGAGGAGCAAGGTATGGCCGACAGGGAGCTTCCTGCCTGGGCTCCAGCTCCTGAGGCAACCGCAGCAGCTGGCCCCGTGGTGCCTACTTTCCCTGCAGGCTTTCTCCAGTGACGCAGGACAACAGCCTGGCCTTCCCCACCTGCTCAACATCCCCCTCAGTGTCAAAGAGTCTCAAACATCAGCACCTCACGCTCAACTTATGATGAAAAGTGCTTCCTGCTGAAGCAAAACTGAAATACTGCCTAGCCACGACTGTGTACTTCCTATCCAGCCTTCTGGGAAGGAGCTGGGAGGGCTTTGCTGGCACACACCTTGCATCCTTCCTTGAAGCTGGGGCCTGAGAGTAACCAGAATCCTGCTGCTTCACCCCAAAGACCCCAGAGACCTTGAGCTGGGCCTAAGTACAAGGGAGGGAAACAATCCAAGCTGAAATTTTCCGGAAAATCCAGCCAGAGTTCAGTGTGACTTGATGACCACATCTCATCACAGGACTGAGCAAATCCACCCCTTCTTCCACAAATGCACTTGAGGTGCTGCCACCAGGTGGCCCTTGCTGGGACCTCACTGAGACAGGGCAGGCATACAAGCTGGGAGGGAGACCAGCTCCTTCCAAACTGTACATCTCCAGCCCATGCCAATGAGGACTAGGGGACCACAAGGAACCCTAAGCAGCTTCTAACCTGAGATTCTCCTTCTGTGTTCTCCATGAACAAAATCAAGAACCAGCAGAGACTTCCTTCACAGGACTCCAAGGACCCAACAAGGCTCAATGACTGCTCTCTGGTGAGCTCCACCAGCCATCAGGGCAAGCTGCTGCCCCGTATCAGCAACTCAAGCGGAAGCCACGTCCACAAGTGACAGGTGCTGGCCACTGGCTGGGCCACCGCCCAGCACTTGCTGTGACTATTGCCACTTACTCCAGAGACCAGAGACGGGGCGGGTTCAAATCTACTTGCAGACAGGAGGGTGACAGGGCCCCACCAGCTACAGAGCAGGGCCAGGCTCAGCTTGCCCTCTCGCTCCTCAGGTGGTGCTCAGGAGGCGCAAGAACTGACCTACTGACCTACCTGCCACGGTGGGGCTGGCAGACCATGCGGCACAGCCAGTCGTGGAACACACACCTTTGCCTTGGGGTGGAATCTTAAAAACCAGAGACAATCTGCACCTCACTTCACATGACATCAGGGCATCTCTAGTCTTCTGATTCCACTTGAAGTGAATAGTTGAGTAGTTTTAGTATTCTGAGTTGAAAGACTTAATTATAAGAAAATTTAGCTAACTGCAAATGTTCCCAGTGTGCCAATAAGTACAAATGTAAGAATCACTGTTTATTAGTTTTAATGTTTTAGATCCATTGGGATTTTTATGTACTTGAGTTCTTTTATCTATTAAATAATTCAAATACATAAAATCAATTCAATTGATAAATGCACCTTACAATACAAAGATTTATTGGAGCCAGGTATGTGGCACAGGCCTGTTAACCTAGCTAGTGGGAGGCCTGGGCAGAAGAATCTAGTGTGAGGCCAGAAGCCTGGGAAATTGAGAACCTGTCTCAAATAAAAAAAAAAGGGGGTGGTATCTCACTGCTCCCTGGGGTCAATAACCAGTTTCACACACACACATACACAAAACCTCAAAATAATGATGAGGTTACTACAATAAATAATAAGTGACTGGAGCACCCGCAACAGCAGGAAGAGGAGTTGCCTCAGGTGTGAACAGAGTTCTGAGTGCTAAGCCCCAGCCTCGGCTTCTATTTCCACTGAATGTTCTTCTGAGCTTTCTGCTTATACTCACAGCAGGAATCAACAATCCAGTCGCTATGTGCCAGGATGGTAAACCAGACTGTTTCTGGGGACCTCGGAGACAGTACTTGTACCCTCCAGACACTCATCGACAAAATCAGTACACGCCAGAGCCAGAAGCCCTGGCTCGTGCCTATGGTCTCTGCTGCTCTTGAAACTGAGGCAGGAGGATCGCTTGAGCCCAGGTCAAGGCAGCCTGGGTAACCAAGACTCCTCCTTATAACAAAAAAGGCTGGGTGTGATTGGGTGCGCTTGTAATTCTAGCTATATGAACCAAGTCTGAGGCAACAACTTTGAGTAATGCAATGAAACAAAAAGAAAACAAACATACAAAACAAAAACAAAATGACCACATGCTCAGGGCAACCTAAAGTGGACACATGTAGGGGTCCTGAGGAGCTAAACATCCCTGGGGTAGAGGCATCCAACAAACTGTGAGCACACGTGGGTTCCAGCTGGCCCTGGTGAGCAGGGAAGGAGATGAGAGGCAGTGTAGGGCGGAGGACACTGTAGAGACCAAGTGAGCTCACAGCCCTGGGAGGCTCACAGGGATGAAGGGCTCGTGTGATGTACACCATCCAATGGGAGGCTGGGCGTGCAAGTGGAACAAGAATGGACAAGCAGGGCTGGGGATTTAGCTCAGTGGTTCTGGCGCCCGCCACGCAACTGCAAGATCCCGAGTTCGATCCCTGGTACCAAAAAAACCCAAACAAAGAGTGGACAAGCATAAAGAAGTGTGAAAAGAAGTTTGTGTGCAAACACTGGGGAGCTCCAGGCTTTGGACCAAACCCTGAGACTGCCAGCTCCATCCAAGAGTGCCCCAGCCCCATGGTCTCCATGCTCCTTCCATACTCCCTAGGCTCATTCCAAGGGGAAGGTCCTCATTACCCTCTCACCATGCTGTTCCACAGAAAAATTCTTCAAATCAATGCCCAAAGCCACGGCAAGAGGAAGGGGATCTGCCGAAACTCAAAAGATCAACAGGTGGGGACTCCCGTGCGTTCCTGGGCCAGGGTCCTGCCAGCACAGAGCAGGACCCCCAACCTTCTTGTGTGCCAGCCCCACGCAAGGCACCTGGAAGCAACCTGGGGTCACAGAGGAGTCAGAAACCTAAGGAACGAAGCTGGCCAGGACAGCATGGCCACAGAGCCCCCCGCACAGGGGCCCCAGCCCACCTGCACCCTCTTGCAGGCAGCCCCGCAGCCCGCCTTTGCTTTCCTGTCATCTTTGGTATCCTGTTGGGATGCATTACAATCACCTATGTGAGCAGCCCCCGAGTATTTTTGGGAAAAGGTACAGGTAGAGACAGCAGGAGCAGGGACAGCCTGTGGTGGCTACTGTCTACAGGACCCAACCTAGCTGCAGGGGCAGGAGAGCTCAATGCCCAATGCAGGAAGAGATGGGGGAACCGGGGCACCCCCATCCTGTGCCCATGGACAGGCTCCACCACACTAACCCTGCATCACAGCCATCACAGAGTAGGAGGCGGTCCTCATGGTCACTCCTGCTGCACACCTCACAGAAGGTGGGGTCCTCCTCCTCCTCCTCCTCGAAGGCTCTGGTGTTCTCCACTGGCATCTGAAGACGGAACTGCTGGTCACACACCAAACAGACCCTCGAACCCGAGAGGTCAGCTGGCAGCAGTGTGCAGCTAACCCAGAGCCATCTATCGGCCTATGATCTTCACAGGCTCCACAGGCCTGGAGTCCTAACAGGACATGCATACAACCCTTCACATTCTCCCTACCTCTAGACAGGTAATCAGAGAGCAAGCTGAGCACAAGGACAGAAAAAGAGATGCAGCGGGAGACAGATGCAGAGTGAATAGAGGCAGAGTTAAGTAGCATCCATCAGAGCTCAGAGGCTGGGAGGGAGCACAGCGAAGCAGGCTAGGACCCCTTTGGGCTCCATCCCCAGCACCATACACAGGCACACACGCACATACGCACCGAGCTTAGAAACCAGTAGCAACTAAGCAAATGCTCAAAACAATCCTGCCAAGACAGCATGTGCTGGTATGCAGCTTCACCAAGCAGCGGCAGCCAAGCGTGGAGTACACCCTCACTTCAGCCTAGTGTTTTTGATGTCTATGATACACTTGCTTAGGGGGTGCCCTGCCCTGCCCATCTCCCGACCAGGCTCTCAAGCAGCTCTTATATTTTCAGGCTCACTGGCCTGCAGAGCAGCTTGCAAACAGCCTTTGTTCCAGGGGAGCCAGTCCTGTGCTGTGGCCCACTGGATCTGGGGTTGTCCTACACCATCTCTACCATCACCAGCTTGAGACTTCTGCAAATGGCCCAGGTACCAGAAGTGCTAGCTGACACTGTCAACATGTCCCCAAGGCTCCAAGCTGCCCAGGCAGAGGACCAGGTCAGGGACAGCCAGGGGCAGGCATGCCTGAGCCAGCAAAAAGAGGTGGCCTTTAAGAGGCCCAACCTAAGTAGAGACAGTGCAGGAGGATGCTCGTGCACCACAGAAATTCACACACAAGGAGCTACACTCCCTTTAAAACTGTGGCTTCTTGCACTCTGTAATTTTTTTTTTTTTGGTACCGGGGATCGAACTCAGGTCCTTGTGCTTGCGCAGCAGGCGGCAAAACCACTGAGCTAAATCCCCGGCCTGCACTCTGTAAATTTTTAAAAGTAGGTGTGACACACACCTATGACTGAGGCAGAGGATTACAAATTCAAGCCCAGCCTTAGCAATTTAGTGAGACCCTGTCTCAAAATTGAAAACTAAAAATAGGTTGGTGGGGGCTGGGGATGCAGCTCAGCAGTAGAGCACCTGCCCAACATGCATCCCTGGTTCAATCCCCAGCACTGCACTAACAAAAAGTATACACAATGGAGCCACAAAGAAGCAAAATCAACTGAGGAAACAGTCTTCCTCACCTAACAGAAAACGAGCCAGCACTTTAGGAAACCTGGTGCTGGGGGAAAGGCCTCCTCTTGACCCTCACCTTTCTACTCCCTTGCAGCTGCTGCCAGAAGGGAGCTCTACAATGAGGAGGGCATAGCAATGGAGGGGCTAGGAACCCCCAACATCCTGGCCACTGCCCCCACCCACAGCTCAGAGCCCGCAGCCCGTACAGGCAGCTCCAGCTTCATGCTCGCACCCAGAGGGCACGTTAGTCCATTTATAAAAGCACCTAACCAGCACCCGCTCATTTCAGGAGAGCAAATCACCTAAAAGCATGCTCTTATCACAAGGAGGGACACAAAGGCGCAGCATTTACACTTACCTTCTTTAAGATTTTACCACCGAACTGAGCTCGAATACAAATACATTTAAATATCGTTCGATCAACTGGACAAGAGTTTGCATTCTGTAAGAAATAAAATTGTATCAAAATCCTGTATCAAGGGCCGGGTATGTAGCTCAGTGGCACAGCATCTGCCTAGCAAGTATGAGTCCCTGAGTTTGATTTCCTGGTACAAAAAAAAAAGATTCTACATCAAAAAAACTGTATCAAGATCACCTTCACTACCAATAACATGTTCAAAATAAAGAATTCACTTAGATATCAAAAGTTCTTTTTACACTGAAATCAAGTATTTACTGAGTGTCTCTGGGCCTGACCCAGGGCTACATGGTAGGGACAAGACAGTGAGGGAAACACAAACACCTGGCTCGTGGGCATGGGCTGCGGCAGTGAGGGAGGAGGGCTGAGGGGAACTGTGGGCAGGTCCATTCACACACAGGGCTTTGTACACGGGATACAGGGAGGGAAGGAGCAGAACGGACGGGGCTGGCATTTTAGCTGGGACAGCCTGTGCTCATCCCTGTGAACCTCTGCTCAAATCCTCTGCTACTTTCCCAAGATGAGGTGCTACCTAGCGGGTCTTTGGCATTTGTTTTCATAGCACGGATGCTGATCAGACTCCTGCTGCAAATATTTCTCTCCTCATGGCCTTTACTGAGGGAGACCATACACCATACAGCACACTCGTACTTAACTGTAAACATCTTGGTGGTTCTGCTGCGTGCTCATCCCACAGATCTGCCATCCCGGCCTCCCCTCTCAGCCTCCTGTGTCTCAAGGGCGTGTGTCCCATGTTTCTTACAGATGGAGTCATAGCAAGCAGTGAGCACTGGGCTCTGCCCTCCTTCCCACGGGGCAGGTGGCCCAGTCCATGGCCCATGCAGTTGCATGCACCTCTGGATGCAGTGAACACCGAGGAGGAGGTGGACCTGGAAGTTGCCCTGTCGTGTCCCCTCAAGCCTTTGAGTCTGCAGCTCTGCTGGTCCACATGGGGCCTGGACAGGGTGTGCTGCGATGGGTTTCCCCTTGACCGTGTGCTGTGGAGCCCCTTGCACTTGCCTCTACCCCAGACCTTTGCTCCAACCATTCAGGACCTCACCCTACCCTCCAGGAGTCCCAGAGTTTCCCTTTCCACTCCAGTCTGCATTCCTCTGGCAGTGGGTGTGGAGCAAGCCCAGGACCCTGCTTCTCAGAGCCCCACACCCAGCCGCAGAGCCACCCAGCACCACAGCATGTCCAAATCTCCTTCAGAAACCCTGCACACTCCCTGGGTCTGGGCTCTGTTCAGACCCAATTCCAGTTTGGTCACTACAGTTTTACAGACCTCTCCCTCTTTCAAAGCAAGCTTCACAGTCCTTGTTTTCTTACCCTCCTACCATGGGAATTCCAGAGTCTGGCAAGTGTTGTGTGGCTCCTGCCAGGACTCCGGGTCCACATCACTGGCCATCCACACTGAACACACTTCCCTTCCAGAAAACGCCCTTTCTGCATTTCAGTGTGCAATTGTTTTACTGCTGTTGTGTGTGTGTGTGTGTGTGTGTGTGTGCGCGCGTGCGCGCGCAATTTTTTTAAAAAACTTTTTCAAATGTCTTATGCATCTTTTTGTGACTTGAGTCTAACTTTTTATCTTTATTAACCTTGGGTCCAGCAATCTTGCTAAGATCATTTCAACACTTCCTTTTACTAACAAACATTATTTGGAAATACCTTCTCCTACCTAATTCTCCCATCTTTTTTCTTCTATTATCCAATAACTATCAGATAGGAGATACATAGCAAACACACCTTTTTGTCTTTGATGACAGGGTCTCCTTATGTAGTTCAGGCCGGCCTTGAACTCACTATGTAGTTCAGGCTGGCCTCAAACTCACAGCAATCCTGCCTCAGCCTCCCACATGCTGAGATTACAGGCATGCACCACCATATCTGGCCCTTTACTCCTTTGAAATCTTCCACAATAGTTTTACAACGTGTGGGAGAAATTAGTATTCTGAAGGTTCGTTATGGGTCTGTAACGCCTGTGCATTTGTCTTCTCTGTTGCTAGCTGCTGAGCTGCACCTACAGCCTGCTGTGTATATGACGATGTGGTATCCAGGAGCACCTGCCCCAGCTGTGGCACACACAGGTCCACAGCATGCACACACAGGCTCGTATGCTCATTTGTCATTCAGGCGTTCTGAATCCTTTTCTCCTGTGCCCAGGGGCACAGGATGAAGCAAAGGCCATGCCAGGAGTCAACCCTGTGCCCCAGACCCCAGTGACTGAGGACAGATGGGGGAGAAGCCAACTCACCTTGGACCATTCGACGATGCAGTCCAGGCAGAAGTAGTGGGTGCAGGTCTCCGGTGTGCCCACAGCCTGGTCTCTGAACACATTGAGACAAATTGGGCAGCTCTCTGCATCTTCATCAGAAGTGAGTATGCCACCAGCTTCCAGCTTCCCCTGAGGATCCTCAGCTGCCTTTGAAGCTTCTACTTCATCTTCAGAATCTTCAGAACCTGAAGACAGTGTTACAGCTTTAGTGCAAGGCAGGACTAGCGGTGTGAATGGGAGCAGGACTCTGTTCAGAGACCTGGCTCCTTGCAGGACCTGCCTCCTGGGCCACCTAGAAGGTTAGGTCCTGAGAGCTCTGCTGTTACCTGAAGCCTCTTCAACAGCTGCCTCTGAGCTAAGGAGATGGCATAGAGCCACAGCCCCACGAAATGCGGCAGACCCCAGACCCAGCACTGCCTCCAGTGTTCCCCTTGGGACAGCAGCCCCTGCACAGTCTCAGGGGTCTTTGACACCTCTTAGTGACAACCAATCATCTGCTTCAGATGACACCTCCTTCCTGGGCTTCCTCTTCCCTGTGGGATGCAGATTCCTAACTGGGCCACTGGCTGTAACAGACATGGGTCATTTCTTTTCTTTTCTTTTTGGTACTGGGGATCAAACTCAGGACCTTGCCCTTGCCAGGTAGGCATGGCACCACTGAGCTAAATCCCCCTGGTCCGTTTTTTGAGACAGCGTCTCGCTATGTAGTTTAGGCTAGCCCTGAACTCACTATGTAGCCTAAGCTGGCCTCAAACTCACAACAGTCCTCTTGCCTCAGGCGTTCATCACCACACCCTGCTATGGACATGTTTCACAAACAAAATATGAATACACAACCTCTGGCTATTTTCTTTTTGGTACCGGGATTGAATGCAGGTCCTTGTGCTTGCGAAGCAAGCGGCAGAACCACTGAGCTAAATCCCCAGCCCTGGCTGTTTTCTTAAAAAAAAAAAAAATTCCACATATACAAAGATATGGGCAACTTCTGAGCAGTTTGCCTGGAGCCTGGCCGTAGTAGAGTGAAGTATCTTCAGTGAACACAGCATTGGCACACACGTTTATCATGCCTTCTTCCTGCACGCCAACAAACAGCACAGACACAAAGGACTTGGGTCGTGGGACCAGGGAAGCAGGATCTCCCTGTATTCTGCCCCGGTGAGAGGCACAGTGGCAGTGCCAGACAACCTTCCCCAGGCCCTGCTGCTACCTGCAAAGGGCAGTCAGCCTGACACCCAAGCCCACCAGGTGACTCTTTCAAAGCAGAGCTTCTCCAGCGGCACGCGGAGAGAGAAGTCAGAGGGGCACGTCCTGCCAGGCCAGACAGCCAACTACAGCTCCAGTCCTTTAGCCTCAAGGACTCTGAACAAGCAGAGCTTAGATGAGGACTTGGCTCAGAGGGAAGTGCAGCCTGGCCAACACCTTCAAGCCACCTGGTGAGACCTGAGCAGGACCCAGCTGACCTAACCTTGGGCTCCAGCCCCTGAAATGCCAGGGCGGTCAACATGCTGTTCCACGCTGCTGAGTTTGGGGTGACTTGTTACACAGCAATGAAAAACTAACGTGAGACACCCACAGAACCCTGAAGATGGCAAGCAGGTGGCTGAATGGCAACTCACTACACTTTCCTGCCTTGCTAAGGAAGGGCCTATGGAGTACAGTGCATACCAAGTGAGCTGGTTCTTCCTATGGCACCTGGAAGGCAGACCAGCACCTTGAGCTCCATGCAGTGCCATGGCCACAGAGAAATGCCTTCAGCACTTGGAAGGACAAGGACCCTGAGCAGAGTAGAAGTGGCAGATGAAGACAAGTGAGCAGGGTCTGAGCAGGTGTCCTGTTTCACCCTGGACAAGCAAGGCTCACACCAAGGAAGCTATGACCAGGGCTGGCCCCAGCAAGGCAGCCTCAGCAGCCAAGGGCAGAGTCCCATGGAGAACAGCCACACATGGTAACCACTCTGAAAGGAGACTGAGAAGAGCACTAGGCAAAGCACACATAGAGTAGTAGCTCCTACTGCCCAGGGCTGGAGATGCGATGAGAGAAGTGAGAATACTCAAGGAAAGAGCTGAGAAACCTTCTCAAGTTAGGAACACAGGAGACACAGTAAAGCACATGGCCTCTGGGAGATGCCAGGGCAGGAAAAGCAGCAGAGAGGCCCTTTGAGAAATTCCTCTCCAACATCTGCTGCGTCTCAACCAGCTGCCAAGGCACTAGCACCAGAGGAATCAAGTGCAGAGACCTCCCAGTACCTTCCCACCTCCTTCCTCCTGCACCTTGCTGAGACTCTGGGTCTTTGCACCACCTGTCCCTCAAGAACACTCCACCTCTGACACTGCGGCCACCATCACCTAGCCAACGCCTGTCCTTCAGGCCTAGAGGTGCCCTTCTCTAGAAGCTTTCCCTTACCTCCGGAGCCCTGAGCCCTCCCCTGCTGACACCTGCAGCCTCTGACATCTGTCACCAGGCATCCTGACTGCTGTTCCCCAACAGATGAGCACTAGGAGGAGCGGACCCTGGCTAAGTGGGCCCATCTTGACTCCAGCCCTCAGATTTGGCATCCAATAGGCCCTCAAAACCTCTGAGAAAAGAAAACAACAAAAAAACCTCTGAGAATGGACAAAGGGAGAGACTTGCCAACATCCCTCATCTCTGCCCTTAGCCCTGGCAGTGCCAGTATGTGTGCCAAGACCTGCTGGGACAGGACAATGCTGGGACAAGGCAAGAAGCCACATCAGTAACCCTGAATCCAGAACAGACTCAAAACCTAAACCCTGCAAGTAGAGGTGGCTAACATACCAAGCTGTTGGCCCACACCAGCCTGCGTGGTGCCTGCCAACACCAGTCCTCTGTGAGCACTGTCCCAAACATAAAGGTTATCCTTCTGGGACATTGTAACACTGACATCAACAGGCCACAGGAGGTGCTCAGGAGCATGACTTCTCGGCCCAAGGATGACATCAGAGGAAGGTAATGGGAGCTGAACTTCTAGACAGGAAGGTGGATGCTGTGGGGCCAGGTTAGGAGAAACCGCTCGAGGATGCTGCAGGCTAGGGTGGCCACAAGCAGGGAGAAAGCACCTCAGTGAGCCAGAGGAGACTTCCCTCTGCAGCACTGCTCCCTGGAGGAGCTTATAGGCACAAACCTCAACCACAGTACAAGCTGGGAATTTCCTAATAAAGCCACACAGTGCTCACCACTCTCTCAGTTTTGGACAGAGAAAGCAGAGGCCAAGCCACAGATGGATCTGCCGACGTGCCCTGTGCCCTGGCTAGCTGTCCCTGGCCACACGACCCTTGGCAGGTTGCCTGCCCGGCACCTGAAGAGGACAACAGGGGCTCCCACGCTGCTCACTACAAATTCAAGGCTTATCACCTTTCCCAGTCCCGGCTACTTGATGTTCTTAGATATTTCTGTTTTCTGCTCCCACCAGCACAAAGACCTATGGAACTGTGTCAAATGCCACAGAGCTGCCATCCCAGTGCAGTCATGGACAGAGACGGCAGCCAGGGCAGGGACAGTATGCAGAGGGCCCTCCATGGCCATCCCCACAGTGCAATCAGGTGGGTGTGCAGATCTAACACAGCCACACACGAGCCCAGAAAGCTTACCAGATCTATCGCCTGGGTCTTCCTCCTCAGATGACCCCTCCTCGTCCTCTCCGTCTGTGTCCTCTCCGTGCTCACTGCCCGTCTCATCCTCAGAATACCCGCTTTGACCATCGCTGCTCTCTTCTAGACCACCAGTGATAAAAGCACAGGCCCCAGGGATAGTGTCACAACTAACAGTCCTGCCAAAGGGCTACCACACTGCCCAAGGCTGGTAAGGAGGGGCTGAAGGGAAAAGGGGATAGCTTTTACTGTGCATTTGTGTTGCCTGCATTAAAAATAAGACAAAAAGCTACACAGAGTGGCAGGTGCTTATGGTCTCAGCTACTTGGGAGACAGGGGCAGCAAGATCACTTGAATCCAGGATTTCAAGGCCAACCTGGGCAACACAGCAAAAACCCATCTCAAAATAACAAAAACTAACCAAAACATAAAAAGAATAAATGTACTATACTTCTACAACTTAAAACCAAAGAGTTTTTTTGAAAGGTTGAAAACCTGAAAACTGACATGCAGACCATCTCTCAAGGGTGGCCAGTGGCCTGCAGAAAACACAAGGTGCCCCTGCTCCTCCAGCACTGGGGGAGCTCACCAGAACTGTTGGCCAGGTCTGTAGCGCCAACACGGGGGCATCCATCTGGCTCTGGGCTTTGGGCCATGAGCTTGTCCAGATTGTCATCATCCATTGCTGCACATTGGAGTCCAGCCCTGAAAGAGAACAGAGCCAGGTAATTCCCAAACTGCACCAAGTTGCAGAGCTCCTGAAAGAATGACAGTCACTCCCATGTCACATCCCTGGTGTCATGAACATTTCTGTGCAAGGAGAGGTAAAGCTGTAAGAAAACACACACAGTGCAATGCCAACCGTACAGAGGAAGACATGGACTCCCATCCACTGAGCCACAGGCACAGCCAGATTCCAGCTCCTGACAACTGGTGATGCTTTTGTGCAAGGCTCCTGAGGAACACACTCTAGGAACGAACAAAAAGAACTCCTCCTGCCAGGTGTAGCGGTGCTGGCCTGTAATCCCAGCACTTGGGAGGCTGAGGCAGGAGGTTTGGCATTAAGTTCGAGGCCAGCCTGACTATATAGTGAGTTCAAGGCCAGTCTGAACTACATAACAAGACCCTGTCTCAAAAAAACAAAAACAAAACAAAACAAAACAAAAAGAACTCATCCTGAGCTGAGGCAGAGATGTGTTTCTCAACTGAAGACCGGCCACCAGAAGGGCCCAGTACTGGCTCAGGCTGATGACTCTCAGCCTGTGAAGCCCAGCTGAGGCTCCTAGGGCCCTGTCCATCATCTGCCTGTGGAACCTTGTGACGCCCAGGCTGGAGGACAGAAAGGGCAGGCACTGGGCTGGGCCTCTTCTCATTTGTCAGTGGGGAACCCTGCTGGGCTTCTCTACAGGCTGCCGTAAGGACTACATGGACCATCTGTATCAACAGCCTCAGAATGCTGTTCCACATAACTCCACTTTGTCTACACGAGGGCTGCAGATTCAGCACTGCTACCTCCTTTCCAGGTGGCCTGTAGAGGAAGCACCTCTCATGAAGAACTCACCTAGGAATCTGTTAAGGCACAGTTAAGCCCACCCACGGCAACACGTGCTTCCCCCCCAGGCCACCCTCCAGTTTGGAGCCTTCTTCCTGGAGGCTGCACCTACAGGGTTGTTTTTCTCCTTCAGCTCAGAGATCTCCTGCACAGCTGGGGAGGCTTGCAACCTCCCAAGAGCACCGTTCTCAGATGGGGTCGGGGCCAACTTGAAGACAGGATGGCCCTACCCCAGGGGAGAGAAGGCACTGCAGAGCCCCAGAGTTTGTCTGCTGTCTTCTGGATACTGAAGAAACTGCCAATGGCAGAACACTGCTGTTACCAGGAAATAATAAACTGAAAAGTACTTGTGCCCAATCATTAACTTTTCCTCTACCTGCTGCTCTAAGATTAAGATAACTGACTACTCAAAAAAAAAAAAAAAAAAAAAAAGATAACTGACCACATATCGCCAGTCAGTGAAGCCCTGTTACTTGGTGAACTCACTTAGCAGTGACTCGTGGCCATAGACCCTCACTGGAAACACTAACTCTAGCAGGAAATATAGGAGACAGTGCCATGGGCCATTCAGGAGGGGGCACCTTTCTTGTGGGGCACATAGAGATGAGACACAGCCACAGCCACAGCCGTCTAAGAGAATCTGTACTCTCTGGCCAGAGCTCTGATCCTCCCCCTAACTGAAACCCATGTCATCTGGGGCTCCTGATACCTATGTGCCAGGACTTGTGCAGCACAAGGGGGACAATCTGCAGACCCACAGGAATCCACCAGGAACCAAGAAATGTAACTGGTAAGAACACCTAGGGAGGGGCCAGGGATTTATCAAAGTGGCACTGTGCCTGCAGCACCTGCCTTGCAAGTGTAAGGTCCTGAGTTCGATCCTGGATACAAAAAAAACGCCTAGGGGATGACAGGGCAGAGCTGGGCAAAATCCTCATCGTGAGGACATGTTTGATTGTTTTTGTTTTTTTAGATAGTCATACTTAATAGTTCAGGTTGGCCTTGAACTCACTATATAGCTCAGGGTGGGCGTGAACCTCACTCACAGCAATCCTCCTACCTCAGCCTCCAGAGTGCTGGAACTACAAGTGTACACCACCACACCCGGCTACAGACATGTTTCACAAACACACAAAATATGAACACACAACTCCTGGTTTCTTCCTTAATAGATGCACTGTAGACGGCCACAGAAAGGGCAGCACAAGGCCTGTTCAGAAGACGGTCAGGGATCAGGAAGGGAATGCTCAGTGCAGATGCTACCTGAAGCCTGCACCTGGGTTAAATCCTGAGGGCCCTGTATACCTGCACACCACAGGTAAGGAACACCCCCAAAGGCTTTACAGAGCCCCATCCTCCCAGAATCACCACACAACACAACCACAGCAACAATGGGGACCAGGTGGCCAAACAGGAGGAAGAAACTTCCCCTCCAGAGGTACTTCCAGGGCAGCAGGAGGGATAACACCACAACCTGGCAGTCCCAGCCTTCTCTACCCCACCTGGTCCCACCAGCAGCCACAGCTTCCCTACCTCTCCACATACCACATACCCCAACCAGGTGACTATTCCTGCACCAGCACACGGCCCTTCCCGGCGCTGGCGCTGGCTCCCCTGGGCAGTGCTGGTAAAACTCGAGGTAGGGTTAGTTGTCATGGCTCTCCTGCTCAGCCTCCAAGTTTTCAGAGATTAAGGAAGAAAAGAAAGAAAACCAGAAAGGCTATTTGACTTTTCAAATTCAGGGGAAGCAATGCATTTAAAAGGAAACTCCAGGGCCTCTGGTGTGGGACAGCTCAATGTGCAGGACCAGACCCTGGGTGCCCTTAAGAGCACTGAGCAAGACTGCAGCATGTCCAACTTCTCCATTCTTCACTCCTCACCTGCCCTATGAAACACAATGAGACTCACAACTGTACACGGTAATGTAAGTCACCACCAGTGTTCACCAAGGTCCCCGCTGCCCTGGCCTTGACACCAAGCCACAGTGCTGCTGAGAGAGCCACGGCTTCTGCACTGGGAAAAGCTGGGCACGAAACGTGTGAGTGCTTTACTGTCACAAGGTGGGGGTCTGCCTCCATGAAGCCTGCCCCGGCCACCAGTGGCCACGTACGAGCATTCCGTGCTGCAGAAACAAGGTGAGTTCTCAGTGACGCTGTAGAATGGCCTTCCTGGAGGTGACGAAAGAGGTCGGCGAGGACTCGCCACCCCGCCGCTGGGTAGCCCGGGAGAACTCCTCGACTTCTCTGGCGCCGATGTCGCCGCGGACACCGACGCGCCAATTGCTCCGGAGCGCCGCGCGGACGCCAAGCTCTTGAGACAAGAAAGCCGCGCCGCTCCCCCAGGCCTAGTGAATGCAGGCGCAGCGACGGAGCAGCAGCCAGGAGCGAGGATCAGGAGCTGGGACGAGGGACGAGGGACGAGGGACGAGGGACGAGGGACGAGGGACGAGGGACGAGGGACGAGGCCCGCCGTCCGCCTCGGTCTCGCGCGGCGCAGGCCGAACCCGCCGTACCTCCAGACAAAGCGCGAGGCGCCCGCACCACCCAAAGGCTCGAGCGTTGAGGACTCGGGACCCCCGTACGTACCCGGGAACTTCTCGCCTCCCGGGACCTCTGGGCGATCCAGCCGCCGCCCGAGCGACACAGAGACCAGGCCCCGCCGCCACCGCTGCTGCCGCCGCCTCCGCCTCACGCTCTCCGACCCGGAAGTGCTCGGACCCGCTTCCGGGGCCCTCCGCCCCTCCCGTTGGTACAAACCACTGGAACCACGGCCAGGAGGAACCTGTGGCCGGGGCTGGGAAACGACTTTTCCACCTCGAAAACACTGGGTAATGCAGATCTTCTGCCCAGGAAGACCAGTATTCTGGAAGAATTCCGGCTGTCTAACTCCTCGGCACTCCGCTGGTCCAAGATGCACCCCCACCCGAGAAGGTGGTGCAGTCCTAAACCCCACCACCACCTAGAGCGAATGGGAGCAGTCTGAAGCAGATGAGGTCCCTTTCCAGCCACCCCCCCCACACACCCCGCCCCTCTGGCCACGCCCTCTCGTTGCGCTACCTCCAGGTTTCCCAGTTCTGCGCCACCAGGCCTCGGTAGAAAAAGCGAGGGAAGAAGAGTGTTGGGTTTTCCCTCGGCGGACAGCTTTGTTCCAGCATTTCCTGCAATGAGCATGCATAGAGCCAGGATGGACACTGTGTGCGGGCCCTATGAGGGCCGGGGCACGGCGGAGAACGAGCCCGCAGTCCCAGTCCTCTCCAGCCCAGTGCAGCGAGAAAGAAACCATGAACACTGTGGAGACTGCAACTGCCTGTAATCCCGGCTGACTCAGTAGGATCAACGCGAGTTCCAGGCCAGCCGGAACTACATCCTGCGACCTTGTCTTTTAAAAAGTTTTGTTTTTTCTCCGGTACCGAGGATAGAACTCATGACCTTGCGCTTGCGAGGCAGGCACAGTCCCCTTAAAAAAGTTTTTAAAAATCAATAATATGAGCCAGGCATTGTGGCTCACACCTGTAACCCTAGAACTCAGGAGGGTGAGACAGGAGGATCGCTGAGAGTTTGAGGCCAACCTGGGCCACATAGTGAGTTCAAGGCCAGTCTGAGCTGTATAGCAAGATCCTGTCTCAGAAAACAAAAACAAAAAATCAGTGTGGCTTGGGAGAAGGCGATTCTTGCTTTAGCAAAAAAACAGGCTGGGCCAGGGCTGCAGCTCAGTGGTCTTGCGCAAGGCCTTGGGTCCTTCCCTATCACCGAAAAGAGTCCCTCAGAGTCAGGGTCAGGAGGCTGAGTACTGGCCATCCTTGAAGAAGTGCTGAAGAGGAAGTGAGGGCCAGGCAGCTGGGGCAGGGGTCCTGCAGGGCTGGCACTGGCTCACCAGACCCCTTGATGTGCATATCAGCGGGACCAGTAGAGCACTGTGGCTTGCAAGGTAGATGTGGAAGACAGCTGGCAGGACTTGAGTGGTTGGATGTGGGTGTTAGGGAAGATAAAGGGCAGAAAGGACTGAGAATGGGAAGATGGGAGCCAATTAAAGGAGGAGAATGGTGGTGGCGGCGGGAGGGGGGGACAGGGATGAGACAAGCTGGAGGAAGTGTTCAGGGATAGAGGCTGCACCAGCGGTAAGACCTTGGGGTTGGGAGTGGGGATGGGACCAGCTCCGGAAACCCAGACCTCAAAGGCGAAGAGGTCTGGAATCTTCAAAAGAGACCAAAAGGAACTGGAGGAGGGTGCAGAAAAGGGACTGGAAAAGAACCAGGAGAGTTGTTGGAAACCAAAGGAAGCAAGTGTATCCACCAGGAGGGTAAGGTGGAGTCTGATGGGGCCCTGGACAGCAGCACTGGCCCAAGGTGTGTAGAGAGAATGGGAAGCATGAGTAGACCATATCACTTTCCTGGAAAGGGAAGAGAAAGTGAAGGAACCAAAGAATGAGCCAGTCAGGAATGCTGTTTCCACTGCTTGTGATGGGTAAAACATCAGGGAGAAAGGATGGTCCCAAACAGGGGCACTCCAGAGCATGTCCCCTCTTCTGCATGAGCCAGACAGCAGGATCTGGATGGCATGGGTGGATCCAGCATCACCCAGGCACCTTGAGTGGCAATTGTATGACCCAGATGAGTTCCTTGCCCTCTCTGGACGACAGTGTCCTTGGCTGCAAAGTGCAGATGTTAATGAGCACACCTGCGTCTTGGATCATGGAGAGGACTGAATGGGTGAACACAGGGAGAACATCCAGTGGGGTCCAGCTGTGGTGATGAGGGGCTGGGGTGCCACCCCTAACCTGCACCAGACACCTGTCTCTCTTCTTTACCTGCTTGGAGCCTGGCAGGAGCATGTGCTTCTGCTGAGGACCATCAGACACGGACACCCGCAGGCACGTGCTGGGGCTCCTGGGAAAGAGGAGGTCAAACAGCCTGTGGTCAGCTTGTTGCCAGGCCCTCCCACCCAGCCCCTCAGGTTCCCCATGGGGACTGCTGGAGGAGGTGTCAGAATAAACACATGCAGGATGGGACCTAAAGGGCACGTCCTTGGTGAGCATCTTCAGGCAGTTCAGTCTACCCATCCTCAGTGTGCAAGGTGACCCCAAAGAGCTGCCTAGGGTCAAACTGAGAACAAGCAGTGCTTCTTGAGAGTGTACACACATCTATACCTCCTGCCTACTGACACACCCACACACATCTGCTGATATAAAATGACACTTTGCCTGCTCAAACCTGGACCACATGTGGCCTCATGAACCAGGAGGCTCTGACATGTCCCACATATAACCCAGCATCCACACTATCACCTCTGATGCATACTGACAGGTGCCCCAGCAGCCCCTTGTACATGCTGCTGGCAGTGTGCACACACATACATGCCTCCCACTCATACAGCCCTGCACCTGGAGGCCCTGCTGGGGCTTTGGTCTGTGCTGGCACATGCTGCTCCTGCCTGGTGTGGGCCAGACAGGCACAGATGTGGTGCATGCCTGGCATGCGCTGAAGAGTAAAGCTGCCCCCATCCCAGCCCAGCCTCTCCCAGAGGACCCAGCCTCTCCCCCTTCCCCTGGCCCAGCACACACAGCCCCCCTCCCCATCCCCACAGCAAGAGCCCAGAGCCAGGTGGATGATAGAAAAGGGAGGCTGAAGCATGGTCAGAGGAAAAGGGGAGTGGGCTGAGAAGAGGGGAGTCAAAGCTCACAGAGCTGGAGGAGGGAACAGGCCAGCGAAACTGACCTTTCAGACCAGGGAAGGCAAACACAGTATGTAAGTGTCCACTGACCACAAAAAGGGTGGTTTAAAACAACAGAAACTTATTCTTACATAGTCCTGGAGGCCAGAAGTCTGAGATCAAGGCTGGCATGGCCACACTCCCAGGGTCCCTGGGGAGAGTGCCAGGCATTCTTTGGCTGTGGCCACAGCACTTTGATCTCTGCTTCTGTCTTCTCATGCCCTTCCCTCCATGTTTGCCTCTCCTGTCACTTATAAGGACACCATTATTGAATGTAAACCTACCCAGAATAATTACCCAGGTAATTCAGGATAATCTCACTTCAAAATCTTTTAGAAAATCACCTGCAAAGACACTTTTCCCCAACAAAGTCACATTCACAGGTCCTGGATGTTAGCATATGGACATATCTTTGGAGGACAACATTCAGTCTACTACAGAGGGTGAGAAGGGGTGCATTTGGGATTGGCAGGACTCCGGAAACAGATGGGGGTAATGCCAGCAGGAAAGGCAGGAGCTCAGCCTTTCCCTGTCTGCTGGTCTCTGACTCCTTTCCACTGAACCTGTGCCCTGACCTCAAAGTGTGGGCCTCCTCAGGGATCCCAACAATCCCAAGGGGTTCCTGAGATCAAGCCAAGACCCACATCAACTGGGCCTGGTGGTGCATACCTGTAATCCTGGCTCTCTGGGAAGCTGAGGCAGGAGGATTGCAAGTTTGAACCCAGCCTGGGAAATTTAGTGACTGAGATCCTGTCTCAATTAAAAAATGTTATGAAAGGGCTGGGGTCAGATGTGTTGGCATGTTTATAATGCCAGCACTTGAGAGGCTGAGCAGGAGAATCACTGTGAGTTCAGGGCAGCCTGAACTACATAGGGCTGGGGATGTACTTCAGTACAAAGGCCATCCAATCCCCACAAGCCCCAGACCCCGGTGAGCCCTCTTGTTCTTATCACCATCTGACTGAAATGGGTCCTGCCTCCTCTGTGCTCCTTCCCCAGTCACAAACGGCCCGCACCCCATAACACCTGCACTTGGCTTTCTTCCCCAGGCTCCAGGTTCCTGAGGTTATACGCCTTCCTGGGACCCTAGAACTCAGCTGCTTGGCTGTTTGGGGCAGCTGGCAGGCTCCAGCCTAGCCTGTGTAGATGCTGGACGCAGGGAGGCCACGGGGACAGGGTTTAGGCACAGCAAGAAGCACAGCTACGGGCAGTGGCTGAGGCTGTGCGGGCCAGGATGCTGCTGGGGCAGAGGGGCTCTTTGGAGGTGCCTGGCGCAGAATAAACTGCCCCAGACGGGAAGGGGGAGGGAGGAACAAAGAACTGAGGACTTCTTAAGGATCGCAGGACAGGCAGCCTCCTGCCGTCCGAGGAGCCGATGCCCCTCGATGAAGGCCACCCGGCCCAGAAGGGCTGGGAGTTGGACCGCTCTCTGTGGCACTGGTGTGCTTGCTAAGGAAAGCGACAGTCTGCTCCCTTGACTGCCCTGCTGGTGACTCCGCACGACAGGGACGAGCTCAGAGAGCCCGGCGTGACGCGACGCCCCCCGCCCAGCCTCCAGCTTCGGAGGCGCGGGTGGGAAGGCGGCGGCAACGCTGCGGCCGGAGCTCGCGCAGCCTTCGGGGGACTGCCCAGCTACGTGCGCCCGCGCGGCGGAGCTGGACGGGCAGGGCGCCGCCTGGCGAGGCAGTGGGCTATTCCAACGCGCGCAGGGTGTCCGGGCCGTACCACTGCCCGGCCGCGGGGGGGGGCGCCGCCCGGAGAGGCATCCAGCAGGCCCCGCCCGGCAGGTGGCGGCCCCTCCCCAGGCCGACGTGCAGAAAGGAACGCGCCGGCCTAGCCAGCTAGGGGCCGCGCGGCAGTGGGCGGGGCGCACCGCCCCCCCTCACGCCCACTGGCTGCGGTGTGGCAGGGCGGGCCGTGCTCGGCGCGCCATTGGCTGCCATCCCGATCCTTTGCATACGGGGCGGGGTTGCGGGGCCCTGCCGGGGCCCGTCGGGGGTGCGAAGGTGGCCGCGGTTGCCGCAGAAGTTGGTCCGAGAACCCGCGACGGCCCGCGCCGGGGTCGCAGGTGACGCGCAAGGGGTCCCAGGCTGGCGGGCGGGGCGCATTTGCGAAGCCGCCCTCCGCCTGGGCTGCGGGGAGCGGGCGGGCAGGAGCCGCGTGGCTTGGACGCTCAAGTTAGAGGGGACTGGGCGGGGGGCGACCCCTCCACCGCCCGCCCGCCGGGCCGCCCCTCCAGGCGCAGGGCAGCCACTGCCCACCGCACACTGCGCTGCTCCCGACCCACTGTGCGTGTGACAGCGGCTGATCTGCCCCTGGGCAGCGCGAACCCTTGGCCCCTCGGTGACCTGGGTCTGGCAGGCAGGCAGGGGCCTCAGGGAGCGGAGGGCACGCGCAGGCCTGGGAGGAGGCCGCCCCCTGGGCAGGCCAGTGGGAGCTGGGGTGAGGGACACTCCAAGGCCGCGTCAGGTACCCTCTTGGAGAGAACTTTCTTCTTGAGTGCAGGGCCCTCAGGACCGCCTCCTCGAGGTCACCGCGCCCAGGGAAGCCTGTGGCAGGCACAGGTGTTGTGATCTTCTGCTAACAGGACCCACCTCCTGAGGGCCACCTTGGGACTCCCGACAGGAAGACAGCGGCCGCTTTACCTCTTCTCCATTTCTGCCACTTCCATGAGGCGGTCAGGACAGTGGGCCTGTTGGTGGGGTCCAGGAAAGACCCCACTCAGAGTCCTCCGTGGAAGTGTGGACTAGGAGTGTGCCTAGAACAGCTCCTGGCAGGGCGAAACACCCTAGGCAGCCCCTGTCCCGGCTGGGCGGGGGCAGGGCCCTGTAGTGGGAGTGCAGGCATCCTAGAGGGACCCTTTGTGGTCACCACAGCAGGCTCTGCAGGTGAGGGGAGGCTGTGTAGCCTTGGGGCTGAGGACCTGCAGAGCTTACTCCCTGCAGCTGCGTTCTGTGGGTGACTCTCAATGAACCGGGGTTCTCACTTCAGTGCTGGGCATGAGCAGGAACGGTGAGAGCAGGACAGGCTCCAGCATGGTCCACAGCACAGCCCGACCTCATCCTCTTCCTGGACTGCCCAGTGGGGAGGCAGTGGCTACCGTGGGATCCCTTCGCAGCATTGCCTGGGAAGATGACCTGCCCTGCAGGGCGCCGTGGGATCTCAGCACCTCCACACTTCCCACAGCTCACACCATTGTCTTCAAAGCAAAATTTAAAACTCAAAAGTAAACTTTTCAGCAACTAGAAGGTTTGCTTAGTAATCCAAAGCACTCTGGCAACTTTGGGGGGGCATGGGACTCTTTCTACCTGGAACAACTGTGTCAGAAAAGAGCTCTCCCTGGCCCCACCTGGACACGGTGCCATTGGGGAGTTTTTTCAGAGCCAGGAGCCCATCAGGGCCCACACAGTGGCTTCAGAACAAACAGGTGGCCCTCAGGAGGACACAGGCAGTGTGTGTGCGGTGTGTGGCTTGGAAACACCGTAGCTTAGAGATGGAGCACGTGGTGTGGAGCCCCTGGGTGGCACCTGCCATGCCCCTGCTGGCCTGTGTCCTTAGCTGGCTCAGGGCTAGTGCCCAGAGGAGCATCCAGACCTGCGTGTGGACAGGGACTATGGTGAGGGAAGCAGTCCCCTCGGTCCCAGCCTTCCCACCCAGGGTGCACCCCTGCTGGCCTTTGTGCTTGAGGCTCCATGCCATGTGTGTCTGTGCCTGGCCCACCAGTCTGGGCCCATGGGCCCAGCAGATGTAGGCTGCAGCAGGCTTGGGGAGGAGGAGGTGCAGATAGGAGCAGTCAGCGGGGCATGCTGGCTGTGGACACCAGTTGGAAGCCTCCTGCTGCCCAGCCTCCCCCATTTGCACCTCCCTGCCCCAGGCAGGAAATAGCCAGTCCTGCTTGCTCCACATAGCAGTGGGCTCCTAGTGGCCCTGGCCTTTGAGGAGCCTTCCCTGGCACCCATGGGTGGCCTCCTTGCTCCTCCTACTCAGGACTTCCATGTCCCCTGCCACCTACCCCAGAGGAAGTGGCCCACACCAGAACCAGCTCAGGAGTCCATCTCAAATATCCCCTATCCTTGAATCTGGCAAAAGACCCCCTGATCTAGGGCAGCGATGAACCTTTTAGAGCTTTCAATGATAAACAGCTCACTGCAGCACACATACCATAGGTTCACCACCACTGATCTAGGGTGACCCTATCCCCTGTCCGCCAGTACCACCCATGGCTGCACCAGGGCTGTCCCAGGTCATGCTTATCATAAAGATCTCTAACCCCAGCCATCGGAGCTGGGAGTGTGCAGTCCACCTGAGGATCTGGGTCCTGGGAGAGGCCATAACCAACTCAAGGGCCAAGGCAGTCGCTAAGCTGGGCTATGGAGTCTACCCTGCCCTGATTTCAAAGTTGCTGCCTCCCAGCAAAGGCTTCATAGGAACTTGGGGAGAAGGGAAACAGCCCTCTTCACACCATGCCCACACCCTCCCCTGAGGTAGCCTCGCTCCTCTGGGGTATGCTCCCTGGATCTGACTGAGGAGCCCAGGACGCACCCCATGAGTTCTCTGGGAGACAGTAAACCTGACTGGCGGGTCTAGCTTGTCCTGGCATCCTGGGTTCCTGCTGCTGGTCAGACACAGGCCAGATGAAAGGAAGCCAGGTGGGAGAAGGGTCCAAAGAGAACCCAGGCCAGGGCAGAGCCAGCATGCAGGGGACTGCAAAGGAGACTGCCCGGGGCAGGAGGGTAAAGCAGCCTTGCACCCTACTGTGCAGTGGCCCCTGAAGCACTCTTCTGACCTGCGTGACTTAGAGTACTCCCGTGGTCCCCGCATGAGTCTCAAATTCTACACCCAGCAGATCTTGCTAAGTGCAGCCTCAAGACACACTCAAGCCACTATGGGCAGTTTATTGAGGTTCATGGTCAGGGTAGGGGAGACGGCACACCCCCCCACAGGCTGAGTCCACTGTCCACGTGCCTCCCGTCTCCAAAACCATTAGTGGCCTCTGGGGCCTGGTGAGTTCCGAGTTACGTCCCTCGCTTCTCCAGGAGGCTTGTCAGACTTGGCAAGGACTAGGGCAATCCTCCCAACTCCCTGAAGCACAAACTTCAGGCACCACAGCCTCCCCCTGCACAAGAAAAGAATCTTCTGTGATCAGACTTCTGTTGTCCTTGCAGCTTTTCGGATTGCCCTGGCTCATCTGTCTTCCACAGCACTGCTCTGGGACAGGAGCTGCTACCTCCAGGAGCTCTGCCTCATGGTGGCGACTGTGGAGAAGATACAGGCTGAGGAGGCTGATCTAGGAAGGGCCCATGCCACAGGGTAGCGGGGGAGACCTACCCTCCAGACTCAGGGTGGGCACTGGGATTGGCTGCTGGGGGTCTCCCTGGAAGGTGTCTTCTTCAGCTGAAGGCAGAAGGCTCTCCTGTGGAGAGCGAAGGTCAGCTGTATGGCAGTGGGGCCCCACCCTTCTGCCACTCCCAGAACTGCTCTGACCTGTGTGCCAGGGGGGGCCCTGTCTGGCTGTGGGGGTGGAGGCAGCGCAGCCCCCGTCTGCAGGATGAACTGCTGTAGGTTGCACTGACGCAGCTCCCGGTTCAGTTCCTGCAGCTCTTGTACCTGAGCCTGGGGCACACAGGACCCTCAGGGGACAAGGTCGCCAGCCCTGTGGCCTTTGTGCCCTACAAGGCATTCTCTCTAGTCTGACCTTGTCAGACCCCAGGTTCCAAAGTCCAGGGTGGGGAGGTGGCATGGGCTGCGGTCTTCTGGGCTTACCTGCAGTGTGCGCTCAGCTGCCTCCAGAGCCCGGCTTACCAGGGCCAGGCTGCTTTGCACCTCTGTGCTCTGCTGCTCCTGGACGGCCAAGTCTTGGCGCAGGTGCTCAGTGGCAGATGCCGTGGTAGAGGGGGGCCCAGGGGCCTCAGCGGCCAGCAGCAGCTCAGCCTCCAGGGTGCGAGCCTGAGCATCCAGGGCCTGCAGCCGGGCAGCGTGCTCTGCAGTGGCTGCGCTCAGTGCCTGCAGCCGTGCCTGCCCTTCTCGCTCCCTGGCCTCTTCCCGCCTTAGCTCCTGCTCCCAGAAGTCCTCATGTCCCAGCTCCTCTGCGTTCCTCTGCACCCTGAGCTCCATGCCCTGGAGGTCTTCAAAGCAGCCTAGGTTGGGTGCTACAGGGGCTGGAGGCTCAGAGGGTGAGGAGCTAGGGGCTAACCTGGGACACCCCAGGCTAAAGGTGAGTGCCCTGTGGGATTCATGGCCTGGAGTTGCCCATGGTTTTGAGGGAAGGCTGGCACGCACTGGGCATTGTTCTAGGGGTGGACAGCTGTCTGAGGACAGCCTTTCGGCCAGGCTGGGCCCTGTCCGCCTCAGGACAAACTGGACATCGTTGGCAAATTGTCCGAAGGTGGCCTGGGCACCCACTGGACACTCCTGTGGCAAGAGCTGACGTTCCTTCTCCTTAAGACGCTGCACGAGCACAAAGCGACCTGTCTGGCCTGGGGACAGGGGGACAGGGTCAACTGGAGCAGGGGAAAAAATGGGGTGGCCCCACCACAGTCCCACCTGTTGTGCCCATTGGCAACTAGGGGACTTACCTATGGCTTGGGCTAATGCAATGACCACTTCCTGGCAGGTGGTCTGCTCTGAGACCCCACAGACCACCCGCTGAATGCCATCCACCCACACCTTCAGCTCCATGGTGGACAGCCCCAGAACCATCCCGGTCCTGTGGGGAGGGGACAGGCCGCAGGTCAGGTCCTGCCTGGGCCTCCCCTCCTTCCCCTGGCCAGCTGCCACGACTGGTTCAGGGTTTCGGCCCCTCAGCGTCGGGCGTGGCCTCTGGTGCCCAGCCCCAGCCGCACGTTCCTGGGGTGGCCAGGGAAGTAGTTAGGCTCTGGCTTCCCCCACTTCACCCGCCCCCGCTCCCGGAACGAGGCGAATCATTAACCAGGTCCGGGATTTCCTGTCTGCCCGCCACGCCGTGCGCCACCTGGCTCAGTGGCACTGCCCCTTTCCGCGGGCGGCCGTCCCAAGGACCCAAGGGCGCTCGCACAAACACGCCGCCATCCGCTGCCAAGGGAACGCCCCCCCCCCGTCTCGAGCCCCAGATAAACTGTGTCACGACCCACACCCGATCTTTGTACCCGTGAGCCCCAGGAGTGGCAGCCCCCTCCCGCTTGGGGAGCCCCTAGTCTGGCTCATAGCTCCTGCCGCCCGGGGAGTGCGCTCGCCCCGGAAGTCAGAGCCGGCCCCGGGACCTCTGGCCGTGAGGGACCCTAGCTCCCCGCTAGACGGCGGTGGGGTGCAGGTGCACTTGGCCCTCCCGTCCAGCCCCACGGAAGACTTTCCTCGGAGGGAGCGGGGCCCCTGGGCGGCCCGTGAATCTAGCCCGCTCACCTGGACGGTCGCTGGCCTTCGATCCTGGGCGCTCCGGCGCCCCGACAACCTGCAGCCGCAGCGCCCGGCGCGCCCCGGCCCTGCCGCCTCATTGGCCCGTGGACCGCAGGCCCCGCCCAAGAGCGCCCCAATTAGCCCTGCAGCGCGGGCCTCCCGCCCACGACCACGCCTATTGGCTGCTTCCTCTCTCCCCGCCCCATTGGCTTGCCTCTCCCCTCCCCGCGTGCCCAGGTGTGGGCGGGGCCAAGGCTCTTGGGGCGGGGCCTGTCTCGGGGGCGGGACCGGAGGAGACAGAGCTCCGCCTGGAAACGGGACAGAAGGGTTTCTACAACCGTGCTTGACTTGCAGCGCGGCAGGTGTGCGGCCCCCTACCGGGCCGACTTCCTCCTCAGCCTTCCAGCGTGACAGGTCTCCGACCAGGGAAAGGGCTCCGGCCCCGACCCTGCAGCCCTGGAGTGAGTCCCCGGGGCGCCGGTCCAGAGCCTCCTCTCCTTCCCGCACTCTCCCTGACTCCTCTGCAGAGGCTGGGCCCCTACAACCCTGCTCTCTTAGAGCTGGCGGCCAGGAGCACGGGTTTGGGGCACAGTGAGCCCTCCGCGGTGAAATGAAGCCCTGAGGGCCGAGGAGCTCCTGGGCTGGCGCTGGTGGGCGCTGGAGCCTGGCCGGGGGTGGGGTGGGGGCCGCCCCGAGGCTGCTGGGACAAAGCCCCAGGCTCTTTGTCTGAGGCCCCCTCCTGAGCTGTGGCGTCCAGGCCTTTACCCAGGACTTTGCATGAGGCCAAAGAAGGTTGGAGCCGCTCCCCTACCCACCCCTGCTGTCCGGAGGGAGAAACTTAAATCTGCTCGGAAAGCCGGGGGGGGGTGGTGGTGCACAGAAGTGGAAGGTGTGAGTGATCAGGACAGGCAGGACAGCTGGAGTGCTCCACACTGTCCAGGGCTCGCGGTGAACCTCCCCCGCGCAGAGAGAGTGCAGGTGGATTGGAGAGTTATGAGTGCCAGCCACTGAGGTCTGACTCTGTGGGTGGAGTTCAGGACTGCCCCTCCCTTCGCTTCTCATCATCATTTTCAGTCCCCCCAAGTCAGCTCAGGGCCCATTCCCTGCCATCTCGGAACACATCCACACCCACCCTGGGCTCCCCACCCAGGGTGGGTAATGCCCCAAATACACACCCATCATCACCTGCCAGGCCAGGACTACAGGCCTGGCTGGCTCAGCTTAGCCAGGCAGTGCACCAGCCTCTCAAATCTCCGTGCTCTGGAGTGTGCTGTGGTCTCCCTGGAGGCTGCTGGTAATAAACGGCCCCTCCCCCTTCTGGGAATCTGTAGCCAGGACAACGGTGTAGAACCCTTCCCTCCTCAGGCCAGCTAGAAGCTCCAGCCAGGCGAGCTGGTGGTGAGGCCTTAGGCTGGGGGGGACATGAGTAAGAATCACAGGCAAAGGGCCAGCACCTCTGGCCCTTGCTCTAGGCTGAGGGCAGAGAGCATAAAGAAGACATCAGGGGGCTGGGGATTTAGCTCAGTGGCGCTGGCCTTATAAGCAAAAGGTCCTGAGTTCGATCCTTGGTACAAAAAAAAAAAAAAAGACATCAGGGGAAGTGGACACACTGGGGATACCTGTGTGGCTAGATGTCCCATGCCCTGGGTATCTCCTTGGGCCTTCTCAGAGAGGGACCCCCTGTGACCTGGCTGTGCTGCCTGGTCCTCTGATACATAAGGCGAACCCAACGGCATCTGGGATGCAGGGCAGATGTGGCCCTGCTACCCCTTAGCTCCCCACCTACTTCTAGGATGGCCCCCAAGCCTGGCCAGGAGTCTGAAGAGGAGCAGGTGCCACTGGCCCTGGCAGGAAGGGAGCCAGTTGGCAATGACTCTGGGCCTCCAGCCACCATACCTACAGACACCATGGCTTCCTCATGCCCTTGTAACACCAGGCCCCCATCCACAGAGGTGGGGTCCATCAGCACGAAGTAAGAAGAGGGGGGTGGGTGGCCAGCCTCCTGGGCTAAGCCATCCACAGGGCCAGGCCTGATGGTGCAGTGAGGTGCTGGGGCTGTAGGTTAGTGCTGGAAGCCCTGGACCCCTGGACACTACGGTTGCTTTGGGAGCAGCGAGAACTGGAGATCCAGGCTCTGCGGTGGGCTATCTGGCGGGGCCAGCATGCTCGGCAGCAGCACATCCTGCAGGAGGTGGCAGGACTCCCACCTGAGAGGTCAGCCCAGCTCAGCTCCTGTCCTGTCCTGACCGCTGAGCCAGTCCTCACCCTGACCTCGGCCTCTAGTCCTAGTCCTTGCCTGCCCCAATGTTCTACCTGAAACCTGAATTCGTTACCAGGCTATAAACCAACCCTAACTGGGCATGCTGACCCCTGCCCAGACCTGCTAGGCCTGATCTGCTCTGGCCTGCTGCACTGTACCCCAGTGTATGATGGCAGTGGAGCCATTCTTTGCCGCTGACCTAGAGGTGGGGACAGCCAAGATTGCTTCTCCTCCCAAGAGCTCCCACAGCCAGGACACATTCCTGCAGAACCAGGTCCAGAAGCTGACTGTGGAGCTGAGAGCACAGAAGGAACAAGCCCAGCTGGTGAGGGTGTCAGATGGTAGACGGGCAGGCCCCAAGGGAGGGGGCACTCCTCACTCCCTGCCACTCCTGTCCAGGAGAGGGAGTGCTTAGAGGCACAGCTGGCACAGACCATGGACAAGCTGCAGCAACTGGAGGCTGAGCTGCAGGCCTTCCAGAAGTCCTGCCTCCTGCATTTAGCCCAGTCCTCCTGGCTGGGCCGCATCCTGTGGTCCCAGACAGGCAGTGTGGAGGTGAGCCCATGACCTGGCCTGTTGCGCTCTGCCACGTCTGCATCCCTCCCCAACTCTCCCTAGGCCTCCCCAGGGGAACCAGCAGCCCTCATCTAAGCCGGTGTGTCTAGGGACTCCTGGCCAGCCTGGAATCTTCTGCCCTGCTGCCCCACTCACCTGACACATATTGCTGGTAAGGATGGGGGGAGAGGTGTGGAGGGCAGCAGTGCCCTCCCACCAGCCCCTGTGCGCTGGCCCGTGGGCCCTTCCTATAGGTGATCACCACAGACACTCTAATGGAGCCTGGGGACTCCTCCGAGGGTGATCAGAAGCCCACTGCTGGGGAGGTGAGTGAAGTCTCCTCCATACCTGATTGGGCCTCTGGGTCCTGAGGCGAGTAAAGCCTGTCCCTATTGCTTTCTGGCCAGGGCTTCCAGATGGAGGATGTAGATTGGAACAGCATTGCTCAGCGGTACCCCAACCTTCTCACCAGCATCCATTCCAGCTCAGAGCAAAAGTAACTGCTGGGCAGGGATCCCTGGGAGCCAAGGCAAGGGAGGGCTTCCCTCGGCAGAAGTGGACGGGCCCCAGTTCTATCCTTCAGTGTCCCTAGATGAGTCCCCAAACCCCTCTGTCCTCACCTCTGATCTGTAGAAAGGTGAGGAGGAAGGGAAGGTGCTCCTGGCCCATCACAGTCCTGCCAGGAAAGGGATCTGTGTCCTGGGTATGGGCAGCACAGCTGGACAAGGCTGGGGTCTGGGAGCCAGGGCAGCCAGTGAGCAGAGCATGGCTCCAGGCAGCCCCAGCTGCCCTCAGGGCTGGACTCACCAGGCTCAGACTCCCCCTGCCAGCTTGTGGAGAGGCAGCACAAGAGCCTGGAGTGGAGCACTCTGCCCTTGGAGGGCACTAGCAGCTCGGGCATTGCCAGCTTGGACTCCAGCAGCCGCCAGCTGGTCCTGCATCCCTGGGTGCAGAAGGTGATAGGGCACCCGCCACCGGCAGCAGACGCTGCCTCTTCTGAACAGATCGAAGTGTTGGCAAAGAGCTTCAGTGGAGACTCTGAAGGTGGACTGTGGGGGTCTCCCCAGCACTCCATTACTGTCCAGAGCCCTAAATCAGGTCCTTCCGCCCCCAGAGTCCTGCCCCTTCCCTCCCAACGACAGGGGACACCACCGTTAGATGCTAGGTGGCCGACCCAACCCCCTTCCCAAAAGGGCTACCTTCCCTAGATCTCCGGAAATGCGTTCCCACCAGTTCGGCCAGCTCTCCCTGGAGCCCGGGGCAGACCTCTGCCCCCCTGCGCCGGGCACACACCGAGGTGAGGGGCAGTCCAGCCAGAGCGGGTCGGGAGGGCATGAGGGCAGGGCGGAGTCTGCACAGCACCCGCTCCCGCCCTAGCCGGGCCTGTGGCAGCCTGCAAATCGTGGCTGTCAGTCACCGGGAGAAGTTCCTGGGCATCCTCAACTGCTCATCACCGGACACGGCAGACCTGGGTGGCTTGGTGCTGCGGCAGCGGGTGTGGGACTGTCTGGTGCACATGTTCCGCTTCCCCCCAGCACGATGCTGGAGCCTCGGCACCACCTCACGGCGCCCCCCCCCCCCGCTGCGCTGAGCCCCGGCCCGCCGACCCCCGCCCCCTCACCCTGCACCCGCTGTTCTAGGTGTGGGGAGAAGGCACCGGGGGCATCCAGCAGCAGCCGCCCTTGTCCTCCGGCCAGGACCCCCTCCAATTCCACTGTGGCTGGGACTGTGTGACGCTCCTCCTGGATGCCGAGGGCCAGGTCAGGGTCCTGGCCCCCCCGGGGGCATCCCTGGAGGGCGGCCCCTGGCCTCACGGGATGGAGTGGCCCACTAGCCGCTGTGGCCTGCAGGTCCTCAGTGAGCACCAGGCGCCACTCCACGTGACCTCGGGTTTGAGCATCTTCGCCAACAACACCGACTGGTCCATTGACCGCTTCCCGCTCCCCAAGGCCGGAGCCGGACCCAATCCCGGGCATCTCCAGCGCAGACCTCAGCCCTCGAGCCAGGGCCGGGCGCCGAAGGCTGAGGTGGGCACCGCAAGCCCTTTCCCGGATGCCCTGCTTGGCCCCCCCAGCCCACTCCCCCACCCCCTGGCCCAGTGCTGTCCTGCACCTCCGCTCCTGGGCAAGGGACACCCCCCTCACCACCTGCTCACCTGGTAGGAAGTGCTTTTCCTGACCCCCAGAAGCCTGTCCACCCGCGGGAGGTGCCAGCGCAGCCTGAGGGCGCCAAGCTCAAGATGTCCGAGCCCCTGCCTACCATCCCTGGTGAGCGGAGGTTCTGGGTGCTGGGGGTGCGGGGGCCAGGATGTGCCTGACTTGACCACCGCCCTTGTCCGGGCAGAGGCAGCGTGGAACCTGGAGCCTGGCGTACTGGGGAAGGAGTGCAGGGTCTGCGTGAGTGTGTGCCCCAACTCTAATCCTAACCTGCCCCACCTGCCCAAGGTGCAGCCAGCCCGCGTGCTCAGGGCTCAACCCCCCTAGGTGCGCCAGAGAGGTGTGGACCTGGGCTGCCCCATGGTAGCCCTGTCGGTACAGAGCACAGCAGAGAGCCGGTTCGGCTTCTGTTTCCTCTGTTGCCCACCCATCACCGCAGATGTGCACCTCTGGCAGGTGTAGACCACACAGAAATCCAGCCGCATCATTTATTGACCAATGAGGCCTACAAAATAAAACACAGTCTGCACACCCGAGAGTTGAAATGATTTGCACCTGCCCCAAGAGGAAGAACTGCACCCCGCCCTCAAGTGGGGAGCCCCACAGATCCACCAGGGATGAGAGGCCTGGTGGAGTGAGCAGCTTGGACCCTGGGCCCCCAGAAAGCCCAGGCCAGCTCCAGCCCCCTGGTCCAGGCCTGACTGCACCTGGGAGGTCTCTTCTAGGTCTGCCTGGCTGGCTGTTCCCAGGAAGGTCAGGACCCAGGAAGGTCCCAAACCCAACTCCCTCCACCCAGGAGGACCTTTCCAGGGCCAGGCCTACCTCCCACCCTCCCACCCCGGATGCTCTGGGTCTATGGGACCAGGGTCCTCAGGGGCTCCCAGGACCCCAGGGGTGCCCACTGGGCACCATCCAAGCAAGCCTGGCAGTGGTGGGCTTTGCACCAAAGGTGAGGATGGACTGGGGTGCAGGGCTCAGGTACCACAAGCAGCAGAGGGCTGGGGGTCTGGCTGCTGGATCCAGGGCTGGCTTTGGCTCAGGATGTCACTGGGCTTGAGGGTGGGACCTGAGGCGCCCTCCAGGGCTCTCAGGGTGGTCACTGAGGCCAACCCCTTACCCAGGCCAGGCCCCAGGCTGCCCAGGGCTCTGAGCCTCCGTCCTCTGACCTGCAGGTCAGCAGAGCCTCGGGGGGAGCTGCTGGCCGGGTCAGGTGGCATTGGGTTCTTGGGAGGAGAAGGGGTCAGATGACAGCCTAGTGTCTTGGAAGGCTCTGAAAATCGAGGAAAGAGCAAGTCACAGAGTCCCTGACAGACACGGGGCCTCCAGGTGAAAGAACCTTGCCCACCGTGATCTTCCAGCCTGGGGGCAGTGGCCAGCTGTGGGGGGTGGCACTGCCAGAGAAGGCTTGAGTGTCTGCTGTGGCCTTGGAGGTGGCAGCAACCGTGTTCCCCAGGGCTCTTCCCTGTACTCCCCAGGCTCCCTGGCTCTGGGACACTGGGACCCCATCCCTTAGGACCTCTCAAAGGCTGATGGTCCCAGGTCAGTAACTAAACTGCTATAGTGAGGCAGCTGGTCAAGGTCACCCAGGGCCGAAGCACCCCTTTTCCCAGAGTGTCCCTGCCTTGGCATCCCTCCGGCCATCCCTCTTCCAGGCCACCTGCCTGGTGAATGCTGGTGCCCACTCATGGTTGTCTTAGCCATGCCCCCAGAGAGCAGGCACACGGCCCTGTCTTAGCCCCCAGGGTCACTGTGCTGACCTTGAGTCTCTGTTCCTGTTGCCCTGGCGGCAGCTTCCCTCCCCAGGCTTCCCTACCATGCTGGCCTAGGGTCTTTCTGCCTCCCAGCTGTGGTCACCTAGGCTAGTGTCCCTCAAAGGGCCCTGCCTGGCTTGATCCTGCAACCCTGAGTCCAGCACAGGTGCTGCCTTCGTCTTCCAGTGGGGGTGATGGCCTGTCTTCTGCCCAAGAACTGAGCGTGCTGGTGGGGATATGGGGCTGGCCACCCTAGCTGCGAGGCCCCACACCCAGGAGAGCACTGTCTGGCACAGCCCTCTAGAGCTAGTAGGTAGAGGTGGGGGTGCCTGTCTCCAGGTGGGGAGACAGTACCTGAGGCCAGGCCTGGGGAAGGCCTGGGCCCAGTCTGGTCCTCTTGGTGTTCAGGGGCTCTCCGAGGGTCCTGGGGAGCTGCAGCCCCTTCCTGCTGGGACCCCAGTGGCCTGTGGGAGAAGAGGGAGCTGAGGTCCAGCCTTGCAGGGCGACGCTGGCCTGTCCCACGAGGCTGGCACTCCCATCACCAGCTCCTCTGGCCTCCTGGGACAGGTGACCCCTCAGCCAAGACTCCCCTAGCTACAAGACCCCCAGGCCAGATGAGACACATGGTAGCAGGGCTCAAGGGGAGGGTACCCACCACAGGTCAAGCTCCCTCCAGGCCGGAAGCCCAGCCAGCACCAGGAGACCATGGCTATCTGTAGAGTCAGGTTGTGGGGTGGAGGGGCTGGCAGCCAGACCTGGTCTGGTTGGGGATAGCTGCTCCGGTGTGACTCGGGCCTGGAGAGGAAGAGGACTGATGTGGAGACCCTGGCCCTGGAAAGGCTGTAGAGCAGGGCACTGCCCAAACCAGAGGCCCTAATGCTGGTTCCTCTGAGGAGAGACCTAGGTGGCAGTGCCCTGTCTGAGCTGGAGTCCTTGTGCTCCCGCCTAGTCACCTAGGGATGGGGCAGACATACCTGGAACTGGTGCCTGCGTTCCCACAGGCCTTTGGTGAGGTTCCCGCAGAGGACCTGACCAGCACCTGAGGAAGAGGGTGTGGCTGGGCCTGGCCTGGGGTTGGGGCTGCAGAATCAGTCTGGGCCAGGGTGGGTCAGTTACCATAGGTGAGGTTGCTGGCGTGGTCTTCAAGGGCTGGGTCCTCAGGGAGCAGCCCTTCAGTCAGGGGTCCCAGCAGGGACAAGACCCAGGGCGGAGTCTCGGGCAGGCTTAGTGCTGGGTCACGTTTCTGCAGGGTGGCTCCGTGGGTTTGGTCTAGCCAGAGTCAGAACCAGAGGTCAGGGAGGCCCACACCAGCTAGCCCGACTCTGTACCAAGAGCATGGCCCTGCCGTCATGAAGCTGTGTGGCTCAAGGCTGGCCTCTGACAGTCTGCCTTCCCAGACAGACTCTCCTCTCTCTGCAGACCAAGGCAAGGCCTCTGTGCTGCTCACAGGGGCAGTGTCTCAGCCAGGGGCAGGGAATTAGGGGCAGTGGTGCACTCTGGAGAGGCCTGGGGGGGCCAGGGTAGGGGCTTCCCCTCCCTGGGCTGGGCCCAGGCCTCTTCTGGGTGGTGTGCTGGGGCAGAGGGCAGGTTTCCAGGTGGGTGGCTGCCCTACCCAGTGAGGGGAGGACACTGCCCAGCATGCTGCCTTCCTTGATGGCCTCTTTCACCATGAGCCAGTCCTGGCCCATCTCCCGGGGGGCAGGCAGATCAGCACATGTGGTGGGCACCTCGTCCAGGATGCACAGCTGGGGCACGAGCTTCCTCACTTCTGCCCTGTAGTTGTAGCACCCAGGGGCCTACGGGAAAGAGGAAGGGGTAGTGGGTCTGGTCTCCTGGGCCCTTCAAGCCTGCTGGGTGCTGGTCTTCCTCCCTCAGCCCTGCCCCCGGACCACAGGACAGGTGACCTCTCCATTCTCAGGCCATGGGGCCCAGATCTAGGGATGTCCTCTGGCCATTGGGGCTGCCCCGAGCTCAGGGTCTGGGCCAGCAGAGCAGCCCCTCTGCCCTGGATGGGTGCTGGATCTGGCACACGTATTACCAAGTGTAGTGCAGGGCACACCCCACCATGCAGGGGCAGGGGCCCATACCCTGCAAGGCATGTGTGAGTGACAGCCCTAAGCAGGGTACATACATCCTGCCTGGCACACAGGCCTGCAGGGGCCGCGGGGGCACTGGACAAGGCCCATGTGGCCTGTGCGGCCCAGGCAGGCATGTACGCGCTTCTGTGGAGACTGCGCCTGGCAGGTGTGGCTCGGTGCACAGGCCTCCTGGGGGACAACGTGGGCTGAGTGGCAACCTGTGTGCATGTGTCTGTGGGGCTCACTGGGCTGGCCCCAGGGCACACTGGAAGCCATGGGCCTCCAGGCTGAGCTCACAGCGGCCCTACCCTGGAGCCAGGTGCCCCGCACATGCTGCCTGGGTGCCTGGATCCCACACCTTGTTAGCTGGGCCGGCGGCTGGCTGCAGGCATACCAAGTTGCCCTCCAGAGTGAGTGTGGTCAACCTCGGGCACAGCTGCAGGTAGCGCACCTGCTCCAGGTCCTCCACGCTGTTGCCCTCGAGGTCCAGCACCTTCAGCTGGTCGAGTAGGCATAGTGGGCTCAGGTCTGAGATGTTATTGTAGGAGACGTAGAGCTCCTGGAGGCAGAGGGGTCTCAATGGCTGTCTAGCTGCCTTCATACCCTGCCCTGGGGACTGCAGACCCACCTGCAGTGCCGGGAAGGAGCTGATGCCATCCAGGTCAGCAAGGCCACATCGAGCCAGCCATAGCACCTGCAGGTGGCCGAGAGAGGTACCTAGGTCTCTGTGGAAGGGGTCGCTGGTCAGTGCCACCCTGGGGCAGGGTGCACTGCATCTGGCTACCTCCAAGCAAAGGAAGAGGCCCCAATCCCTGCTGCAGCCTCCTGGACTGGGGCACCATTAGAGGATCCCCCGGCTCCTCCAATGCTGGGTGGCCTGGGCCTGGCCCCAGGGAGCTGCCTTTACCTTGGGTTACCTGGTCCCGATCTGCTGCCCACTGCTGTGCCTCCCTCCCTCCCACCCTGGCCTCAGGGTGTCCCTATGTCCCAGAGCTGGCTTCCACCCTGGGGGGCCTACGTGCATCTCTGATGGCTCCCTTCCTTCTGCACACGCCGTAGCCTCAGCGCTTAGGTGCCCATGAATTTCTCCTCGCTGTTAGTCTCCAGCTCACAAATGCTTTGCTTATTTCTTAGCCATTCATCCACCTCCGCCTGTCCAGTGTCCTGGCTGGGATTTGAGTCCAGCTATCCCTCCAGGTGGCTCTTGGAAACTCCTTCATCTCTAGCTGCTCACTGTTGTCTGCAGCCTCTGCTCATGCGGCCATTTGCAGGGGTGTAAGCTTCTGGGTTCTGGGTCTTCCCACCATGCATCGCTCCACTGACTTCTGGCTTTGTGTTTCAGTGGAGAAGTCTGAGGAAACTGTTGCTTTTTCATCCTTAGAAGACAACTTGGACTGGGCACGGTGGTGCATGCCTGTTTTCCTATCTACCTAAGAGGCTAAAACAGGAGGATCAAAAGTCTGTCAGCCTGGGTAATTTATTAAGACCTTGCCTTAGAGCCGGGGATTTAGCTCAGTGGTTCTGCTGCCTGCCTTGCAAGCGGGAAGTCCCGAGTTTGATCCCCGGTACCAAAAAAAAAAAAAAAAAAAAAAAAAAAAAAAAAAAAGAAAGGAAAGCTTTTAGGGCCGGGGATTTAGCTCAGTGGTTTCGCCGCCTGCTGCGCAAGCACAAGGACCCAAGTTCGATCCCCGGTACAAAAAAAAAAAAAAAAGACCTTGCCTCAAAATAAAAGAAAAAAGGGCTGATATGTAGCTCAGTGGTACAGTGCTTTCCTAGCACATGTGAGGACCTGGATTCAATCCCCAGTACTGAAAAGAAGAAATCCAGCTTGATCTCTTTTCCTGGCTGCCACATTGTTCTTCATCAGGATGTGTCTGGGATGGTTCTGGGACTCAGCTCTCTCTTCTGTCTGCAGATGTAAGGCTTTTTTTTCCCCCTGACAAGCCTCCTGTAATCTATTCAATTATTTTAGTGATCTTTCCAACTGCACTCGTGGTTTTGCCCACTTCCCCCATCCTGTCTTCTGTGGGCTGTCCTGGGATTCCTGCTTTCAGAGGTGTCCTCGTCCCCATCACAGGGTGCTCTGTGGTCCTCCTTTCAGAGCACCAAGTTCCACAGCAGGCATGGGCTAGGCCCTGCTGCAAGGGAGTCCTGCAGCCTCCATGTCTCCAGGGCCAGAGGCCCAGCCAGGCGGGCCCACCCTCTTATCTTGGGGGTGTAAGTATCAGGGCATGGCCAGTAGGTGCTGCCATATTCAGAGAAGACAGGAGAAATGGGAAGATTACAAAAATTCTTAGAAATAATGACAAACGGGAAAGCATACAGCATGTATGGAGTTCCACCTGAAGGTACACATGAAGAGAAATCAAGGTTTAAATGGATTCATCAAAACTCCGTGCTCTGGCTTGTGTCTAGATGTCCCCCCAAAGCCTCATGTGGTCATCAGTGGGCTTTTCAGAGATGGCTGGATCTAGAGGGTGTGATGCTGGGATTGATTCATGGTGCAGTGCTAGGATTAAGGGTGTGAGCGCTGCCCACCCTAAAGACAGGTAGCCTGGATAAGATTAAGGGCCAGAAAGAGGCTTGTTGTCTATTTGCTTTTGCTGCCTTCTGCCTCCCATGAGCTATTTCTCCTCTGCGATGCCCTCTGCCGTGCCACCCTGGCTTGCAGCCCGACTAAGAACTGAAACCTCTACAAACTGTGAGCCAAATAAACCTCTCCTCCTTTAACTTTGGGTGTTGAGTATTTTGTCTCAGCAATGAGAAAAGTAGCTAAGACACTCTGGAAGGGTTAGAACAACTGAACTAAACACTTAGCTCGAGGAGCCAGAAAGAGAACAAATGCAACAGCAAGACCAAGAAAGAGGGTGTGATGGAGAAGAAAAGGAAGCAGTGGCCTAAGAGGAGTCTGACAGAGTCCAGGGCTGCCTCTCCTGTAAGGCATCAGGGTCTCAGAGAAAGACGAATGATGCCAAGAGAGGCACAGAATTGAAAAAGAGGGATAATGGCAGGCAGGCATGGCTGCGATGTAGACTACTCAGCGAAAGCGTACACCGGCAGCTTTAAAACCAGGCATAGGTGGCACCAACATAAACACAAAACTCAAGTAGACTGATAGGCATCCATAAATCTCCAGATCTGAACCAGTCTTTAAAAAATGTTCTAACTGCCAGCATGGTGGTGGTAATGGCTGCCTATAATCCCAGCTACTCAGGAGGCTGAGGCAGGAGGATCTGCATAAGGAATGAAGCTTTGCAGTGAGTGGGCTGCAGGCCTGCAGAGTCAAGAAAGGCCACAGGTAGATGGGAGAAGGGTAGGGTTCTTGGTGGCCTGGAGTGGGGGCCACCTTCCCGATGACACCCAAAGCACTGGCAGGGGAGCAAAGACAAGCAAGGGCGTTTGGGTGAAAGTGCGCAGGCCATGGGCATCAAGAGTAGAGCAGTCCCAGGGGTTCAAAGACTTCCTGAGGACAGAAGCCACCTGGACAGTTAGCACGGAGAATGTGAGGACAGAAGGCAGGGCACAGGGTGCACAGAAGGTGTCCATTCAGCCACTTCCAGTTTCAGAGGTGGCAGAGAGGGCCTCCTCTATGCCAGCCCTGTGCTGAGCCCCTCTGATGGACTGCTAGACTCGGAGACTCTGCTGTTGGGCTGCTGGCCGCTTGGTGATGGTGGCCCACACAGGTGTTCAGAACATTAGCCTTCACATCAGCACTGTTTCCAAATGAATCCTTTCAGCTTCTGAGGAATAGGCAGCTACAATGCTAACAACGTTCTTTCCCAGCCCTTAAAATTCTGCCTGAGATTTTAATATACTCAAGATTCTGGGGTCAGCCAGGTTATAGCAGTTTTACTTGAGGTGTGGTGGCACCTACCTATAAGCCTGGCATTCTGATGTTTATGGGAGTGTCCTATTTAATCAGTTTCCCTCTGTTTGGTATCAGGAATCCAACTCAGGACCTTGTGCCTGCAAGGCAGGCGGTGGAACCACTGAGCTAAATCCCTGGAGCAGTTTTTGTTTGTTTTTGCTGGGAATTGAACCCAGGCCTTTGGACTGAGCTATATCCCCAGATCTTTTACTTTTTATTCGGAGAAAGGGTCTGGCTAAGTTATTAAGTTGCCCAGACTGAGCTCAAACTTGCAATTTCCCTGCCTCAGCCTCCTAGGTGCGGGGTCACAGCAGTGTCCTCTGCATCCAGCTAAACCAGCAACATTTACACAAAACTCTCTTCTCTCCAATTCTTCAGCTTTGTTCTATGCAGTCAAGGAACTAAGAACCGTGAGGCTGTCTTAGTTTTGAAGGTTGTCTTTTAGGCTAATTACTAAGAAGCCCTGCTGTGAGAGTGTGGAGCTTTCTCAGCAGTCAAGTCCCTGTTTCAGGAGATGCAGGTTTTGTGCAGCTCTATGGTCAGTGAGGATGAGGCCACCTGGTTCTATTGCCAGGGTTGCCAGCCACCTCCGGTAGTCACCCTCATGATGCAGCTGACACTCTGGAACTCCCACACCTTGGTTGGTTTTGCAATGTCTGCCAAAAGCACCCGCACCCCACTGGTTGGGGTCCCTGCTGGAGGTCTGTGAGCAGCTTTCAGGCTTCTCGGCCTCAGGAGTTAATGGGACCACTCTGGCCTGACCCCATCTCTGGGTCTGCATGTGGGTGCCTCTCACTTTGGGGTGACAGAACTCTGGGGGTGTTGGGCTGGAACCAGATTGGAAGATCCTGGGGCACAGGTCCCTGCAGAGACCCTCAGGGGATCCCTGGAGCAAAGGTCTCAGATGGTCCTCCGCTGCCTGCCCACCCTCCCAGCATCCAAAGGTGAGGCCAGACTCCTACTCCTACCAGGGTGAGCAGGAGACCCCCAGACCCCCCCCTAGGGTAGGACCTCATGCCAGGCTGCACTCACCTGAGGGAGCCCAGGCGACTGCCAGTCAACTTCAGCTGGCTCAGGTTGGGCAGGTGCATCCCTGGGGCACAGGAGGACGGGTTGGCTAGGCCCTCAGCTGCCCATCTCCTTGGCCCTTCCTCTGTGCAGAAGCCTCTCTCCACACTGCCCAGAGACCAGCAGGCAGCAGAGGGCCCCCCCCCCAAGGCCCTGGGCACCACTGACCACTAGCGATCCCGAGTCCTCCTCCCTCCCACACCCTGTCAGATGGAGACGGTGCACTGCTCAGGCAGCCGGCCCTGGGCTGTGAGACCACAGGGCTGCTGCACTGATCTCCAGGACTCAGCTTAGGGCACAGAGCTGGCTGGGCAGGCTGCGGCCAGCCCGAGCTGCCTCCACCTGGCCACAGGCTCCTTGGCGCCCCCACCACGGTCTAGGGTCTGCATCAGCATGAGGCAGTGGGGATAGATCACAGGAGCGCCAGGCCCATCCTAGTAGGAGCAGGCTCCACAGAGAGAAGGGTACAGGGTGGGCTGGTGGGCAGGGCTCAGGGCCCACGCAGAGGGGCACAGTAAACTGTCAAGGACTTGTGGGGTAGTTGCAAAACAGAAATCAAGACCAACCACAACGGGACATGGCTAATCCCACAGGTAATCAGAGAGATGAAAACCAAGCTGACAGCGATCCTGGATAGCAAGACTCCTGGTAGGATGGTTGGTGAAATCTAAATAAGGTCTGCAGCACAGATAAGAACCATGTATCAGTGTCACTTCCTGGCCAAAGTCAGGGTCCTATGTGTGGATAAGGGAGTGTCCCCTGCTGACAGGAAGCACGCTGAAGCTGGGCAGGGTGGTATACACCTGTAATCCCAGCACTTGGGAGGCTGAGGCAGGAGGATCGCCATGAGTTCGAGGCCAGTCTAGGCCACATAGTGAGTTCAAGGCCAGTCTGAACTACATAGGAAAACCCTGTCTCCAAAGGAAAAAAAAAAAGGAGCATGCCTAGTACTGACGGGCAGTGTATTGATTAGAGACTCTCAAAAGGATTAGAAAAATAAGCTGCCTGCTTAGGTGCATGTATTCGTGTGTGTGTGTGTGTGTGTGTGTGTGTGTGTGTGTGTACACATGTGCGTCCATACAAGATGGGGAGAAAGATGAAGCCCACACAAGCAGCAGTTGTGGATAGAGACCACTCTGGGAAGGGCTTATGGGGGTTCTCTATACCAGTCCCTCGATGTGTCTGTGAATTTGAAATTGTTTCAAGACAAGCATCAGGAGCCCTGACCCTATCTCCCTGGATACCATTTGAACCTTTGCTACTCTGACACCAGCGTGGCCTTGAGTACATGGTCCTGCTTGCCTGGCAAGTGCAAGGTTCTAAGTTCAATTCCCGGTACCAGAAAAAAAAGAGTTCTAGGTTGAGCCTATGGAAAGGGATGAAGGGCAGAGTGCCCGGCAGTTCTCACCGAAGCTCCCCAGGCTGTGCTCGCGGGTGTCCACACACACCTCCAGCACCCGCACACTTCGGAGGTCGTCCACCTGAGCCAGGGGCTGCTGCAGAGATCAGCGGTGTCACTGTCTGTCCCTGGACTCCCCAGGACTTTTTTTGTGGGACTCCGAGGTACCCCTGGAGCAGAGGCAGTATTCCCTGTATCCCCTGCCTGTCGGTGTGGGCCTTGGCCATGACACTCAGCTGGTGGCGTGGAAGTGGATACAGTCTGAGCAGAGGTTGGGACCCCTGGGTGGTGCCACTGCCAGAGAAGGGGCTGTCTTCGGGCTGCTGGTCCCCAGATGAGACCTTCACCTGAAGCCACAACACACCTCGGACCTGTACATGACGAGCACACGTGCACCTGAGCCTCAGGGTGCCCCTGGTCTCCTGCTGCCCTGACCTCCTGGACGAGGCCTTTTCTGGGCCTGTGAAAGGCAAGCATGGTCTCCTGGATGCTGGGCCCCCTGGCCAGGGTCAGGGGCACCTTGGAGGGCGTGAGACAGGCCAGGCAGTCATTCTGAGGGAGGACCCAGGTGGTGCCTGTACCCACAGGGTCCTCCCCTCTCCTGGGGTGGCCCATGATGGGCGGCAGGCTCTGGGTGCTGTGAGCTGCTGCAGGTTCCTTGGGGTGGCCCAGCAGAACTTCTGGGCCTCGGGTCAAGGTTAACCCTGGAGTCCCACAGCAAGTTTGGGGAAGCCTCTGCCTATGCCCAAACACAGTCAGGCCTCAGGTATGGCCCTTCACAAAGTGGGGCCCCTGTCCCCCAATACTCTGTTGTCGGGAGCAATGCTACATAATTTTAGGGTAAAATCATTTGGTTAACCTAGTTCTCCTGTCTAGAGCCCAGCTATGGAATTCCGAGACATAACTCCATTTTGGCCTCCGGTCACAATTGAGACCTCAATGATCCAGTGATGCTGTCTGTGATTCTCCAGGACAAGAAACATCCTGGGAGCTGAAAACATCCTGGGAGCTGAAAACATCCTGGGAGGAACAAACATCTACTCAGTTCCTCCTTGATCTTGGATTGTTACATCTTATTTACGCAGGATGTACTAAACTCTCTGCAAGTCATTTGTTACACTTTGTTTCTCCCGATGTACTGAATAAAAGGTGCAGTAAGCTGGGGGCTTTCCTCTTTGCTGCCCAGAGCAGCACTAATTGGGCCTAAAGCTCAGCTTCTTCTCAGTCTCATTTGTCTACCTTTCCTGTAATTTGCCGTGTGCTGCTGTGGCTCGCAGGAGACCAGGACTCACTGCAGACGTGAGTAAGGTAAGGTCCCCTTCCCCTGTTCCCCACACTCTGTGGTCTGGTTGCACACTGCCCCTGGCTCTGCTTCTAGGACAGTGGCCTTGACAAGTACTTTTGGACCTATCCTGACTCTGCCATGTCTGTGACCATGCTCACGGATATCTGTGTCTCCTGGGTTGCTGGTGCTTTGGGACCTGGTAGGAGCCCCAAGGGGGAGGTGGAGGGCACCCAACCGTGGGGGCGGTGTTGAGGGCAGCTGGAGATCTACAGAAAGGGGCCCTGGGATGTCTCCCTATGCAGACCCTCATACTTACCAAGTGGGTAGGGGACAAGGGCTCTTCCATACGCTGCTCCTTGTGGCCGGCCTGGTGTTTCTCTGGGCCCTTGCTCTGCGGGGATGGATTGTGCAGGCCCTGCCTGCTCATCTCCCGCACCCGGACACTGGCTGAGTATGGCCGAGGCCTCGGGCATCCATCCCCGGCTGGGTCCATCCACATACAACCTGCTGGGAGGGCAGAGGGCAGGGCTCTGCCTGCTGCTGCTTACGTATGTGACCTGCAGGACCCCAGCTGCCTGAACCTCCCAGACCCTCCCGTTTCCGCTTTTGTTTCCTTGGGTACCACAGGATAAGTGCAGGCTGCACCCTTCTGAATGGGGCCAGAAGGCTGTGGGCCTGGGTGTGCTAGACCAGCTGCAGACAGGCACCCAGGCCAGAGTCCTCCATACAATGCTCTCCATGCCTGGGCCCAGGACCAGTCTTGGGCACTCCCACCCAGCCCTGTGTTGGCCAAGTCCCCACCTGTTGGCAGCTGCCTTCTGCTGTGGGTCAAACATCCGGGCGTGGGGGCAGCATATCCACAGGTGACACCTGGGAGACAGGGCTGGGTTAGGCTCCTGGCGAGGTCACGTGCCCAGGGGTAGCTGCACGCAAAGGGAGTGGTTACAGAGGAGATGGGGCAGGTGCCTGGCCCAGAGCTCCTTGTGATGGTCCAGGTGAGGGGTCTGCCCAGCTGAGGAGGAAGGAAGGGGGACAGTAAGGGGGTGACCCCTGGGTACAAACGAGGACTTGGTCCTCACCCAGATCCCACTCCCTCAATTCCTGAAAAGGCCCCAATGTGGCTCTAGGTGTCTCTTGCCCACCAGCCCCTCTTGCACTCTGTCCTTCCTGTGCCCAGACCCTAGCAGTGGCCTCACCTGTCCTGGCCACTTTCACCAGGCTCCTTAATGACACAGAGGCCTGTGCGCAGGCCCAGACCACAAGTTGTCTCAGCTGGGGCATAGCTCTGCCCAGAAGACTCCGTATCCCCTCTTCCTCTGCCCTCCATCCAGGCTTGGCCTGACCCCTTATTGCCCCATTCCTACCCATGCTTCCCAGATTTCTTTCTGTGATCTGACTGGGCCCTGTGTAGGCAGGACATTTGCCAGCTGTGTCCACAGGGCTGTGCTGGAGGAGGGCACTAAGATGCCTGTGAAGGAATTGGTGAATGTAGTGGGCCACTCATTTCATTTATTTAAAAGATTCATGCTTTCCCTCAGGTCTGCAGCCCTGGGGTCAGGGATGTGGTCAGCAGGGCTGTGGCAGAGCAGTGGGAGGGGCAAGGTGTTCAGGCTCGGGGCCCCATGGGCCCTGTCTACAAAATGAGCAACACATCAAAGCCCACATAAGTCTCATGGATTTCCAGCCAGCAGATCCCCCACTGCCTGCTTTTCCCCACTGGAGCAAGCCCAGCCAGGGAGCAGGACACCCCACTGTGCCCCTGGTTCCACACTGCCCCTATCCTTGGACGATCTGCGCCCAAGGGCAGCTGGTAAGGTACTGCCATAGGCAGGCCTGCACGTCTGAGCACCACAGCCTTGGTAGTGAAGGCTCGTGTTTGGTGGATGTGGGCTCAAAGACCTCCAACCCAGACCCCAAATTCATGCTCTGCCTGGAGCCTGCCATAGCCCCACATAACCTTGCACTGTTCCTTTGAAAGTCTACAAGTCCAAGTTGGAAACTGGGGCTCTCTCAGGGTCCACACCCCAGGGTGGGCCTAGCCTCTGGCTCTTTGCTTCCCCCCTTCTCCTACGGGGCGGGGGGGACGCTGAGTGCTGGGCTTGGAACTGTAGGAGCTCAGTTGGTTCCTGCCTGTCTGTGATTTCCAGGGGAGGTCTTGAGGCTATTCCCCTGTCCTGACCTGGGTGGGTGGGTAGGGGTGGGCGGTGTCTCCTTCAAGCAGCGCCAGGGGAGGTGGGCAGCTTGGCCAGGGTCCCGCGTTTGACATCGGGGGCCATGGCTGGACACTGGGACGTGACCAGGTTGCGTCCGGCACTCACCTGCAGGCTTTGGCCCAGGTGTTCCAGCCCTGGGTCCCTCTGCTGAGAGAGCTCTCCACTCCGGGTTGTTCTTCTGGCCGCCGGTCCGGGCGTCATGGCAACGGGGGGCGGGGCTTTATTTGAATACCCAAACCTTCTCAAGCCGCGGGCACAGCGGCTCAGGGTCTGAGCCCCGCCCCTTAGCAACGGTTGCCGGAGCACGCGTCCGAGGCGCAGCGCTGAGACCCGAGAGCACCTTCTAGATGGGAAGGTGGCAACCTTCCCGCGGCGCGGACTCTGGACTGAGGACCCGGAGACGCCCGACGGGCTCTCGGTATCCTCCTCCTGGCCGGGTCTATGCGAGCTGGGCTCAGATTCGGGACTGCAAGTGGGCGGGCGCCGCAGTCCCGCCGCGGCCTCAGGGTATCACGTTTCGGTTTTCCGATGGAAAGGATGTCCTTGCACATTTTTTTATTTAAAAAAATGTTAAAAGCACTATAGAGGAGGCATCAGTGCTTGGGCTCGGGGAGACCTCTCTTCCCTCCCGGTGGCAACTTTTGGATTGGACTTGCGGAGTCCACTGGGAGCTGCAGCAGGGATGGAACCTGAAGTGTTTTGCCCAAGCTGGGGTTCGGACACCCTTGAAGCTCCCGAGTCCTCAAGGTGGGGCTTCCGCGCCCCCGCCGGGAGGGCTGCAGTTCCGCGGCCCCCAGGGGGTGTCGGATGGATCCGCCACTTCCCCGGCCCAAGCCCTGGTCATCCGCAATGTTGCCTGTCCCGCCGCACTAGCCTCCCTCCCATTTAGCCCTTGGACTTCGAGTGCTGGCACGGCTGGCGGTTCCCGAGCCTGTCCTGCGACGCCAGAGAGGCCCGTCTGTTCCCGGGAAAAGCCTGGGACCCTTCGCACCCCGGAACTCGGGCCCGCCCTCCGCGCCACTCCAGGAAGTAGCGCCTGACTGACGGGCCGCACGGCCAACCGCAGTAGGGCGTGGCCATTCGTCCAAGCGACGCCAATGGTAGGTCGCGCTGGGCTGACAGACTGGCTCAGGGCGGGCGTGGGCGGGGCGAGCGCTGGCGGACGAGTCCCCGCCGTGTCCGGAGCCTGCAGCCCGAGCCGCACCCGCCGCCCCGCGGACGGAGCCCATGCGCGGGCCCAGCTGGCGCCCGCCTGAGCCCCCGCCCGGCCCCGGCCCCGGCCCCGGCCCCGGCCCCGGGGCCAATTGCACCAGCAAGCGGTGAGTGCTGGCAGGCGGGCTCTGTGCAGGCCGAGTGCGCTCTGCGCGCTTGAGGCGCTTCCCGCGGCTCCGCCTGTGGCCGCACGCCCAGGCGCCGCCCGGGCTCGAGGACGCGGGCCCGCGGCCATGTCGCGCGGTGGGGTCGCGGCGGGGTCGTTGGGCCGCGCAGATATCGGCCAGGCCTCGCTTCCCGCTGCTCGAACTCCCCCGCAGTCCTGGCCGCTGCTACGCGGAGCGCTCCTGCGGTGCCGGTCGGCCCAGCGCCACCGCGTGCACCCGGCGCCCGTGGACACTCGCGGGATATCGCCGGCGGAGGGGCGGCTGTCGGGGCGCTGCTTGCCGGGACACGCCGGCTGGCGGGTAGGACCTGTTCGGTTGGCTCCGCCCGCGGGCGCCTCCGGCCCAGGCTTTCTGCCTACCCAGCAACTTCTAATTTGGGTTGGGAGCAGCTCAGCTGTCACCCTGCCTCGAGGCGCCTCCGCTTCCTCACAGGCCATGAGGTGCAACAGGGTGTGGCGGGGTCCTCTGCCCGCCGGAGGTGCCACAGGTGCCGCCATCCTGGCAGGGCCGTCCAGCCACCCTGCAGGGTGGCCCTTTCCTGAGCTGGTCCTCCTCGCAGGTGGGGCAGGAGTCCCCCAGTGCCCTGAGCCTCGGCCCCTGGAGGAACCATGACGGAGTACAAGCTTGTAGTGGTGGGCGCAGGAGGTGTGGGAAAGAGCGCCCTGACCATCCAGTTGATCCAGAACCACTTTGTGGACGAGTATGATCCCACCATAGAGGTGAGCCCTGAGCACGGCCTGGCCCCTGGAGTGTCCCGAGCCCTGCAGGCGGCAAGAGCCTGCCTCCCCATCCACTGCAGAGGCAGGGGAAGTGCACAGAGGGCCTTTCCCTGCAAACTCACAACCTGAGGAGTTGCTGAGCCGAGTTCTTCCACAGGACTCATACCGGAAGCAGGTGGTCATCGATGGGGAGACGTGCCTGCTGGACATCCTGGACACAGCCGGCCAGGAGGAGTATAGTGCCATGCGGGACCAGTACATGCGCACTGGGGAGGGCTTCCTCTGTGTGTTTGCCATCAATAACACCAAGTCTTTTGAGGACATCCATCAATACAGGTGAGCTGCCTGTGTGGCTGGCCCCAGAGCCCATGGGGCAGAGGACCTCCCTGTGTGTGTTCTGGATGCCACCACGCCTGCCACCGCCTGTCCACCAGGGCTCACATCCTTCCCTCTCACAGGGAGCAGATCAAGCGGGTAAAGGACTCAGATGATGTGCCCATGGTGCTGGTGGGGAATAAGTGTGACCTGGCTGCGCGCACTGTGGAATCTCGGCAGGCCCAGGACCTTGCCCGAAGTTACAGCATTCCCTACATTGAGACATCCGCCAAGACCCGGCAGGTGAGCCCCTCCCCTCCTCCCAGCTGGCAGGGACTTCCCCACCCCACCCCAGCCAGGGAGCAGTGCTCATGCCCCTCTCCATTAAAACTGCAGCCACTCTGGCTCTGGCTCCAGCTCTGACTCATGGGCCCCAATGCTGTAAGTCTCCCCAGATGGCAGGGCAGTGAGGAAGGTGAGGTCCCAGGTCTGGGCTCATGCCCTGCAGTCCTGGACCGACACAGCTGCAGGGGAGGTGGGGGTCCACCAAAAGAGCTGCCCTGAGCCAGGCCGGAGTGGTGACCCAGGCCCCAGCCCTTTCTGTCCCAGGAGTCCCTTGAGTACCTGTTAGTCCTGAGCCCTTAGTGGCGCTACGGGACCCTGGCCACAGTTCAGATCAGAGCTGGGTTAAGATGTTCAGGCCCCAATCCAGATTGTGGTCCAGGAGGGTCTTGGGCTGCTCTGACCTTTGGGGGAGTCCCTACCGAGGCAGGGTTCCCCAGTGTCTTTCCCTGCCAGTCCCCCAGGTGGAGTTCTCCTGATGCAGGCCCTTTGTTTCCAGGGTGTAGAAGATGCCTTCTATACACTGGTGCGTGAGATCCGACAGCACAAGTTGCGGAAGCTGAACCCACCAGATGAGAGTGGGCCGGGCTGTATGAGCTGCAAGTGTGTGCTGTCCTGATCCAGGTGAGCGGGGCCTGGCTGCCTCCCTGAGCCACAACCCTGGCCAGCCAGTGAGCTGCACATTCACACTGATGCTCCCAGGCTCCCTGAACCTGCTGGTCCCCCTGCCTATGGTCAGTGGCGTCCTTTGTGCTCCGCCCCGGCCCAGGCTCAGGACACAGAGGTGCCGGATGCAGGGAGGAGGTGCAGATGGAAGGAAGGAAGGAAGCAGGGAAGGAAGTGCCGCCGGAGCCCAGCCAGCCCAGGGATGGTGGACAGAGGTGATTGCAGACCCTCCCGTGGATGCTTTGCAGACTGTCACGAACTGTCCCAAACACCACTGGCACCCCAGCCCTGACTCTGCCCCCAGCTTCTCCAGCCTCTGACAAGTGCAGGTTGATTCACAGTAAATTATTTGTTGGTCTCGACTCTAGTGTTGGTTGAGGTCGGAGGCCGTGCTGCCTGTGGCCTCACTTGAGGTGCAAGGAACCTCAGCTCTAGGGTGTCAGCCTCACTGTGGCCTCTGGTCAGGAGTCTGGCCGGACAACGCGGACTGTGTCGTGCTTTCCTCCCTGTCCACAGTGTCCACATTGCCTGCAGGGAGCCTGGGGCACTGCAAGACCAAGCAGGTGGTAATAGGAATTTATGGTTCCATAACTAGGGGAGGCTGCAAGGCCCCAAGAGGAGGAAGCCTTAGGAAACAGAGTCCACACACTGTGGTTCTGGTCCTCTCCTTGGAGCCTCTTTGCTCAAGTGGGGACCCATTTCCTGTGTGTGTGGGTCCTTGAAACATCATGATAACAACAGATCGAAGGACTGGGCCATTGTCCCTGGACTCGGGAAGCAGCACCCTGGCTCTGCCTGGCCTCAGGTCTCTGTCCCCTTGGCCCTGGAGCCCAGCCCTCCTGCTCTGGTGCCCATGAGGGTGGTGGTGGTGGTCCTGCTTTGTCTGGGGTGGGCAGTTGTACCAGAGCCACTGAAGGTCGGTCACTAGGTGGCCCACTGCTCTGAGGGGGCGAGGGCCACCTCCAGGATAGGCCATGGCCAGAGTGCTCTGTGTTCCAGATCCTCCCTCCTAGCCCACGTGTCCTTTCTCTTCAGGGCTCGGGTTGAGGCCAGGCTGGCCCCTCTGGATTTGGGACTCATGCGGTGTGGGCATCTCTGTCCCGTAAGCTTGAGGGTGCTGCTGGATGCCTAGGGCAGTGGGGCACCACAGTCATCCCTCCCCCAGTAGGGAGTGTCCAGGTTCTCTGTCCTCCTGGATGCAGGGCTGCTAAGATGTCTTCTGGGGCTTAGGGGCAGCTGGCCAGGGGCCACCCTAGCTCCTTGGGGCCACCATGCTAGGGGCTATTGTTGGTTCTGCCCTGGGTCTTGAGTGGGCTGGGAGGGGCCTGGTAACAGGGTTTGGGATGTAAGGCCTGGGGTGGACAGGGAAAATGCTGGACTTTGGGATTGGGGAGTGAATTCCATTGGAGTAACCAGATGCCCTATGGCCTTGTCTGCCTGGGGACACCAGAGAATAGGCCCTGCAGTGGTTCCTTTTGCCATTGCCCTGTCTCAGGGAGGACTGTGCTCCCAACTTAGGAGGTGCTGGTACTGGGTCAGTGGCCAGCGAGGGCCAGGCTGGCCTCAGGAAGGTTCTCCACCCTGGGGGTACTGGCAGGGGTCTGGGTGGCAGGGTCACTGGCTCAGTCAATGTCAGCATCTCCACAGAGCCCACACAGGGCCTGGAGTCTTTGCTGTCCCTGGGTAGCCACACTGGGTTGACACCAAGGAGCCCATGGCAGAGTGTGCGTGGCCTCGTCCTGGGGCTGTCGGGCACCTCCGGCTGCTTCTGGATGGCCCTTGAGTTTTGCCTTGGCGCTCCCTGCCTTGCCCTTGCCATGAATGGTAGGCCTGAGCCTCTGTCCTGCTTGAAGGCTCAGGTGAGACAGTCCTAAAGTCACCCCTGACACCTGTCGTGGGGCCCCACTGCCAGCGATGAGACGTTCAGGCCCTCAACCTCACTGCCCTGTCGTCTGTCCCCTTACTGGCCCCTGGCCTGCTGTCCTGACCTCACTAGATGTTCTCTGGGGTCTTGGCTGTGGGAGTTGGAGGTGGCTCTGACCTGAGGCCCGGCCAGCCTGCTTTCCAGAAGTGTCTTAGAGCCAAGGATGGGAGGCTCAGGGAGGTCTGTTGGTCCCGGGCCAACCCACTTGCGAGAGGACCTCATGCTGGAGCCCCCCAGCAGAAAGGTCACACTGTCCTTCAGAGTTTCACCACGGAGGCCCAAGAGCACCTCAGAAGTGCATCCTCCTCCAGGGTCCAGTCTGGGACCTGTGATCTGAACTCACATAGGGTGTATTGGGCAGGCATTGGGCGGGGCCCTGGGAAGGGTCAGCACCTGCACTTGGCTCTCACCTGAACCCCTCCCACAGGGTGTGCACCCCCTGTCTAGATGTATGCAGGAGGTGTGGTGCCCTTCAGCCTTTGTCTGTGGTGTGAACTCTGTCCAGGATTGCCCCCAGCACCCTGCCTGGCCCATGCCTGACCCCAGCCTCTCTTTATAACGGTTCTGTTGGTCTGAGCAGGGGCCATGCAGGAGGTAGGATTACCATCCTTGGCTGGCCAGGGTCTGTCCTGTGTGTCCCCAGGTACCCAGGGGACCCGTGGCCAACTCCTGTCTCAGAGCCTCAGGGTGACCTGCAGGGACAGCAGGCATGGGAGGACCCTTGTGTCTGGGCTGGCTCAGTCTGCAGGGAGGAGACCCCAAGAAGGCACACCCAGTGGGCCTGAAGCTGCTCACAAGGTGGCACAGTGGAATGGGGACAGGTCTCAGGAAAGGGTTCCCAGGGCCTGGACTTCCTGGATGGTGAAGGCCCCTCCCCCACTGTCCTGATGGAGAGCGCAGTGCCCAGGGCCTGACCAGCCTGAAAACCTTATTCCAGCCTCTGCACACCCTGCCCAAGGGGCAGAGCACAGGGCTCCTTTCTCCAGGTGAGGGTTAGGGAGAACACCTTTGCCTTCCCCTGCCCATAGCCAGGCCCCAGGAGGATGCCAGGGTTCCCTCACTACCTGGCTGCTGCTGGTCCCTGGGAGGTACAGCTGGAGGTCTGGACCTGGAGGTGCCCTGGGTCCCAAGGAGACCTCTCCAGGTGCCGGGGGGTGGGGGGAGGGCCGGAGGGGACAGGGCATGCCACTTGAGCCTGGCTGGACTCGCTCCCCTGCAATGTCCTGTGCTGGTTCTAGGCCTCCTTGGAGGCAGTGAGGAGGGACCATGGGGGTCGGGGGAGGCTGCATGGAGCAGGGGCCAGGCCTGTGTAGCAGGTGTGGGACAGGGATGGGCTGGGGGTGTGTGCTGTCTCCTGGGCTTGGCCAGGCAAGGAGACGGAGATACTGCCACCTGGTGGGCACCAGGCAAGTCAGAAGATGCAGCAGGGAGGTGAGTGTCACCTGGACAGAGGCATCCACAGGGCCTGTGCTGGGGGGACAGGAGGTATCTGGCTCAGATTGTCCCCCGGAACCTTCAGAGAGCCTCTGGGGGCTCAGGACAAGGTGGGAGGGAAGGAAGGTGGGGTGGCTTTAGTCCCCCCCCCCCCCCCAAGCCAGTATGGCCATCACCTGGCCTGGCTGTGGGAGTTCCCCTGGGCAGCTGTACGCTTGTCTGCAGGCAGTGCTGCTGTTACTCAGCAGCTGTTTGGGGACCATCAGCAGGACAGTGGCTACTTGGTTCACACCAGGTAGTGACGACTGCAAGGGACCAAAGTCAGCCAGGCATGTGGCACAGGCCTGTACTAGCACTCAGCCTGAGGCAGGAGGACCTTAAATTCCAGTTCTCTCTGAGCAACTTAACCTGTCTCAAGATAAACATATGCACAACAGGCTGGAAACATAGCTGGGTGGTGGAGGGTCACTGGGTTCAATCCCCTATCTTAAAACCCCCCACAAAAAACCAAGGTCACCTAGAGGGCTGAGGTCCTCCTGCACCATGTGGCCTCTGCACCCCTCCTCATACTGAACACCAGGACTGCTGAGTGTTAGCAGGGTCCAGGCCGAAGGAGCTCCAGGGGCAGAGGGCAGAGGGCAGATGCAGAAGGGTGTGGGCCCTTGCCCCACTGCTGCTCCGGGAGGTCAGTGGGCCAGGTTCAGGGCAAGTCGAGGTCTGGAACCCTCAAGACCAGCCAAGGGTCCCAGCTGCCCCATGTGGGAGCCCTGGAAGGAGTGGTCTGACTGGGAAGGGGGGGCAGCCGCCTCTGGAACCTCTTCCCTGCGTCCTGCTCTGGGTTCAGGCTTGGAACTTGGGCCTGTTAAGCTCCTGAGCCCCAACACCCTAAGGACCCAGACTTGCTTTCCCACTGGCCTGGCTCTCGGGCTGCACCAACCTGCAGGATCCTTCTTCTGAGAGGAGCACCTGGCGGCGCTGCCCCCTCGGAGGGTCTGGGGCCGCCCCAAAGAAAGATGTCAAGTGCAGGGGCCCAGGAGCTGGGATCCCTACCCTTTTGCACACAGCCCTGATGAGAGAGCCTGGGTTCTGCTGAGCTGGAGTCAGTACTGAGTTCAAGGCCAGACTAGTGAGACACATTCCCACCCTGAATTCCCCTTCCCTCCAGCATCTCTTAAAGGCACAGGCACACCCAGCCTCCACCCCGAGTCAGGAGAATGCTCTGTTCAGGCCCTGGCCCTGCTACACCCAGGCCAGCTCCGAGTCACCCCATAGGTCACTGTAGGTCTCTGGTCATTCACAGAGGCCTGGGAGTCCCATGACTTGCTGCGCTCTCTGCAGGCCCTCCCAGGGCCAGCCCCGGTCTTGGGGAGCACATTTCACCAGACAGCACTGTTTGTGGGAACCATTCTTGGGAGCCTCTGGGATGGGCCTAAGAGAGGCCCCTGGCCAGGCTTGGGGCTCCCCACCCCTCCAGATCCCCCAGGTACTGTGAGACACTTGCATACCACTACGTTCTCTCTCCTCTCAGTGGACCCCCAACCCCCAGAGGCTCCAAAGGTGATGCAGGGGTCCGTGTCCCTGCCACATGTCAGTCACTGTTCCTGGTCTGCTGGGATGCACTGCCCAGAGGAGGCACTGCTTGGAACCCCGTGGCAGCCCACAGAGGGGGTTCCCTGCACGAACCGCTCAGGCTTGTTCTGCAGCCAGAGGGGCACCATGCCCAGCTCCTATGGCACTGCCTGTGCACAGCAGTCCTGGGGAGGGGATGCCTGACCTGGCCCTGGGCAAGGCCTTCCCCAGCAGGGCCTCCCGCCCCGGCCTCCTGGACAGCCACACCCTTCACCCTTTGTCCCCTTCTCAGAGCAAAGCCTGTCCCGGAGGAAGGGATGACTGGTGCCCTGGCCAGCGCTTGCACCCCCTGCAGTGCTTCTCCAAGACCTGCCCCAGGGTCAGCCTGGCCATTTCTGGGTCCTCGGGCCCGGAAGGGCAGTTTGTGCCTGAATCCCAGATGGCCAGGGTGACAAGGAGGGGTTGATGGCGCCCCCGTGCGGCCGGGGTGCTGAGTCCCACTGAGAGACGGTGGGCGGGCCGGAGGGAGGCCGGGAGCGTGGGGAGGGGGGCGGGGCGTGGCCTCCGCAGAGCCCAAGCCCTGTCCTTTGATACTGAAGGCCAGGGCAGCTGGGGAGCTTGGGGCTCCATCGCTTTGGTAGCCCCACTCTTCGGTCCTCTTGTGCCTCCCAGGGCTCATGTTCCTCGTTTCTAGCTGTTTTGGTTCCAGAGAGGAAAAGCTAGACCTTGCCTCATAACAAGCCACCCTTCCAGGTTAATGTACTAATCCTGATGAAAAGGTTCATGTACAGTCTCTCGAGTTTTCTAAGCATATGATGACTTTCTAGCCAGGAACGGTGGTTCAGGCTGTCATCCCAGCACAGGGAAGCCAAGGCAAGAGAGTCACCTCGAATTTGAAGCCAGCCTGAACTATATAGCAAGACTCTGACTCAAAAAAATTTTTTACCTGGAATATACTGCAAAGACAATCATTTTGTTTCTTTTCAATGTAACAGTGACTTATTTTCTTACCTGTGTTAGAACCACACTCCTGCCTGCATGTGGCTTTGAGAGCAGATGCTGCGATTTCTTCTCTGACGTCCTAATAAAAGCAGCTTCTGTATCTCACAGCTCCCAAAGATATTTTTTAAAATGCTGCTGTTTTTTTCTTAGTGTAAGAGACTCATTTCTCTTGAGTAGTGTTTTAGCAGTCTGCTGTGGTCTCCAAGTCTTCTTTCCCCCATTCTCTGCTCTCAAGTGTGCTGCTGTAACCTGTGTCGCTGCCTTGGGCGCCAGTGCACTTGCACGGGCAGGAGGAGTCTTTGGAAACCAGACTCTTTTCTGTGGCTGAGACAAAATACACAACACCCAAAGTTGAAGGAGGAGGGGTTTATTTATCTCACAGTTTGTAGAGGTTTCAGTCTATAATCGGCTGGCTCCAAGGGAGGGTGGCACGGCAGAGGGCATCGCAGAGGAGAAGCCGTCCATGGCATGGAAGGTGGAAGGCAGGAGGCAGCAAAAGCAGCAAGGCAGGAAGGGAAGGCAGCAGTTGATTTTCTGTCCCTTATGTTCCATCTAGGCTACACACCCTTGGGGCAGGTAGCAGTCACACCCAGGGAGGGCCTTCCCATTATCCACACCCAGAACCATGCCAGACTGATCAGTGGACTCATTTAGTAATCACACACCCCTGATCCCAGCATCACACACGCTAGATCCAGCCACCTCTGAAAAGCCCCACCTATGACCCCATGAGGCTTTAGGGGACATCTAGACACAAGTCATAACACCGTGAGGTCCCTGAAGATCACACTTAGGATTCTGTATTATGGCCATGTGTGACATGACACCTGGGTCCTCCTTTCTGTCGGTACCTGGTGGATCTGGGCCAGGAGGTTACAGCTTTATCAAATCATCTGGGAGCTTTCTGCTTCCCTGGAGCCCGAGGGCCAGGCATGGGGCTCTGCCCTGGTCCCAGCCTGGCCCTCACTGGTGGTCTTCCGCACCCAGTGGCTGCCTCTGTGTCTTGATGGCTTTTGTTTTCCTCCATGAGCCAGTCTGCCCAGGAGTCGTCGGCCTCCTCAATTTGCAGCTGCTTTGCAGGTAACTTCATCCCTGTCCTGCCCAGTCAGTCCCTTCTTAATCTCCCATGCAGTAGTCTGGCTCTGTTCCCTTCCCCAGGCTGGGGAGAAGCTTAGCTCTAACACAGCCTTTACAAGCAGCCAGTTTTTGGTTTGTCCTCTCTTTCCGAAGACTTTTGGTGTTCTGATTCATCTTGCATTTGTAGGCATCTTCCTGAAACCCAGGCATTGAGCAAGGCTGGGTGGGTCCCATCTAGTGTGCAGCCTGCTTGAACTGGAGCTAGGCCATGTGACTGCCCTTCCACAGCCACCTCTTGGGTCCTGCTGTGCCCATCCTGAGCTTCCAACCTCACGGAGATGCACCTAGGTGCTCACGCCAGGACCAGGTAGAGCCCAGTACCTGTCCTTCCAGGCATGGGTGTGGCTTGGGGACAAATTTCTTACCAAGAGAAATATGGCTAGAGAGGGCTTCAGGCCTATCACCAGGCAGGGCTGCGCCCAGGCTGCAGGACAGGCTATGCCCCGCCTGGCCCCGCCCTCACCACCATGCGCTTGCTCAATGGAGAACTGAGTTTCTGACCGGGCCTCGTCTGTGCCAGCTGTCCCTGGTGAGATTCCCAAGGCTGTGCCTGGTATTTGCCATGGTTCTCAGCTTCACCTTCTAGACATCCAGTAAGAGGGACCACCCCTTTCCTGGCACCTGTGAGGGGTCCTTTGTAGCTATGGCGGTATCTGAGGGGGGAAATCTGGTTCAAGATGGGCCCAGGGCAAGCCTGGGACAGGCTGGAGCACCTGGGTTGGGCAGAGTCCAGCTTGGACTCTGGAGCCTTGGGAGAGGTCAGGTGCGCCCAGGATGGGGCTTTGTCCCCACGGTAAAACAGCAGAGGAGGCTCAAAGTCTACACTGCAGTTCCTCCCTTGGGCCACCTGATGTGGGGTGGCCCAAGCCCTCAGGTCCTCGCCCAGCAAGGTGACCTGTGCAGGGATGTCCCCAGGAGCAGGGCAGTGTGCCCTGCTGTTGGAGGGGCGCAGAATGGGTGACACTCACCCTATCCTGTTGTTTATGAACAAAGTTTTATTTCCCCTCTTCAACCCTTTTACTGGTGTGGCTGGGTTTCCTGAAATAGGGCTGAATAGCTTGGCTTCTGTCTGGTTCCTAATGTTAGCAGGCAAACATCTTTGACTATCGCGGGTGATAGGAACCCTGTGAAGTTTTTCTTTTTGGTGCCTGGGATTGAACTCAGGGCCTTGCGGTTTCAGGGCAGGCAGCAGAACCACTGCCCCTCCTGTGAAGTTTTTGTAGATGTCCATTATCAGGTTGAGGAAATTGTCTCCTGTTCCCATTTTGCTGAGTCTTGTCATGGGGATGGCTTCTGTCAATGGATTGCCAAAGTAGATGTTCAACTACTGACCCCATTGTGCATTCCCAGGCTGAACCCTGCTAGGTGGTGGGGTGTGACTGGCGCAGTTCTTACAAGGTGAACCGGGAGGACGCCTCCTCTTCTGTTTTCTAGAGTCAGAGTAGAATGGCTTTTACTTTTCCTCTGAGCATTTGGTAGAAATGACCTGGAAACCACATGGGATTGGAGTTTTTCTCCAGGTGGTTGTAACTACAGATTCAGTTTCTTTTTCTTTTTGGTACCGGGGATCAAACTCGGGTCCTTGTGCTTGCGCAGCAGGCGGCAAAACCACTGAGCTAAATCCCCGGCCCTGAGATTCAGTTTCTTCAGATCATTGCAATTCTGTTTCGTGATGAGTGGGTTTTGGCACTTGAGGGTTTTGAGGTGTGGGCCTGTCTCCTCTGATTTACATGTGGACAGTTGTATGCAGTGTCCCTTGTCATTTTGGTGTCATCCAGGTTTGTAGTAATAGCCTCTCTTTCCTGATATTAGAAAATTGTCTTTTCTGTTATTTTATTTTATTTTATTTTAATTTGTTTTTTGGTACCGGGGATCAAACTTGGGACCTTGCGTTTGTGAGGCAGGCAGCGGAACCACTGAGCTAAATCCCTGGCCCCATTGTCTATGTTCTTAAGGGGGAGGTTTAGTTAATTCACTGGAGCATTATCATTCTTTAGTAATGTGGACATTTAATGCTATCAATTTCCCTTTAAGTACTGGCTTATCTGCATTCCATAAAATCTGACACTTTGTTTAGTACAAAATATTTTTAAATTTCCTGTTAGACTTTGCTAGAATTACCCTTTGACCTTTAAAATTTTTTTTTTTTTTTTTGGTACCGGGGATTGAACTCAGAACCTTGTCTTTCGAGGCAGGTGGTGGAACCACTGAGCTAAATCCCCGGCCCGAAATTTTTTTTTTGAGACAGGGTCTTGGTACATGAGTTTGGGCTGGCCTTGAAGTCAAGGCAATCCTCCTGCCTCAGCTTTTCAGATATGGGTCTAATTTTACTCTTCAACAAGTGGAAACCCAGTTATTCCAGGACCATTTATTAAAGAGGCTATCTTTTTTCCAGGGAAGGTGTTTGACTCCTTTGTCTTTTTTGTTTGTTTGTGTTGTTTTTGGTACAGGGGATGGAACTCAGGACCTTGAGCTTATGAGGCAGGCACTGGAACCACTGAGTGAAATCCCCAGCCCCTCCTTTGTCAAAGAGAAGGTGGCTGAGTATCTCTGGATTTCTTTCTGTGTCTTCTAATCTGTTCCATTGATCTTCAGGTCTGATTTTTTTTTTTTTTTGCCAGTATGATGCTGTTTTTATCACAGTAGTGCTATAGTATAATTTCCAGGCAGGGATTGTGGTGCTCCCTGTCTTTTGTTTGTTGCCCAGAATTGCTTTTTTTTTTTTTGGTACTAGGGATCGAACTCAGGTCCTTGTGCTTGCGCAACAGGCGGTGAAACCAATATTTTGTTAGATTGAGTCTTAGGTATTTTATTTTTTTGGATACTATTGTGAATGGTGTTGTTTCCCTAATTTCTCTCAGTAAGTTTGATGTTCCTGTACAGGAATGCTATTGATTTTTGAGTGTTGACTTTGTATCCAGCTACACTACTGAATTTGGTTATTGAATCTAGTAGTCTTTTGGTGGAGTTTTTGGGCTTTTCCATGTAGAGTATCCTGTCATCTGCAAATAATAATTTAACTTTTTCCTTTCCTATCCTTATTCCTTTTATTCTTTCTCTTGTCTAATTGCTCTGGCTAATGTTTCCAGAACTACATTGAATAAGAGTAGTGACAGTGGGGATTTAACTCAGTGGTGCTGTCACCTGCCTCAAAAGGTCCTGAGTTTGATCCCTGGTATAAAAAAAAAAGAGTAGTGACAGTGGGCATCCTTGTCTTGTTCCTAATTTTAGAGTGAAAACTTTCAGTTTTTGTTCATTTAGTATGATGTTGGCTATTGGTTGGTTATAGATGGCTTTTATAAGATTGAGATAAAGACCATCTATGCCAATTTTCTGTAGGGTTTTATCATGAATAGGTGTTGGACTTTGTCAAATGCTTTTTCTGCATGTATTGAGATAATCATCTGGTTTTTGTCCTTGGCTCTATTGATACAGTGTATTGCATTTATTGATTTGCATATATTGAACCATCCTTGCATCCCTGTGATGAATCCTACCGGACATGGTGTATAATCTTCTTGATGATTTGGTGTATTCTGTTTGTCAGTATCTTATTGAGGATTTTTGACTCTATATTCATTAATGAGATGGTGATTTCACCCTTTTCATTCCTAATTGCATGGATTTGAGTCTTTTCTTTCCTTTTTTTAAAATTAATTTTATCGGTACATTTTGGGTATACAATATAATGACATTTATCATTGTCTTTCCTTTTTTTGTTGTTTTTGGTACTGGGGATCGAACTTGGGTCCTTGCGCTTGCGCAGCAGCTGGTGAAACCACTGAGCTGAATCCCCAGCCCTGTCTTTCCTTTTTTTGATAAGGTTAGGATTACAGTTTGTGTCTAGATGTCCCCTCAAAGCCTCATGTGGTTATAGGCTATTTTGGAGGTGGCTGAATCTAGAGTGTGTGACTGATTCATTGTGGGGCTAGGCCTGAGGGCACTAGGATTAAGGGCTTGAGTGCTACCTGCCCTATATAGTCTGAATAAAATAAAAGGGGCAAGGAGATGTTGCTTCTGCTGCCTTCCACCACCATGAACTGTTGCCCTCCTGTCCCCCTGCCGCGGAGCCAGCTGATTATGGACTGGAACCTCTATAAACTGTGAACCAAATAAACCTTTTCCCCTTTAACTTTGGGTGTTGCATATTTTGTCTCAGCCACAAAAGAAAAGTAACTAACATAGTTGGCAATGGATTTGTCAATTTTATTTATTTTGTGTGTTGTTTTTTTTTTGGTACTGGGGATTGAACTCGGGACCTTGAGTTTGCGAGGTAGGCGCTGGAACCACTGAGCTAAATCCCCGGCCCAATTTTATTTATTTTGATTTATTTATTTATTTTTGGTCCCAGGGATCAAACTCGGGTCCTTCCACTTTTGAGGCAGGTGGCAGAACCACTGAGCTAAATCCCCGGCCCAATTTTATTTATTTTGATTTATTTATTTATTTTTGGTCCCAGGGATCAAACTCGGGTCCTTCCACTTTTGAGGCAGGTGGCAGAACCACTGAGCTAAATCCCTGGCCCAATTTTATTTAATCTTTTGAAGAACCAGCTCTTCACTTCCTGATTCTTTGTACTGTTTTCTTAGCTGCCTTTTTTTTTTTTTTGGTACCAAGGATCGAACTTGAGACCTTGTGCTTGCAGGGCAGGCACGGGAACCACTGAGCTAAATTTCCGGCCCCTTTGTATTGTTTTCTTAGTCTCTATTGTATTTACTTTTGTTCTAAGCTTCATAATTTCCTCCCTCATATGAGCTTTGGGTTTGACTTGCTCTTCTTTTTCTAGAAGCTTGAGGTTCAACATTAAGTTTTTTATTTGAGCTCACTCTGTTTTTCTGATATGGGAATTCACTGCTATAAATTTCCCTCATAGGACTGCTTTCATTGGATCCCATAAGTTCCAGTATGTTATCGTTTAATTGTAGAAACTGTCTAATTTCTCCTTTAATTTCATCTGTGACCCATTGGTTGTTCAAGAGGGTTTTATTTAATTTCCATTTGTTTATGAAGTTCTTGTGGTTTGTTTTGCCATTGATTTCCAATTTCATTCCACTATGGTCTGATAATATGCATGGGATAATTTTAATTCCTTTGCATTTACTTAAGCATGTTCTATGAGCTAGTATGTGACCTATTTTGGAGAACGTCCCATGTGCAGCTGAGAAGAATGTGTATTCTGATGTTGTGGGTGGAACACTCTGTAGACATGTACTAAGTCCATTTGTTCAAAAGTTTGGTTCAGTTCTGATATTTGTTGATTTCTTTGTCTAGTTAATCTGTCCATTTGTGACAGTGGGTATTGAGGTC